TTAATCTGTTAAATGAATACGTGATTTAATATTTAAATTTCTGACACTTCTATTCATGTGTAAGTCGGACTTTGGCTTAGGACCAATCGTGGAATTCTATAATAGTGAAGATATATATACGAGATTTAGAAAGATTTAAACTTAATACTTTTTTGTATGTTAACTTGATAGTGGCTTCACAAAATCTTATGAATCAGGCTTAACTAGACGAGCAGTTGTTATCATAACATTTGCCTGCACCAGAGGGCCCGGACAAGGAGCGATTCGTGTAAGCTTCCACGATGGCAACGAGAGCAAGAAAGAACTCAATCGCGCACCAATTAAGGGGGGAGAGCGCCATCGGAACATACACGAAAAGCCGGAATTAGCTCACAAGAGACGCTTTCCGACGAAATAGGGACGCTCAGCATCGGAACTCCAATGTTAAGCGCATAGCGCTCGGGCAACAATACCGCCGGGACGACGAATGGCCTTTCGGGAAGGTGCCTCGCCCTGTATCCGAAGGGTTACAGAAACTCGCCCTGTATCCGAAGGGTTACAGAAAAGAAGAAGAAGAAGAAGAAGAAGTTGGGGGAAGAAATCGGCGCTCAGCTCTGAATTCGTTGCCCCGTAGTTCAAGACAACGGTGGCATCATCATCATCATCATCATGATGTCCTGTGCGGCTCCCCCAATTCGATTGGAGCTATGCGCACTCCCACCAATAAGTCTCGCGAGACCCAACTTGCCCCCCCCCATCCCCCCTTAAGATCAGTGAATTTCGTCACCCTTAGGAAAAAAGAAAAATCGAGAAAAAAAGGAAGAAAATATAAGTTCCGAATTTTCCCAACTTTATTGTTATTTCCTTTTTCTTTCTCAATAAGAAGCGCGCGCGTGCGTGCGGGGGAATCAAATGGGTACAAAAACAGGCCGCCGGGGGGCTCGGACGGACCAGCTCGAGCCCCCCCCCATTTTTTTGTGCTCTTCACGTGTCGTGCCCTCGTCCCCGTTCCCGTCCCCGTCCCCGTCCCCGTCCCCGTCCCCACACCCTCTCTCTCTCTCTCTCTCTCTCCATCCGTCCGTTTCCATCTTTTCGAGGCGTGTTTTATTTGGCGTTCTTTTGTCGTGTTCGGGGGTCTGATTCCGGTGCATGCACCTTCCCCCCCCCCCCCCAAAACATAAAGAAGAAGTCCGGCGACTAAAGAGGTTCGGGGCTCCTTCGATTGACCCCGTCGGCCGGGCCGTTATTACGGTTCTTGCCACTCGCGCTCTTTTACCGACCTCGTCCCCCTTTGGTTTCCTGTTTTGGCGGCTTCCCCGGGGTGGGTCGTGATTCTTGATGGATTTTGCCCGGCACGTGCGTACTGGTCCCTTCCCAACTACCCAGTCCCACTCCCCCGTTTCGCCTTTTTCTCTCTCTCACTTTTCTTTTTCTTTTTCTCTTTTTCTTTTGATTTCGCGGAAAATCTCACGTTAATATACCTGTGACGAATTTACCGAATTAATTTTTGACCACGAAAAAACTTTAAAATTGGCATACCCGCAACAAATTTGACCTGCTAAAAATCTCAAAACCGGTACGTTTACGATAAATTTACTCTCCGTCAGATTTTCGTTAAACTATATTGATATCATGAAAAATCACGGACGGTAGACATCCGCGATAAACGGAGAGTAAACCCCAAATTAAGACGCTCGTTAAACGCCACGTGTCATTCAACTTATTGTAGGTTAAATTGATTGTAAATGTACCGGTTTGAGGTTTTTTGTGATCAAAAAAATTAATTTAGGGTAGATTTGTCATAGATGTATCAATTTGAGATTTTTTTTAGTAAAAGAATTAATTTAAGATAAATTTGTTATCGGCGTATCGATTTTGGATTTTTTGTGGGATCGACTCTCCTCTTTTGTGTTCGGAAGGTTTTGACGGAAAATTTGGAGAGTTTGGTTTTCGAGAGGACCTTAGCAACGAGTTTGTGTCAGGAGCATGAGAGGATATTAGGGGCGCTTTCTTTCGGTCATGCCCTTTGCTGGTCGTTGCAACGATCGTCTCGTGTCCTCTTCCTTTAGGTTTTGCATTGCTTGTGGTTTATTGTAGCAGTGGGCTCCAATTCAAACCCCAACTTTGCTTTATCCAATTATATCCCAAACTTTTTTTGTCTCATAAAAACCCCAAACTTTACTTTTGTCCAATTACCGTTTCTATTCATCCAATTTTTTAATATTATTTTTATTTTTTCGAATTTTTTTTTTCTTTTCTTTTTTTTGTTTCACGCAACCTCCGGCCGGTCACGGTCCGCTGACCGCTGAGGCGAGGTCCCGCGGCCGCCGGGAGTGGGCTCGCCCAGAACGCGAGTTCCCGCGACTCTCGCCACGTGGCCGGCGGCGATGGCGATTTTTGGCGGCGCCGGCGGGTGATTGACTCTCCTCAGCCGCTTTTGAGTTCGGAAGGTTTTGACGGAAATTTTGGAGAGTTTGGTTTTCCAGAGGACTTAGCAACGAGTTTGTGTCGACGTGAAGAGCATGAGACGATATTAGGGGCGCTTTCTTTCGGTCATGCCCTTTGCTGGTCGTTGCAACGGTCGTCTCGTGTCCTCTTCCTTTAGAGGTTGAAGGTGAAAAAAAAAGGAAAAGAAAAGAAAAAAGAAAAATTCGAAAAATAAAAATAATATTAAAAATTGGATGAATAGTAAACTAGAGATTTGGGGCAAAAATAAAAGTTTGTTTTTTACGACAAAAAAAAGTGAGATACCCTAATTTATGTATCTTTTTTTCTTGCTTGGTTTCGGGGTGACGGATCAGAATTCGTAACGTGCGGCAAGAAACTAATTTCCGTCACGATAATAACATTTGTATGGATGAATCGTTGCGCGATTATGTCAGTCTAATCGAGACTTGGAGAGTAAAGCGTGATTAGCGTTTTCGTAAGACGTCAGTGCTTAAGTTGATGGGCACCTCTTGTTTCTGTCAAACTATATACCATCCACTCAACGTTGGCGTTCCTTCATTTCAGGGCCGGAAAATGAATTTCGTACCTTATTCTATCTTGAGGATCTTACAAACTAACACCTCTATAATTTGAAGTCCTTTTCTTTTACGTTGTTTTCTCTCGAGATATATATGAAAAATCATTACTTCAGAAACTTCAATTATTTTACGGCAGAGAAATCGAATATTACGATCATCATACGTAAAGAGGATTCGTTTTTCCGGGCACGAGTCCATGACTTGCGGCTACAGACCGTCCAGTGGTAGGAGGAACCTTTCCCGAATCTTCATCTTATTTTTTTCTACCGACCCTTCGACTCGTTCGATAACAAGGGAACGGTAGAAACATCGATCGTGCATGTTACGACGACTTTCGACGAAAGCCAATTCGATTTGTTGAAGTGCGTTGAACTTAGCATTAGGGGTTTTGTGGTCCAGAAACTAAGATTGGGACTTAGAAGACGCTAGGGCAGAGAAATCGAGTACTAAGGGTTTTCTTTTACGTTGTTTTCTCTCGAGATATATATGAAAAATCATTATTTCGGAAACTTCAATTATTATACGGCAGAGAAATCGAGTATTACGATCATCATACATAAAGAGGATCCGTTTTTCCGGGCACGAGTCCATGACTTCCGGCCATAGACCGTCCAGTGGTAGGAGGAACCTTTCCCGAATCTTCATCTCATTTTTTTCTACCGACCCTTCGACTCGTTCGATAACAAGGGAACGGTAGAAACATCGATCGTGCACGTTACGGCGACTTCCGACGAAAGCCAATTCGATTTGTTGAAGTGCGTTGAACTTAGCATTAGGGGTTTTTGTGGTCGGGAAACTAAGATTGGGACTTGGAAGACGCTAGGGCGGGGAAGGTAAGAAAAGAGAAAATTAGTCCCCCTCGGGGGTGCGACGAACGAAAAGATTTCGAGTAAAAGTTAGGCGGCTTGGTCCGCCCGTACAATCGGGGGGTTTGGTCAAATCGGGTGAGACGAACTCCTCTTTAGATTCGGTAAGGCGAAGGAGAACTAAGCGGACATGTTTCACAAAGGTTGACCGGTCACGCCCGGAAAATCACGCCCGGAAAATCATCCCGCCCGGAATTAATCTCTTCCTTGAAAAAATAAAAAAAATTGATCTCTTTCGGCACGTCTCACGCACGAATTGACAAAAAAATAAGCGGTATTTCATATATATATATTTATTTGTAATTTTCGGGAATAATTATGTTTCGATCGACAGTAAAAGTATAAATTAATACGAAGTTTAGGAAAAAATTATCTAAAAATTCTTAAGCCTACTGCACTTATGTCAATTTAGTTTTAAAATTTTCAATTTTGCTAATTGAATCGTAAACCTTCTGCCGATTTGCCCACTGAGTCCATTCAGTTAAATTTGGCAGGAAATTGCCGACGTGGCATAGCCGGCGGTGATGTAGATTATTTTTCGTAATATTTTTAATACTTTTTGAATTTTCCCTTCTTTTTTTTACCTTCTCTTCTCTCTTCTTTTTTCTTTCCATTTTCTCTTCTCTCTTCTTTTTTCTTTTTCTCTTTTTCCCTCCGTCGGCCACATCGGGCATCCTCGATGTCGCCGGCCTCAGGCGAGGGGGGGCGAATCATTCATTAACGGAGCCTACAAGAGTAAGAAATCCGAAATCCTCCCATCCTCAGGCGAGGGGGGGTGAATAATTCATTAACAGAACCTAAAAGAGTAAGAAATCCGAAATCCTCTCGTCCTCAAGCGAGGGGGACATATCATTCATTTTTCAGCGAAACAAACGGATCCAAAAAAAAAAGGCAAGAAATCCGAAATCCTCCCACACGATTTACTTTGACCCCCGCCTCGTTTTACTCCTACTCAAATGCTCGCGGCGTGAATCCACCGCCCCAGGAAGGGCAGACGCGTACTTTCACGAATCGCGCGGGTAATTACCGGCCCCGCCCGAGGGCAGATCCGTAAAACCGGCCCGCTCCCAATTTGCGACAACTTGCACTAAAAATACACGATTCCCACCAAACCCAAAATTTCATCGAAATAAAAACCCCGAAGGAGGAAGAAGGAGAAGAACAGGAACGATCTCCATTTTCTCTCTGCAACATCAAAGCCACCGCTCTCTTCAAATCAGATCGACCGATCGATCTCACACCCGCCGCCGATTCACAGGCCAGAAGCTCCGATCGCCGCCGGCGTGCCCTTCCTTCCGGCTCCCACCTGATCTTTTCCCGTACCGGCCCCCCCGTTCTCGCAATGTGTGGAGGTGCCATCATCTCCGATTTCATCCCCAACCCGAGGTCCCGCAGGTTGACTGCGGACTTCCTGTGGCCCGATCTGAAGCGGTCGTCGTCGCTGTCGTCGGGCGGCAAGAAGCAGCAGTCGAGGAGACAGGCCAAGTCGGAGCTCATCGACGTCGTGGACGATGACTTCGAGGCCGATTTCCAGGGCTTCAACGACGACTCCGAGGTCGAGGACGATCTCGACGACGAGGTCGAGGTCGTCGACGTCAAGCCCTTCGCTTTCTCGGCCACCGCTTCCAAGCCCCGAAGCTCCAGCGGTAAAACCTTGTCGCCCGCGGCTCCCTTGTTGCTCTGGTCCCCTGATCTTTCTTTCGGAAGAGTGCTTTCCGTTTCAAAGTTTTTTTCTTTTTTGGGTAAAAAGTGCTTTTGCGTTGATTGTGCTCGTTTTTGTGAATAGTGGCTTCATTTTGCTTATTAGGGAGTTGGAAATGGGGTTGTAGCGTTCTAGTTCGATTTGCTTGCTGGGTTTGATTTTGTTGAGCGTTCTAGGCAAGAGTGTTCGTATCCGAGGATCGTCTGTTGTATGTGTTGTGTCCTTTTGGGTCTTTATTGAAGAGATGATACATGCAAATTCGTTGTTAGCTTCGAAACCCTTTTGATCGTGAGGAATATGGCTCCCGTTCGGCTTTTTTGTCCAATTATACCGGGTTTGATTTTTGCTAAATAATTAGGATGTTTTAAGTTTTGGTCGCAGGTAAAATGGTTCATAGGATATGTAGCGAGGTGTAGAGCGAATAAACTGCAGGTGCTTGGTATAGAGTATCTCAACTAGAGGAGCTTTCTTTGTTGAATTAGCCCGTTAGTAGATATATAAGTTTGTAGTCTGCTGTATAATTCAGTCATTAGATCTGCAACTCCGTCGGTATTAACTCTTGTGATAAATTGCTTTTGGCTTCATGAGCTCTCATCAGGTCTGAACTTGGGTTCATTTGTGTAGTTCGTGGGAAACTTTAGTACTATAATTGACCGAAAGACATAGCTATCCATTGTAGACCGCAAATAATTCTTTTTATCTCTTAAGACTTTCAGTTGAAAGATTATTCTGTCAAGGCTACATCTAATGATCTGATTCTGGCGACTTACGGGTAATATGATTGAAAGATTGTTCTTTTGGTTGATGATTCATGATACTATATCGATCTGATTTGTAGTCCACTAGAATGTCTATGTGCTAGCATTTGCTAGTTAGGTTTCTTTTGTTTCGACAAATCTGGCATGTGCGTGTTTTTATCTTTTGCTTTATTGGGACCTGAATGGTGTTGATGTTCTAATCTGAAAGACTTGTCATCATCAATCGCATATAAATGGAGTTGGATGATGCTGAATGGAGTACTAGTTATAGCTCAATCTTCCCATCAGTTTGCTGTAGGTCTATTAGACGGTGTGTGTTATATCAGTGTCTTCTCGTTATCATTGTGTGTGATGTTTCTTTCTTCTGATTCTGAAGGCTCTTCAACCACCAAAACTGTGGAGTATAATGGGCAAGCTGAGAAATCTGCCAAGAGAAAGAGGAAGAACCAATATAGGGGAATCAGGCAGCGTCCATGGGGCAAATGGGCTGCTGAGATCCGTGACCCAAGGAAAGGGGTTCGAGTTTGGCTTGGGACATTCAACACAGCAGAAGAAGCTGCCCGAGCTTATGATGCTGAGGCTCGGAGGATTCGTGGCAAGAAAGCTAAAGTGAACTTCCCTGATGATTCTTCCAACTCATCGTCAAAACGCTCTGTGAAGTCAAATGCTCAGAAACTTCCTAAGACAACAACAAGCAACGCACAGCCAAATCCGAATCAAAATTTCAATTATGCGAACAGCTCTGATGAGGACATTTACAGTTCCATGGGTTTCGTTGAAGAAAAACCACTTACTAACCAATTTGGATACATGGATGCTTTTAATGCCCAAGGGGTTTCTGGACCGGAATCTCTTGCTCCTGCTGACAATGCCCCCTTGTACTTCAATTCAGACCAGGGAAGCAACTCATTTGATTGTTCTGACTTCGGTTGGGGTGAAAATGGCCCAAAAACTCCGGATGTCTCATCTGTACTTTCAGCTACTCTGGAAATTGATGAATCTCAGTTTGAGGATGCTAACCCAAAGAAGAGATTCAAGCCTGCTTCTGAAGACATTGTGTCTGATGAAGAAAACGCTGCTGCAAAGACATTCTCCGAGGAGCTGTCTGCTTTTGAATCCCAGATGAAGTTCTTACAGATGCCATTTTTGGAGGGTGGCTGGGATCCGTCAATGGAAGCTTTACTTGGTGGAGAGGCGACTCAGGATGGTGGAAATGGAGTGGATCTCTGGACCTTTGATGACCTCGCCCCCATGATGGGGGGAGTCTTCTGAAAGGAGTTACCCTTGGCTGGTTTTGTATGTAAATAAAGCTACATGTTAGTGAGTCCTCGACTGCATGCCTGTCTTATTACATTGAGTTGTTTTCCAATGTTAATTATCCTAGTCAATGAGAAAGAGAGAGCTTGTTCCCTAATTATGCTGCAATGCTTTCAGGAATGATTGTCTCCTTTGGTGGAGGAGTTCAAACGGTTGAGCATGGTTAAGCCTCGGATGAAGTGTGGTTTCTCAGGAAGATATGTGTTGTATTGAATTATGCTGCTGACTAGGCTTCGTTTCAATGTCAAGACCTTGTTATTGGAATTTTTGAACTTATGTCTGTAATTTGATGATTATGTGTGATAAATGCTGAAACTCTGATGACAGCAAAAAGCTTGTTCTGTTGGCCAGTGTGCTTCTCTCAATAATTGCCGGGGCCTGTGATGATTTTTGTGGCAGTGTCTTGGATTGGATTTTTTCTCTTGTATGCTACCTAAATACTTAGGCGGTGCCATAGATCTCTAGTTTGGTCAATTAGTGATGGAGAAATCGACCAAAAGAAGGATCACGGGCTCGATGCCCCTCTCTTTCTCTCTGTCATATTGGTTTTTTATAGTCTTTACTGATATAACTAGTTGGGGGTCTCCAAATATTGTGACTTGAATTCAGACGATCGCCCGATTCATCTGTGTCGAGTCGGTCACCCTTTGGTCTTTTGGGTTGAAACACATCTCAGGTCCTTCTCTTGGGTAAATTTCTGCTCATATCATTACCTGATACTTTTCGGGTTCTGCAAGTTGTAGGAGCTTGGCTTCTGGTTCTACTCTGCCCGGGGGGAAAAAAGTTCTCCCTCGATCGAGTCCCTGATACAGTTGTGAATGTTGAAGTTAGGCCTGGGGGCTTATCTCAGGAAGTGTTTGCTAACTATCTAATCCTTTTCTTTGGAGTAAAATTGAAGTTGTTACACCAACTTCTCTCTACAGCGAGAATGGGAAGGAAAAGAAGGAAAAAAACTTCATTCTAAGCACGTGGGGGTGGTCTGAGTCTTTTGGACTCGTTAAAAAGAGGCTGCTTCTGGCGTCGACAATGCCATGTGATGGTGATGGGCACTCACGGTGGGGCATTAGCATGAGTCATTGACGGGTCAATGAATGGTAGGTGAAATGGCGAATGGGGGGTGTGTGGCGTTAGTCGGGTGGAGACGTTTCTTTTCCCTCTTTTTTTGTCTTGTAGCGAAATTGCATTGGAAGGCGAACCCTTCTACAGCGATTCTGAATCTAATAATCTTTAGGGGCAGAGGAAAGTGGAGAATCTTTCTCAGGAGGAATTGAACGGGGGCATCGCAGTTGGCTCGTGAATATTGATTGATACAGTAAGCTGCTTGAGGCTCGCCCCGGCAGCGGCTGGGCAAATACTGTGGATCAGAGTTCGTCCTAACCGCAGATTAAATAGCTTGATTTCATCTGTGGGTCTCGTATGATTAGCGGTTGTAATGGCATTAGATCCATGGACCAGGGTCCATTAGATCCGTTGATGGACTAGGGTTCAGGCAAGAGTTTCTCCTACGGCGGTGGCAGGGCAATGCCTCGGGTGATGGTAGATTGAACGTGTTGGAGTTGGACATGTGAAAATTGACCAGAGATCATTATATGTGTTGGGATTGATTTGGGTATTAAAATGATTCATTTACTTAAGTATTCATTTAAGTCTGCCACATCGTTTGGTATGTCGGTTTTGAGATCAGTTTTGATAATACCCAATGTCTCTGTGTTATGAGCCAATGTATGGCGTTTTTATGTGCTCCGCCCATCACAATCATCAGATCATGTGAATCCCCTTCGATGTCAATCATTGCGATGTACTGGATATTGCACGAAATTCGGTGGGTTCATATGATGTGCCCACAAGTTTTGCAGGGACTTCACAATGCCGAAGGAAGTGCAACGAAGCAACGAAGCGAAATCAAGTCAATACATCATAAATAACTTTTTATAGAACTGTATTAAGTCGAAACTTGTTTGTCCATACTCAAAATTAAGTGAAATTCGTTGAATTTTCCCCTCTTTTCGTGCTTAGTTGTGGATAGACAATATCGGTCTCCCTCCCTACAGTCAAAAGAACAAATTTCCTGGAACTTGCTTGGCGATTCCAAGCAAATCATTTGACCCGGCAGAAAGATGTTATGCATCGATCCAAGAACAAATGCTTCAGACAAAATCATTCGACATTTTTCTTGGTCAATGCATAAGACTTTGGAAAATAAGGTTGTGATCGCCAGACTTCCACATGAAAGGGAGAGACATAAATCTTAAAACAAGAGGAAACATGCAAGCATTGTCTAAATAAAGATCATCATGTTGACTCCAACTCTGAATGCAATTTTCACGGCCGCGTTCGCAAGCCTGTTCATCTCGATTCGCTGCGACAATCCGTTGCCAAGAGATGTCGCTCTGTTCATCTTTGGGGACTCCATCAACGATGCAGGAACCAACAAGTACATCAACACCACTGTGAACTTCAGAGCCAATTTCTTTCCCTATGGAGAGACTTTCTTCCATTATCCCACCGGCAGATTCTCCAATGGCCGTCTTATTGCTGATTTTATCGGTAAGTTTTCTCTTTTTAACTTGTGTTCAAAGTATTCGTTTTCATTTGATTTCGACAATAGTTTTTTTTGCCCCCATTTTTTATGATGCAGCTGAATATGCAAAGCTGCCGCTGATTCCGCCATATCTCCAAATGAAAGATGATGAATTCATGGGAGGGGCGAATTTTGCATCTGCTGGAGCTGGTGCTTTGAGTGACACTTACGAAGGATTCGTATGTAATTGTGTCACCGCTCTTCTCTTTTCTGACACAAAGTCCTTATCTAATGTAAACCTTTTCTTTGGGCTTGTTCTTTAGGTGGTAAGTTTCATGATGCAGCTAAAGCAGTTTGAGAAGCTAGAGAAGAAGTTGAGCAAGAGATTAGGGAATGAGGAGGCGAAGAAGGTGATTGCGGAGGCTGTTTATTTGATTAGCATCAGAAACAACGATTACTTGACGCTGATACATCGCAATCTCACTCCGTTTCAGCCCTCTTCGATGGAAGAATACGTAGGGATGGTGATCGGAAACATCACCACCGTGCTCGAGGTTTACTTCTCGATCCAGCTAATAAGCATATGCAATTTTTCCCTCTAATTTGGACTTAATTAACCTTAATTAATTGTCATAACGTTGTATCTGAATTCTTCTTTTATAGGGGATTTATAAAGCTGGAGGAAGGAAATTTGGAATGATTGGGATTAAAAATATTGGGTGCCTCCCATCCCTGAGAAAATCAACCGGGAACGGTTCTTGCTTAAGGATTGCCAATGTGCTTGCAAAGCTTCACGACATAGATCTGATATCAATTCTCAAGAAGCTGGAGGCTCAGCTACAAGGATTCAAGTACTCCTACTTTGACTTCTACACTTCAGCCCGGGATAGAATCCGAAACCCATCGAAATACGGTCGGTAATACAAGTCTTTCTAACCTTAATTTGTGCTCACATCTTTCTATAGGCAATGAAAGGCGACGGACTCTTTTCTTCTAAAATTAATTTCAGGCTTCAAGGAGGGAAAAATGGCATGTTGCGGTTCGGGTCCATTTAGGGGGAATCCGAGCTGCGGAGGCAAGAGAGGAGTGAAAGAATATTCGTTGTGCCGTCGTCCCGAGAAATTTTTGTTCTTTGATAACCATCCGACCGAGAGGGCCAATCAACAGTATGCTCAATTGATGTGGAACGGAAGTTCAAGCATAACCGGGCCATATAATGTAGAAGAGTTGTTCAAACTTGGGCGAGCTTAGAACTTTTTCTTGGGCCCTTGAGGAAATAAAGGTACTTGAGTGCTGATAGTTGAACTAATTAGATCGATTTATCACTTGATACTATGCTTTTAGTTCCATTTGGGGCGACAAGACATAGGTATCACATTCTCGTGAGGTTTATCATGAAATATCAATGATCTATCTGATTGCATTTAACGTTTAAGAAAAAAGACTTAGAGGATGGAAAGGTATCGTAATGCCGATGGATTTCATTATGCAGTCCATTAAATTATGTGCGAGCTTGATCATCCATTCGTCGTCGAGATGGACCGAGCCCAAATAAAGTAATGTATTAACAGCTCTATTTTGGTGCGATTCATCTAGTGTCTAAATATACGATACATTTACAAGTTTGGCCCACCTCGGTGCTTGGAAAATGGCATTTGACGAGATTAGACTATTCACGTGGTGTAACAAGCTAACATGATTTTACCAAAATGGTGAATCATTAGGAATTTAGACGACGAGATTATGCCAAGAGATGGGGTATTGATGATCCTTGATAGATTTCGATAGTCCTTTATGCATAATTGGTTAAGAATGTTGTCGGCATTTGGTTCAGGTATTGGACCTACCGGATTGCCACAAAACACCGCATCATATGGGCCGTCCACCATCAAAGATCCAAAAGACCCTACTTTCTTATTATGCATATCGCTCTATACAAAATTGGGGTACATATTTGGACAATGCAGTCATTTTGACCATGGTATAAAGACATTATGAAGATTATCATTGCGTCGGGCGATAGATATGTCTTTGATCCCACGTTGTGGGCGCACGAGCTGTTTCATCGGTGAATAACTGTAACGCGATCTCCAACTAGCACGAAGCGTTTTAAACCAGTGAGATGTCGATTAGTCGTGATAAAAAATCACACTATATCGCATTGCAGAGGGGTTCGAGTGGGAGCTGCCATTAGAGCCTAGAGTGAGGGCGCTTATCGGTTTTAAATACTCAGATTTCACGATGTCTACATACAGGTTGTTATGTTGGCAGATCAGTCCGCGCAACCTTAAATAGACACAACACTTTTCATGATGTCAGGGGGCGGCATGCGAGCCATGATCAGAGCAAGGCCCATGGGAGGCTGCCCTGAGATTGTTCTGACGTATCTCCCAAGTTTAAACGTAAGTCAAGAGACTAATGCAAACTCAATGTATAAATGTACTTCTGTATGGAAAGAACATGTACGAGTACTGACATCTTAAGATTCATTACGTAACTGGTCGTTCTCAAGATGCAACCGCGATTTACGTACGTCCATTCTCTGCCATAGATGGCTCTGTTCTTCTTTTCTTGAGCTGAGAACGAAATATTATGCTTGGCAAAACGAGCACGACGCTGCCGATTATGACTTCACTAGTCCTGGTAAATGCACGGAGAGAAGGCTTCGCGACAACTACTATAATCACCACATTTTAGAGGACGAACATGATCCAACAGACACAGGTCATCATGTCGGCTCCAGCTCTCCACTTCATTCTCTTCGCTGTTTTCGCGAGCCTCTTCTTCTCCGCTCGCTGCAGCAATCAATCTCGGAAAGATGTAGCCCTGTTGATCCTCGGCGACTCCCTCAACGATGCAGGGACCAACACCTACCTAAACACCACTGCAGGTTATAGAGCAGATATTCCTCCTTATGGCGAGACGTTCTTCCTGTTAGAGTTGGCGAATACTTCGGGGATTCTTGTTTCTCATACCAGATATGCCCACGTGAGCTTAGGGAAACCGAAGTATGAACCGATGACATGTAACCCCTACGGACCGAATGTCGGGGGTCCCGCTGCCTGGACAGCAGGTGGAGGTTCCGCTCCCCGGTGAGCGGACGGGGGCTCGGAGCAGCGCTCCCGAAACAATATCGGGTTTGCTGGCCCGTTTGTTGTGGGATCAAAGGGATTTAGATAGGTTTGGGCTTTGGACCCATTTTAAGTCCTATATGTATTGTACTCGTATGAGAGATCGTTGTAATGAGTAACTGTGGTTGAAAACCTAAATATCATAGTTGAATCCCTTTGCAGGACGTAACCCTACTCTGAGGTGAACCTGAGTAAACTTGTATATCAATTTTTCTATTATCTGTGTGATTGTTCTGATTCTGTTTAGGATATAACCCATCACTTCCACCACCCCACTGGCAGATTCTTCGATGGTCGTTTGATTGTCGATTTTATCGGTGACTTCTCTGTATTTTTTTTCCGGGTAAATTGTAGGCAAATTCTATTTGTTTCCTTCATCGGTTACTGCTTAATTCATTTATTGTTCTATGTTGTTTTCTTTTTCTTTGGTCATGCAGCTGAATATGCAAAGCTGCCGCTGATTCCACCGTATCTCAAAATAAAAGATGATGAATTCATGGGAGGGGCGAATTTCGCATCCGGCGGAGCTGTTGCTTTGGTTGACACTTATAAAGGATATGCATGTTTCTTATTTGTCTATTTATTGAAGCTCTAATTAACATGAATATTTCCATTTTTTGAGACTGCAAGAAAGCTGGGAAAGGAATAAGTTTGTGTTCTTGACTTATCAGGTGGAGGATTTGAAGATGCAGCTGAAGCAGCTTGAACAGCTAGAGAAGAAGCTGAGGAAGGAGATGGGGAGCGAGAAGGCGAAGAGGATAATCAAGGAGGGTGTTTACTAGATTAACATCGGAAGCAATGATTACTTCATGCCTCTCCTTTACAGTCCTGCTCTGTTTCAGTCCATTTCCATGGATGATTACGTGGGGATGGCGATTGGAAACATCACCAGTGTTCTCCAGGTGCGAAACCACAAGAATTCTGTAATCCACCCGCTCTGCAGAAAGCATTTTCTAGTTTCACTTAAGAATATATTTTATGGACCTTGTGATTTCTTGCAATTTCCGGGCACAAAGCGACAAATTCAACAGATCTATATATAAAAGCTGATGTAAATTGGCAAATTCAAAAATGCCGCGAGTTCGAAGTACAAAACATTTTAGCGTATTCGGGTAGAGAAATATTGCCACGGCACAGTCAAACATGAGTATATAATCCAAATTGACAAATGCACACAAAATGACGGCCCTTAAGTAAATTGCTCTTAGAGATGATGATCGTTTTTAAGTAGTTGTTTAAATCACTATGCCGTGATTTGATATTCAATAAAAATATGTAATATCACTTAGTTAATTATATGTTATGTAGCACTATGTGTCGCATAAGTATAGAATCGTCCAAATATTTTGGTACCTTTTTATCTTATAGTTGGTGGCATCTGAGTGTATCACGATTATTTTATCTCCCAGAACTATCTTAAGGGTGCACCCCTCCACATACACCCTAGATAGTATGTGTTTGCAAGGAAACCTTGTTGTTTTGGCCTCACCAAAATTAGACTTGCAAAACATCTGTCAATTGTAGTGGAATTTCGAGTGGATGATTTGGCTTTCCGATTTTTCTTTTCAGGGAATATACAAAGTAGGAGGAAGAAAATTTGCAATGATTGGAATAGGGCCAATTGGATGTGTGCCAGGCATGAGAGCATTAACCAGAAATGGTGCTTGCCTAGGTGAAGCCACCACTCTTGCAAAGCTTCACAACATTGCTCTTACTTCAGTTCTCACTAAGCTGGAGACTCAACTTCACGGATTCGAGTACTCCTACTTCGATTTCTACACTTCAGGCAGTGAGAGAATCCAATACCCATCAAAATATGGTGAGTTGTTTATGCCCTGTGCGCTTAATTTTGCTTGAGTTTAAGCATAATTGCTTCTATACCACCTGTGGATTTGCATTTTTTTATATTGCTTGTGTACTAAATAGAAGTCCTTATTTGCAATTTGTGAAGTCGATTCAGGTTTTAAGGACGCGGAAATTGCGTGTTGTGGTTTGGGTCCTTATAGGGCAAATTTGAGTTGTGGAGGCCAAAGAGGAGCCAAGGAATATTCATTATGCCATCGTCCTAAGAAGTACGTGTTCTTTGATGCCTATCATCCAACTGGGAGGGCAAACCGGCAATTTGCGCAGTTGATGTGGAATGGGAGTCTCAGTATAATCAGACCTCGCAACCTAAAAGCATTGTTCAAAAATTGAGGGTGCTTGAATTTTTTTTCTAGAAATTGTAGGTATATAACCACATCCCACTCAAACGTCAAATAATGACAAGGCGTGATGTTGGATTGATTGTATGGTTGCACTTCTGTTAAAAAACGAGGATGTCCAAATGAGCCGTAGTAATGTTCGAATGTCGATAGACTTGAATGCCTTACAAATTTTGGAAAATGTCTGAAAAATGAGATGGGTTATTGCTTAATTCTATGCTTTTAAATGCATTTTAAGGGCCCAAAACACAGTGAGCGTTCTAAAGATGTGGTTAAACAATAAAAGAACTGATATTAAAAGAATTAAGAATGAAATAACACGGGGAAAAGAAGACGGAAGGAAGGGAGTCGATTGCATTAGGCAGCCACTAAACTATGTGCCAGATTGATTATCTATTCATTCCTCCCAGATAAACCGAGCCCAGTCCTACCATTATGTTTAGAAAGTTTATGGGCTCTCCAGAGAAGCAATAAGTATGTCACGATCAATTACAAAATTTGTATACTAATAGGATAATGACACAAATAGTCCCTGAATAATAACCCAAAGTACAATGTGGTTCATGAACTTTTAATTTGTTCAATGTGGTCCACAAACTTTTGCCCAACATGTAATGCAGTCCTTGAACTTTTAATTCGTTCAATGTGGTCCCCGGAATTTTGGTACATGTTCTAGTTAGTCCTTGGACTATATGAAAATGTTCAATTGTCATCCTTTCATTAATTCAAGTTCAAGGCCAATATTGAACATTTTCATATAGTTCAGGGGCTAGATTGAATATGTATTAAAAGTTCAAAAATCACATCGAACAAAATTGAAAGTTCATAGACGACATTGCATATTTGGCGAAAGTTTAAGGATTACATCGAACAAATTAAAAGTTCAGAGATCACATTATACATTGAGGTAAAGTTCAGGGACTGTTTGTATCATTTTTCCTATACTAATTGACGAGACAGATTGTTATTGTAGAGTAGTTTTGGGTTGCTTAGTGTTGCTCTCCCGAAAACGGTGGGCCTTTTAGTCCTCTTCAAATCAGTACCTTTATCCTAGGTGCTCTTTATTGGAGCTAAATATGTCTTTTAATCATATTTCTTATTGGTTGATTTTGTCATATCTTGAAAGTCTATAGCCTTTGTGTGGTCCTTGTACCAAATTTGTCTTTAGTAACAAAATTTTCTAGTCACTGCATCATTGGCTCTATCAAGCACGCCGACCTCGCATTACTAGTCCAACAATCAAAATCTTAAAGAAAATATCTCGACACGGGTCTTGAAGTCGCGCGAGCGAATGATGCCGCTTGTGGAATCACTGGAAATTTCCCGGCGCATCAAAATTGCCATAGAATAGGAAAACATTAGAAAGGAAAAAAGAAAAAAAAGAAAAGGAAAAAAAGAGAAATTTCAGAAAATTTTAAAAAAATTGCAACAATCGTTCACCTCAACGCAGGTCAGCCACCGGCCGTGCCATGTCGGACAGTCATGGCGCTAATTAGACTGCCACGTCAGCGATTTGTCAGTCAAAATTGGCCATATGGACTATAATAGAAGATCATCAAAATGTTTAGGACTAAATGAACTGGTGGCTTGATTGATACTTATGAAGGATTTGTATGTCATCATACCATGTCTCTTCTATTTTCTTACACAAGATTCAGACAATTTCAAGTTATTACGTTAACCTTTTCTTGGGGCTTGTTTTTTTGGTGGTAAGTTTCATGATGCAGCAAAAGCAGTTTGAGAAGCTAGTAAGAGATTAGGGAATGAGGAGGCAAAGAAAGTAATTTTCGAAGGCTATTTATTTGATTAGCACCGGAAACAACGATTACTCGATGCCCATTTATCGCAATCTCACTCTGTTTTAGTCCTATTCGATGGAAGAATACATAGGGACGGTGTCGAGGAAAATTACCAAAACAGTTCTAAACCTATTGCAATTGTGCCAATTCAGTCCTAAACCTTTTTTTGTGTCAATTCAGTCCTAAACCTTTTGCATTTGTGCCAATTTAGTCCATCCGGCTAATTTTGGACGGCCGGCGCTGACGTGAACGCCCGCTGGCCAGCGAACGTTGGCGTGGCAATTTTTAAAATATATTATTTATTTTTTTGAATTTTTTTCCTTCATCTTCTTCAACCTCTAGCCAATCGCCAGACCAGCGACTGGCTAGAAGATGGGGCCGACGGGGTCGACCCCGTCGGCTGCCGACGAGGTCAACCTCGCCAGCTCGACGGTCACTTTGAGTGAGGTCGACCTCGCCAGCGATGGTGAGGTCGGCCTCGCTCGAAGTGACTGGCGAGGACGAGACTTGGCAGATGCGAGTTTGAGCAAGGCCATCCTTGTCGTCGCTGGTGAGGGCTCGACCTTGCCGGCAATTGGCGAGGTCGGCCTCGCTCGAAGCGACCGGTGAGGACGAGACCTCGCCGGCTGTGAGGCTCGTCCTCGCCCGCAACTGGCGAGGTCGGGCAAGGCCTTCCTCGCCGTCGCTGGCGAGGGCTCAAACTCGCCAGCAACTGGCGAGGTCGGCCTCGCTTGAAGCCACCGACGAGGCTCGTCCTCGCTGTTAACTGGCGAGGTTGGCCTTGCTCGAAGCGAGCAGCGAGGACGAGACCTCGCCGGCCCCAGCCTCAGGCCGGTCGCCGGTCTGGCGACCGGCTAGAGGTTGAAGAAGATGAAGGAAAAAAAAAGAAAAAAATTAATAAAAAATTGAAAAAATAAAAAATATTTTAAAATTTGTCACGTTAGCATTCGCTGGCCGGCCGGCGTCTACGTCAGCGCTGGCCAGTCAAAATTGGCCAGATGGACTGAATTGGCACAAATGCAAAAAGGTTTAGAACTAAATTGGCAAAAAAAAGGTTTAGGACTGAATTGACACAATTGTAATAGGTTTATGACTATTTTGATAATTTTCCCGACGGTGTCGTGCTCAAGGTAAGCACATTTGAGTATTCATTACATTCCTGGAAGGTTTGTTTCTTGATCTGGTTAAGCATATGTAATTTATTCCTCTAATTTGGACTTATTTAACCTTTATCAATTGTATTTGACCAAAAAAAAAACCTTTATCAATTGTCATAACCAATGAGTATCTGAATTTCTCATTTTTAGGAAATTAATGAAATTGGAGGAAGGAAATCTGGAGTGATTGGGATTCGAAATGTTGGGTGTCTACCATCCACGAGACAATTAACCGGGAACGGTTCTTGCGCAAGCATTGCCAATGAGCTCGCAAAGCTTCACAACAGAACTCCCATATAAATTCTCACGAAGCTAGAGACTAGCTACAAGGAATTGAAGTACTCCTACTTTGACTTCTGCACTTCAGCCCGGGATAGAATCCGAAACCCATCGAGATATGGTCCTAGAGTGGGAGGTCCCACCCACTAAAAGCCGATTTCACAAAGTGGGAATCGGGAACCGCCCACTAATTTCTAGATCCACCCGGGAATCGGATCACTGGTCCAGTTCGGTTCCCGGGTATTTCCATGGAACTGGTCGTGTCCTGGGGGGCTTCTTTGTGATTCAGTCTCTCTCCTCACAAAAATCTAAAACGACAATGGCAATGAAGGGCGCGTCTCAACCACGTATCGCGAGAATCCTCCAACGTCCGGTGCTTAGCCGAGTTCTACAAAGAGGTCTCTCTCTCTTTCCCCCCATTGATCAGGTTCCTCACTTCTCCTGGGTCCTGAAGTGCTTCTTTGATGATTGCAGATTCTGGGTTTCGAGGAGGTGGAGAGCCCCAATTTCGAGTTCAAGGTGATATGGCTGAGCTTCCCTCCACGGGCTTCTTCCTCCACCTCATCGAGCGGTTGCCAGAGTCCAGGCTCCCCGAGGGCCCGTACAGCACGAGCTCGCCGACCGTCGACCCCAAGTACCTTCCCCAAGGCCACCATGTCTGCTTCGCCATCCTCAATTTCGATTCTTTTGTGCAAACTCTCAAGGCGAGAGAGAGCTAGACTGCGAGAAAGTGAGAGAGCGAGCTGCAAGAGAGAGGAATTAGTGTTTTTTGAGAGAGAGTGTGAGGAACGTTAGAGGCTGAAAGCTGGAATTAGGATTTTGAAAACACAAGAATTAAAATACACACACAGGTTCAGTCCGGATAGTCCAGATGGGTGGTTTCAAGTGTAGAACCGGGAACCAGTATTCACCAGTTCAAATTTATTAAAATTGGGAATCGGATCAGTTCTGTGTGAACCACCCAAAACCAGCTGGTTCGGTCTGATTCGAGGTCTTCCCGATATTGTTTGGTTTTTTTGCTCACCCTTAGAGCGAATCCTAGTTGCGGAGGCAAGAGAGAAGTGAATCGTGCCAATTTATTCTTATTCTTCAACAATAGGGCCAATCAACAGTTTGCCCAATTGACGTGACACGGAAGTTCCAGCATCATCGGGCCTTCTAATATAGAAGCATTGTTCAAAGTTGGGCAAAACTTAAACTTCTTTGTCCCTAGACGAAATAAAGGTACTTGAGTGTTGAAAGTAGCATTCATTCATTACTAAGATTCTCTAATTCTAATTCCATTTTGAGGCGACAAAACATAGGTATTACATGTCTCGTGGGGTTTAAAATGAAATATTAATAATCTATCTCATTTCATAATACTAAGTTGGGGCATTAGAGATCATGCCAAGAGTTAGGGTGCCATCGATCCTTGATATACTTCGACAGACCATGCACGACTGGTGAAGAATGTTGTTGGCATGTGGTGCAGTTATTAGACTTGCCAGATCACCACAAAACAACAGTTCGTATGGCCCGGCCAAGGACCATAGACAGTGACAGGCCTTGATCTTGAAAGATCCCGAAAGATACTCCTTTCTTTGTGGACTAGGATAACTAAAGAGAAAAAATTTCTTATAATGGAGATTTCCCAAAAGCCTTCTTGTGGCGAAGTGTTGAACTAGTCGGCCAAAATGGCCAAAAAGTATAAACAGCGTCGCCACGACTCGTTCAGACCGTATCTCCCACGTTTGTCCATCGTATCTCCCAAGTTCATAAGTCCTGGTGAATGCACAGGGAGAAGACTTTTGTTACAAATTCTATGATCGCTACCTCGTCCATAAATATCCAACGAATAGACTTCAAAGCTAAGGACGACGAAAATCATCCCCCACAGATCATCATGTCGGCTCGGACTCTCCACATCATTTTCTTCGCTAGTCTTGCAAGCCTCTTCCTCTCCACTCACTGCGACAATCAATCTCAGAAAGATGTTGCTCTGTTCATCTTCGGCGACTCCCTTAACGACGCAGGGACCAACAACTACATAGACACCCTTTTCAGAGCAAACTTTCCTCCGTATGGCGAGACGTTCTTCCACCATCCCACCGGCAGATTCACCGACGGTCGTCTCATCGCTGATTTTATCGGTAACTTCTCTTTTTCCGGGTAACTCCTACGTGAATTCTATTTATTTCCTCATAAGTTAGTGCTTAATTTATTTATTGTTCTATTTTCTTTTTCTTTTTCTTTGGTTATGCAGCTGAATATGCAAAGCTACCGCTGATTCCCCCATATCTCCAAATGAAAGATGATGAATTCATGGGAGGGGCGAATTTCGCATCCGCTGGAGCTGGTGCTTTGGTTGACACTTACAAAGGATTTGTATGTCTCTTATTTATCTATTTATTCTTTTGGCTCGGAGCTTTAATTGACATGAATATTTCCACTTTTTGAGACTGCAAGAAAGATGGGAAATGAATAAGTTCGTGTTGTTGACTTATCAGGTGGTGGATATGATGGTGCAGCTGAAGCAGTTTGAACAGCTAGAGAAGAAGCTGAGGAAGAAGATGAGGAGTGAGAAGGCAAAGAGGATAATCAAGGAGGGTGTTTACTTGATTAGCATTGGAAACAATGATTACTTCGTTTATGATCCTGCTCTGTTTAATTCCATTTCCATGGAAGATTACGTGGGGATGGTGATTGGAAACATCACCACTGTGCTCAAGGTAATAATACAGAAAAAAAAATCCAAATTTCCATCCACTTTTGTGAAATGTCACTTAAAAATAAATTTTATCGACCTTGTGATTTCTTGCAATTTTTAGGCACAAATCGACACGGTTCGACAGATTTGCATATAAAAGCCGATGTAAATTGGCATATTCGAAAATGGCACGGTTTGAACTCCATGATATTTTCTTTATGTTCAATAGAGATATATTAAGATGACATAATCAAACACGAGTTTGTAATCCAAATTGACTAGTGAACACGAAATGCCGACCCTTAAGTAAACTGCTCTTAATATGATCAATTTTAAGTAGTTATTTAAATTTATAGGTCGTGATTTGATATCCAATAAAAATCTATAATATCACTTAGTTGATTATTGGTTACATAGCTCCGTGTGCGTCACAAGTATAGAATTGCGTAATTATTTGGGTGCCTTTTATCTAATAGTCAGGTGGTATCCGAGTGTATTCGATTAGTTCATCTCCCGAGCAATCTTAAAGGCACACTCCTCTACTTACATACACTATCTGTCAATTGTTATGGCATTTTAAGAGGGATGATTTGGCTTTCTGATTTTTCTTTTCAGGGAATATACAAAGTAGGAGGAAGAAAATTTGCAATGATAGGAATAGGGCCAATTGGGTGTGTGCCAGCCATGAGAGCATCGACCAGAAATGGAACTTGCTCAGGTAAAGCCAACAAGCTCGCAAAGCTTCACAACATTGCGCTTCCTTCAATTCTCGCAAAGCTGGAGACTCAACTGCAAGGATTCGAGTACGCCTACTTCGACTTCTACACCACAGGCAGTGACAATATAAAAAACCCGTCAAAATATGGTAAGTTATTTTTTCTCTGGTGCACTTAATTTTGCTTAAGCACCATTTTATCTATACCACTTATGGATTCATAATTGTTAGATCACGCGTGTACTAAATAGAAGTCCTTACTTTTGAAATGTGAAATTGATTTAGGTTTCAAGGAAGCGAAAACCGCGTGTTGTGGTTCGGGTCCTTTTAGGGCAGAACCAACTTGTGGAGGCAAGAGAGGGGTGGAGGAATATTCATTATGTCGTCATCCGGAGAAGTACGTGTTCTTTGATGCCAACCATCCAAGTGAGAGGGCTAACCGGCAAGTTGCGCAATTGATGTGGAATGGGAGTCTTAGTGTAATCAAACCTCACAACCTGGAAGCATTGTTCAAACTTGAAGGTGTTTAAATTTTATAATTATCTGGAATTGTAGGTAAATAACCACATCCCGCTCGAACATCAAGCTATGAATGACGAGGCATAATGTTGGATTGATTGTATGGCTGCACTTCTGTTATAGAATGAGGATGTTCAAATGAGTCCTAGTATTGTTAGAATGGCAATAGACTTGAATGCTTTAAAAGTTTCGGGAAAAGTCTGAAAAATGAGATTGATTATTCCTTGATTCTATGCTTTTAAACGCATTTTATGGGCCCAAAACACAATAACGTTCTTAAGATGTGGCAAAATGATAAAGAACCGATATTAAGTAGGGGTGAGCGGTTTCCGGTCCGGTTCGGTCCAACCCAAGAACCGGAAACCGGACCGGAATGATCGGTTCCCAGTTTCTAGGACCGAGGACCGGACCGATGGTCCGGTCCGGTTTTAATGGGATCAATCACTTATTAGTAAAAGCAAGAGGGAATTTAATCCCCCATTATAAAATGTGAATGTGCTCAAGGAAGCAAAAGAAGCAATGGTGCTCAGCAAGAATAAGCAATAAGCAGTCAGAAAGATATCTACTAGAACTTGCCTAAAGAACAAGACAAGTGACAAGCAAACTTCTGCTATCCCCTTCTTGGGTATTCAAGCAGTTTCAGATCATTCACTACAGAAGTCTTTGCAGAACAAGTCTCCTAATGCTGCGTCAGAAATAAACAGGCTTGACGTCGTTAGGCCCAAAACTAGCTCTACAGGATGGGCATTTGCGAGGACGAGTTTCTGTTATGTTCTGAATGCAGGTGTTACAGAATAGGTGATAGCATTTCGTGATGACAACCTGAGGATTTAAAAGCAAATATTTTCTATTTTTTTCAAAAATTTTAAAAAGTAAATAAATATATATGAAAAAATTAGAAAAATATATATTTTATCATCATTGTTATTACCCTAGAAGAGAACGATATCATGATTATTATTATTTAGTTTGCATGAGCTTAGCGGATATTATCGAGAACCGGACCAAACCTGTTTATAGGAGCGTAAATATGGCTGTCCATCATTTTGCTCACTCCTTAATATTAAGGCTCTCTTTGTTTCGCGGAAAACATCTTTCGGAAATATATTTTCCTAATTTTTCGGCGTTTGGATCACTTAGGAAAATGAGCCAATAGAAAATTTATGCTTAAAATCAGTCTTAAAGAATTAAGAATTAAAAAAAACTCAGAAAAAAGAAGAGGGAAGAGAGTCAATTGCATTATGCAGCCCATTAAACTATGGGCCATATTGATTATCCTTTCATTCCTCCTAGATGAACCAAGCTGAGTCCTACTATTACGTTTAGAAAGTTCATGATATCTCCCGAGAAACAATATGTATGTTAAAATCACCTGGAAAATTAGTATACTGATTGATGAGACAAACTGTTTTTTGGTTCGAATGTGCGACCTCTTTAATATAACGATCTTGTAGATTAGTTTTAGGTTGCTTTAGTGTTGCTCTTCCGAAAACGGTGGGCTTTTTAGCCCCCTTCAAAATAGTACCTTTATCTTTTTTTTTTGGGCCAGAAAATTAGAAACTTTATCTGATTTCTTATACTTTGTAGCTATTATTATTATTTAGTTTGCATGAATTTAGCGGATATTATCGCAGTTGCTGTTTATGGGAGCTAAATATGTCTTTTAATCATTTTTCTCGTTGGTTGATTTTTGTTATATCTTGAAACTCTATAGCCGTTGTGCTCCTTTTGCCAATTTTGTCTTAGTCTCCGATTGTTTCACAGAAAATAAAGAATTTTGAAAACATTATTCTAAAAATAATTACTTGTATTGTTTATTAATGTAAAAGAACAAAAAATATTTTCATTGTCTATGAAAATATTTAGTTATAAATTATTGTCAATAATGAAAAATATTTTTTATTAACTAATTACTTCAAGTGATAAAAGCGATCAGTTTTAGTAAGATATTTTTCAAATTATTCATTTTCGTGAAATAAACGGAGCCTTAGTCTCAAATTTTTTTTCATTGCGTCATTGGCTGTTTCCTTTTTCATTGGCTCTATCATGCACGCCCACCTCACATTACTTGTTAAACAATCATCTAAAGAAGTGACATATCCGCGAGCCACAATGGAAGCTGCCATTGTTGTTGTCCTCTTCTAGGGTGCCTTCGAAGAGCGCATAAAGAGAGCCTATGGAGACAATAATCACGAACATGCTGCCGGAGAATACGACCAATGATGAGATCTCTCTTCAGCGAGGGCCGCAACCCTTGCTAAGGCTTTGTGAGGGTCGCCAGCAGGCCATTGCCGAGACCCCGACGAACTTTTTTTTGGGAAGATGAACACAAGAAAGAATAGGAAAAAAAGAAAAAAAGAAAAAAAGAGAAGGAAAAAAAATTCAAAATATTAAAGAAATTGCAAAGATCATCCACCTCAACACTGGTCAACTGCAGGCTGTGCCACGTAGAACAGCTGGCGCTGATTAGACTACCACATCATCGATTTTTCGGCCAAAATTGGTTAAATGGACTACATTGGAATATTGTCAAAAGGTTTATGACTAGATGAGCTTGCTTTGATTGATACGTATGAAGGATTTTTATGTAATAATGCCATCTCTCTTCTATTTTCTTACACGAGATTCTAATAATTTCAAGTTATTTTCTTTGGGCTGTTATTAGGTGATGAATTTCATGATGCATGTAGTTTGAGAAGCTGGAGAAGACGTTAAGTAGGAGATTAGGGAATGAGTAGGCAAAGCGAGTAATTTCGGAGGCTATTTATTTGATTAGCATTGGAAGCAACGATTACCTAGATGCCGATTTATCGCAATCTCACTCTGTTCAAGTCCTATGCAATGGAAGATTACGTTGGGATGGTGATTGGAAACATCACCAATTTACCACCGTGCTCAAGGTAAGCACATTTGAGCATTCATACAGTTCCTAGAAGGTTTACTTCTTGATCCGGGGCTAAGCATATGGAACTTTATCCTCTGATGTTGACTAAATTAACCTTTCCTAATTGTCATAACCAATGACTATCTGAATTTTTCCTTTTTTAGGATATTTATGAAATTGAAGGGAGGAAATTTGGAATGATTGGGATGCGAAATATTGGATGTATTCCATCCACGAGACAATCAAGCGGGAATGGTTCTTACTCGAGCATTGCCAATGAGCTCGCAAAGCTTCACAACAGAACTCTCGTATAAATTCTCAAGAAGCTAGAGACTCAGCTACAAGGATTCAAGTACTCCTACTTTGACTTCTACACTTCAGCTCGGAATAGAATCCGAAACCCATCGAAATATGGTCGGTACCACAAGTCTTTCTAGCCTTGATTATGCTTACATATTTATCTAGACAGTGAAAAGTCGTGGGATCTTTTCTTCTAAAATTAATTTCAGGGTTCAGGGAGGCAGAAATGGCATGCTGTGGTTTGGGCCCGTATAAGGCGAATCCGAGTTGCGGAGGCAAGAGATGAGTGAAAGAATATTCATTGTGCCGTCGTCCCGAAAAGTTCTTATTCTTCGATAACCAACCGACCGAAAGGGCCAATCAATAGTTTGCCCAATTGATGTGGAACGGAAGTTGAAGTATCATCAGGCCTTGTAATATAAAAACATTGATCAAAATTGGGCAAAAATTAGGGAAAATGACATATACGGTCCTTAAACTTTGGTCTAATATGTAAAGTGGTTCATCAACTTTCAATATTCTATGGACTAATTTGAACATGTATCAAAAGTTTAGAGATCACATTGCACATTGGATTAAAGTTCAGGGATCACATTGAACAAATTAAAAGTTCTTGGATCACATTGTATATTTGGTTAAAATTTAGAGATGATTTATATTATTATCCTAGGAAATAAAGGTACTTGACTGATGACAGTTGCATTAATTACACTGATTCTCTACTTTTGTTTCCATCTGGAGGCGACAAAGCATAGGTATCACACGTCACGTGAAGAATGCTGTTGTTGGCATGTGGTGCAGTTATTAGACTTGTCAAATTGCCACGGAACTAGTGGCGAGTATGGTTCCGGGGTAGATCTTGAAATCTGAAAACTTGATCGATGAGAATCTGTAGGTTTTAAGTTTCAAGATATGTAAGATAAATTCTAGGTTTCAAAAATTAGAGAACTTGTTTCAACGGGTAGGTTCTAGGTTCTAGATAGGCGGAACCTAAAACCTGGAATCTAGAATATGGAATTTGAAACCTAAACAACCTTTTTGTGTTTTTTCTTGGTCAATATCTTCACGTGATCCTACGGTGTTTCATGGCGTTAGATGATGGATGTATAATCTGGAACCACTAGTTTGAGCTTTCATTTTATGACTTGTTAATGTTTCATATTCTTCGTGTGTCTAAATATAAGTTATGGTCAGTGGATCATAGCAGCAAGTGGTGGTAATTAAAGGTGATGGTTCACTGCAATTGTTCAATTAATAATATAGGTGGAACCTGGGTAAACCTTGGCAATGACCTTGGAACCTATGATATGGTAGGTTCCAGGTTCCAAAAAATAAGAAACCTATTTTCATGGGTAGGTTTCAAGTGGAACCTATACGAAATATGGAACCGCTCACTCCGAGTATTGATTCACACAATGACTTCTCAGTTTAATTGTATTTATTTGAAACGTAATGCCAGGAAAACTAGTCTTTTGTATTTTCTTTGGTGAATTCTTTGGTGAATGACTAGCTTGTTTAGTATTGTTGCGTTCATTTTTGTTTTGATTAACTAAAAATGAAATATAAAAAAAAGAACTTGTTAGACCCTTGAACCTATCCTGAAACCTGTGACAGGGTATGTTTTAGGTTTCACTGATTCTCTACTTTTGATTCCATTTTGAGGCGACAAACATAGGTATCACATGTCCCGTGAAGAATGTTGTTGTTGGCATGTGGTGCCGTTATTAGACTTGCCAAATTGCCACAGAACGACACTTCGCACGGCTTGGCGAGCGACCATGGACCGTGACAGGCCAATCTTTTCCCCACTGTTCCGTTTGATTATGAAAGATCCCAAGAGACACTGCTTTCTGAGTGTACTAAGATAATTAGAAAGAGAAAATGTCTCTGCTTAATCGTTTCTTATTATGGACATCTGTGCATGCAAAAAAGAGTGCATATTTCGAAAATGCAGTCATTTTGACCGTGATCAAAGATATTATGAAGATTACGATTGCATTGAGCGTTGGATTAATCTTTGATCTAGCATTGTGAACATATGAGCTATTATATTGTATATTGGTGAGCAACTTTCATGCAACCTCCAACTACCGTGAAGCATTTAAACCCATTAGGGGCACGGGTTAGTCTTAATCAAAACCGTGCTGTATCGAGCATGAGATGGGTTGCAGTTGGGGCTGCTAAGAGTGATGTCGGAGCCAGAGCGGAGACGCTTATCGGTTTTGACATACTTCGATCCCACGATATCTAGATATTGGCTGTTATGCTACCCGGTAAGTCTCGTGTGACCTTAGACTAATAAGATACTTATTATAATGTGAGGGTGCGAGTGAGACACGATTGGAGCGAAGGCCGCGGATGAGGCTGCCTCCTGATTGTGTTAGCCAGTAGTGTGCCCTGGGGCTCACACGAGGAACTCTTTTGAAATATCATGAACATATGATTTATTAAAGTGGGCTTCTGGATAACGACTAAAAGCGCTTATGATAGGGTTAAAGACTTGTCCCCCTTGACGAAAGTCTTCTTGCACTGCAAGTGTTGAACTAGTCGGCCACTTGACCAAAAAAAAAAAAAAAACTAGTCGGCCAAAGTGGCCAAACAGTGAAAACCGTGTCGGACCACGACTCGTTCAGACGCGTCTCCCACGTTGGTCCATCGTATCCCTCAAGTTCGTAATTCCTGGTAAACGCACAGATAGAAGAGACTTCGTAACAAATACTATGATTACCATATTCTATGTGTCTATATATATTAAACCTAAAGTGGACGAACATCATCCAATACAGGTCATCATGTCGACTCCGACTCTCCACATCATTCTCTTCGCTAGTCTCGCCAGCCTCTTCGTATCAACTGGCTGTGCCAATCAATCTCGGAAAGACGTTGCTTTGTTCATCTTCGGCGACTCCATTAACGACGCAGGGACCAACAACTACATAAACACCACTGCAGATTTCAGAGCAAACTTTCCTCCTTATGGCGAGACGTTCTTCCACCATCCCACTGGCAGATTCTCCGACGGTCGTCTCATCGCTGATTTCATCGGTAACTTCTTTTTTTTCCGGGTAACTTGTGCGCAAATTCTATTTATTTCCTCATAAGTTAGTGCTTAATTTATTTATTGTTTTATTTTTTTTTCCTTTTTCTTTGGTTATGCAGCCGAACATGCAAAGCTGCCGCTGATTCCACCATATCTCCAAAAGAAAGATGGTGAACTCATGGGAGGGGCGAATTTTGCATCCGCTGGAGCTGGTGCTCTCGTTGACACTTACAAAGGATTTGTATGTTCTTATTCCCCTTTTTTTTTGGCACGAAGCTTTATTTGACGTGAATATTTCCACTTGATGAGACTGCAAGAAACATGGGACATGAATAAGTTCGCGTTTATAATTTATCAGGTGGTGGATTTCAAGATGCAGCTGAAGCAGCTTCGACAGCTAAAGAAGAAGCTGAGGAAGAAGGGGGGGAGTGAGAAGGCGAAGAGGATAATTAAGGAGGGTGTTTACTTGATTAGCATCGGAAGCAATGACTACTTGATGCCTCTCGTTTATACTCCTGCTCTGTTTCAGTCCATTTCCATGGAGGATTACGTGGGGATGGTGATTGGTAACATCACCACCGTGCTCAAGGTATTAACCAAACTTCGTGGCCTTATAATTGTAATTAGACCTAAATCAACCTTTGTTGATTGTCATAATCTTTCAAAGTGGATGAATACTGAATAGATTTATAATGTTTTTTCAGGGAATATATAAAGTAGGAGGAAGAAAATTTGCAGTGATTGGAATAGGGCCACTTGGGTGCGTGCCAGGTGTGAGAGCATTAACCAGAAATGGTTCTTGCTCAGGTGAAGCCAACAAGCTCGCCAAGCTTCACAACACTGCTCTTACTTCAATACTCACAAAACTGGAGACTCAACTCCAAGGATTCGAGTACTCCTACTTCGACCTCTACACCTCAGGCAGTGAGAGAATCCGATACCCATCGAAATATGGTAAGTTACTTATGCTCTGGCGCACCTAATTTGGCTTTAGTTTAAGCATCATTCCTTCTATACCACGTGTGCATTTGTACCTTTTGCATTGCTCGTGTACTGAATAGAAGTCCTTATTTTTGACATGTGAAATCAATCCAGGTTTTAAGGAAGCGGAAAACGCGTGTTGCGGTTCGGGTCCTTATAGGGCGAATTCGACCTGTGGAGGCAAGAGAGGAGTGAAAGAATATTCATTATGTCGTCGTCCCGAGAAGTATGTGTTCTTTGATACCTACCATCCAAGTGAGAGGGCTAACCAGCAATTTGCACAGTTGATGTGGAATGGGAGTCCGAGTGTTGTTAGACCTCACAACCTAGAAGCATTGTTCAAATACGAGTGTGTTTGAATTTTTTTTTTGAAAACGTTGGTGAATAACCACAACCAGCTCAAACGTCAAATATGAATAACGGGGCATTGTTTTGGATTGATGTATGGTTGCACTTCTGTTAAAGAACGAGGATGTGCAAACGGGCTCCAGCATTGTTCAAAGGTGGACAAACTTGAATTCCTTGAAAGTTTTGGGAAAAGTTCGAATAAATGCGATTGATTATTGCTTTGTTCTATGTTTCTAACTACATTTCAAAGGCCCACAACACAGTGAGTGTTCTTAAGATAAGGTTAAACATTAAGCAACTGAAATGGAGAAAAATTACCAACGAAAACTCAGAAAAAGAAGAGGGAAGAGAGTCGAATGCATTATGCAGCCCATTAAATTAAAGGCCAGATTGATAATCCATTCATTCCCCCGAGATGGACCTAGCCTATGCCTACGAATGTTATTAGTATACTAATTGATGGGACAGATTGTTATTGGGTATTGAATGTTAACCCATTTAATATATCCATCTTGTCGACCAGTTTTAGGTTGCTTAGCATCGCTCTTTTGAAGACGGCGGGCTTCTTAGCCTCTCCAAATAAGTACCTCAAACGTGTGATCCATCTAAAGTATTGATCTTTCTTTTTTGACATCAAACCCACATAACTCGCTCAAGTATTGCCAATGAGCTTGCAAAGCTTCCCAACATAGCTCTCCTTTCAATTCTCACAGAGCTGGAGGCTCAAACTACGAGGATTCAAGTGCTCCTACTTTGACTTCCACGCTTCAGCCCATAATAGAATCCGAAACCCTCGAAATACGGTCGGTAATACAAGTCTCTCTAACCTTAATTATGCTTACATCTTAGATAGACAATGAAAAAGTGAGAGCATCTTATGGTCTAAAATTAATTTCAGGCTTCAGGGAGGCGAAAATGGCACGTTGTGGTTCGGGTCCGTGTAGAGCGAATCTGAGTTGCGGAGGCAAGAGAGAAATGAAAGAATATTCATTGTGCCATCATCTCGAAAAATACTTATTCTTCGACAACCATCCGACTGAAAAGGGCCAATCAACAGTTTGCCCAATGGATGTGGAATGGAGGTTTAATGAACATCGGGCCTTATAATGCATAAAAATTGTTCAAACTCGGGCAAACTTGAACTTTTCTTGGACCCTTGGACCCTTGAGAAAATAAAGGTACTTGAGCCTTGACAATTAAATTAATTAGACCAATTTATCACTTGTTTCTATGCTTTTAGTTGCATTTTGAGGCAACAAAACATAGGAATGATTTAAAATGAATCGTCAATAGTCTATCCCAATGCGATGAATAGTTAAGAAAAGAGATCGAGGATTGTAGGGTACTGAAACACTAATCGATTTCATTATGCAGCCCATTAAATTCTGTGCGGGCTTGATTAACCCGTTCATCCATCGAGATGGACGAGCCTGGATCCACCTCGGCACTTAGAAAGTGGTATACGACGTGATTAGACTATAGACATGGTGTAACGAGCTAACATGACTTTACCAAAATGGTGAATCATTAGGAATTTAGACATTCATGTATATGACGAGATCATGCCAAGAGCTGGGGTACCGATGATTCTAGATAGATTTCGAGACCTTTATGCATAATAGGACGAATGTTGTCGGCATGTGGTGCAATTATTGGACCTGCCAGATTACCACAAAACAACACATCGTATGGCCCGGCCGGGGACCATAGACAGTGAAAGATCTGAAGACACTGCTTCTTTCTGTCCTAACAAAATAGAGAGAAAAACAAGGTCTCTGCTTAATTGTTTTCTTATCATGGACATCACTTCCATATAAAAATGAGTACATATTTTGAAGATGCAGCCATTTTGACCCTCATAAAATATATTATGGAGATTATGATTGCCCTGGGCGTAAGATATATCTTTGATCCCATGTCGTTGGCATATGAGCTATTCAATTGATCGAAAAACTCTCACGCAACATCTAATTGAACGGAGTATTTTAACCCGTTAGGCCTCGGGTTAGTTGTGATCAGAAGCACGCTATATGGCACTTGAGACGGGTTTGATTGGGGGCTGCCTTCAGCGGTACTAGAAACAGAGTGAGGGTGCTCATCGGTTTTACATACTCTGGATCCCGTTGTCCAGATATAGGCCGTTATGTTAGCTAATAAGGGTGCACATGAAATGCATTCTGGAGCAGAATTTCTGCTCTGCAATGTATTCCGGAACAGAAATGCGTTTGTTAAAAAATTTTCGAAATGCATTCCGGAGCAATTTTTGCATTCCGTAACAAAAATGCATTTGGTAAAAATGCGTTCTTGACTTCTGTCGAGAGAGAGAGGGAGCGTGGTTGTGTTTGATTTGGAGTTGAGGGATTGGATTAGTCCTGCCGGTGGGATTGGAAGTTCGCGGTAGGTTTTATTGAGTAGATGATGCGGCTGCTTTAGGTTTATTCCGGTCGTTTGAGTTGGCCTCTCGAGCTTGAGAAGGAGGTTCTGCGCGGTTGGATATGTATAGACGTGTTTCGGTTGCTTGTGATTAATTGGATTGAAATCGTGACGCGGCGACCACCGGCTTGTTAGGAATTTGAATCTTGAAATGTGGGCGTGCCTTAACCTCCTGTTGGTTCTGCATTAAAGGGGGCTCTTTTTGTTATTAACTTCGTCCGCAATCGTTTGTATTTTGGGAGACTTTTCTGCCCTCCATTATAGTGGATTCCTGCGTGACCCCCCTCCTTTGTCGTGAATGGGGGTGTTTAGGAGGAAATTTTTAGATGATTCGGCTTTACCGCATCGGTTTTGTGGAGAATTTCGAGAGAAACCAATGAAGTGATGATGGGATATCGTGCTTAAAGCGTGAACGATTTTTTCGGTGGCAGCGATATCTGTTCCTCTGGCTATTGCAGTTTATGTTTTGCGTGATGACGATTTAGCTCCGTTTATGCAGGATCGCGATCTCATTGTCGAGCCAATGTCTTCCGGTAGTTCATCTCAGTCAGCAAGGCAATCTACACCGTCCTCAGCTTCATCAACGACCAATGAGCAGCCTCGATCCCGTAGCACTGGTAAAATACATTGACATTGGCCACTTTGATAGGAATGGTGTTGGGTGTATCAATGAAATTTTATAAGATGTGTTTTCTTTGATACACTACCATGTACCGATTTGAAATTCGTTTTGATGATTTTGAACCCTATTCTTTGGTTTAGGATCTTCTACCGGAAGCTCTAGCCCATCAGCAACTTCAGCTTCAAATCCAACTTCTTTGCGCTGGGATCGGCAAACTATACAATTCTCTGTCAATGCTTGGGTACGATGAGATTTCATCCATGCTTCATTATGCGCCTATATATTTTTTCCTTTGGAGTGAATATTTTCTGACATGTGAACAAGTGTTTGAATGCCATACAATCACTGCAACAGGGTCATATGCACTTGTTCTTCTAGTTATCCGAGTTATGTTTACAAGATTACATAAACAATGATTTTGGGCTACTTGCCTTGGACTTTTAATTGCATATGGGGTTCTAAGGCACAAATTAACGCTGTCCTGCTCTCTCTCTCTCTGCATCTGCGCCGTAGTTTGGAAGGGCAGAGTGCGTAGAATATCTTGATTCTTCAGTAACAAGCAACGTGCATAAAGTTCCTCTTATGCATGGTTCCTCTTAATTGCGTTATGTTTCAGACCTTGCTATTGATGTTGTATGAGGGACTCCTTATTGCTTATATCTCATTCTGCTTGGATCCTTTTTCCCTTCTGCAGCTTTTAAAGCTTATGTATCATGCCCCTGCAACTGCGGGCTATCATCAAAGTACGTGGGCTAAGATTGGAAGGAGTGTTAATCCGCTTTTTCAGCGCTATGCTCCATTCCTGAACACTCCATTATCTGCTGCTCAGAGATGGTGGTTCAGGTAGTGCCCACAAGGTAGGAGTCTTGGGGAGCCATCTTCTTGCTAGGACTTCTGGTGTCTCGGCGGAGGACACACTGATAAGTGTCGGAGAAAGCCATCTTAGACTTTAGATGGATGTTAGCTAATCCTTTAAAACCATGTCTCTGTTTTTGATTCTCGATCGTCTCTGCTGGGCCATCACGCCCTGTTTTCTCACCGATGCCCTCATAGCTTATTTATTAGTAGTTTGATCCATCTACACGACAGAACAAAATGGAGGTTGGAATTTGCCTTGACCACTTTTAAAATGGCACCTTGTCTTTCGTACTCTGAAATGACTTCTTGGGAATTGGCATGTGCACCTGAGACGAATTCGTGTCCTAGACAAATAACTCCTTGAGTTTACACGTGAATCATTGGTGTGCTCGTCTATTTTTTCATGTTATGCTTGTTAACGCTGTGTAACAGTGTTGAAAATATTTGTCATCTGCTACAGGTTTCAGAAAGTTTTTTGTGTTTTTTTTTGTTTTCCCGGGATCTATTATCTTTATCCACAACATTCTTCTGTTTTATCCATGTTACGTGCTTATAAGGAGTGGAAATAGCGGCGAGAGATCGCCATTATCAAGAGATGAACCAATCTAGTTTTGCATTTGAAGAATCATTCGACAGGCGTTGTGCCCACGTGTGAAAACGTTTCTTTAGTGCAGAAGTGTATTTGTTGACGTTGCCCACAATCATATATACTCGGTCATTGAAAGCCGATAGAAATTATCGTTGGAATGAAATCCGTTTGTTTCACAAAAAATGAATGATCTAGAAAATATTTTCTTGAAGATGATCGTTTGTATTGTTTATATGAACGAGTGAACAAAGTTTTTTTCATCGTGCACGAAAATATTTATATATAAATTGTTACCGCAATAGAAATATGTTTCATCGACTAAAAGTGGACATTGATATCACAACTTGCGAGGGCTCCGAGACATCAATCAAAGCGGACCAAGAAGCAACCTTTTCGTCAATGGGTGTTGCATGGTCAATAAATAGCCACCCAAATGGGAAGCAAAATGTACTCAGATTCAGTCGCATATTATGTCTTCATTATACATTATATAAAATATGCTTGAACTCTCTAAACATGTATTTTCTTTCTTTTTGTTTGACGTGATGGTTTTCATACAACTTTTCAGTCATATGAATCATTGCGTTGTAATTCTCTATTCGGAGTTGCCTTTTAAGACTAGGACCGATCTTGGTGAGGTATAATTCTGGTCACGTGATGGTTGGACTCTTGCGTGCCACAATCCAAACAACTTGAAATGGCTTTGGAGTCATTTGAATTTGGCAATTGTAATTTGTAGATAATGTGTCGTCGATCGCGATCGCGACATATGTGGCCTGCACTATATCGGACCTACAAACTCTGTTTTTCTCTTATTGACTTGTGACGACTTGGGGTGAACATGCTGACGAGGTCTTTACACCCCCCACAAATCATCTGATAATGCTAATGGCGCGGTTAGTTATAGCAATGTCTGTTATTTGCATCATAATCCTATCACAAATTCGTTACTGCATTGTAGGTTAAGATAAATAATATTTTGCAATTGAGTTCGAACTATCTTTATTGCGGAAATAAAATTGACGCGCCGTTATAAAATGCATTTCTCATCTAGAAGCAGAAATTTTCTTCTCGTTTTATCAAATAGATTTCTCTTCCATAAATCAATTTTTGGAGCAGAATTAGTCTTATTTTATCAAACAGATTTCTCCTCTGGAAATCGATTTCTAGCAAGAATTCCAGAAATTAATTTCTGGCAAGAATTTGATTTCCGGAGCAGAATGGTTATCATTCGCGCCCTAATTCCCGGGCGACTGTAAACTAACGATGGTTGCCTCCAAATCGAGTTAACCAATGGTGTGCCCTGGTGCTCACACGAAGAACTCGATTTGAATCATCTAAGCACATGATTTATAAAAGTGGGCTTCTAGATAAGTACTAAAAAGCGACTATAAATTGATTAGAGACTTGTCTCCTTGACGAAAGTGGGAATAAATGTAAAAATACATAGTCGGGCTACGACTTGTCCAGATTTATCTCCCACGTTTATCCAATGTATCTCCCAATTTCATGAGTGCTGTTCAATGCACGGACTGAAGACTTTGTAACAAATATATATGTACCAACCTCAAGAGGACGAATATCATCCAACACACGGGTCATCATGTCGACTCCGACTCTCCACATCATGCTCTTCGCTGTTTTCGCAAGCCTCTTTGCCTCAATTTGCTGCAACCATCAATCTCGGAAAGATGCCGCTCTGTTCATCTTCGGCGACTCCATTAACGACGCAGGGACCAACAACTACATAAACACCACTGCCTTTTTCAGAGCAAATTTTCCTCCTTATGGCGAGACGTTTTTCCGCTATCCCACTGGCAGATTCTCCGATGGTCGTCTCATCGTCGATTTTATCGGTAACTTCTGTTTTGCTGGGTAACTTGTACACAGATTCTATATATTTCCTCATAAGTTACTGCTTAATTTATTTGTTGTTCTATATTGTTTTTGTTTTTTTTTGGTTATGCAGCTGAATATGCAAATCTGCCGCTGATTCCACCATATCTCCAAATTAAAGATGATGAATTCATAAGAGGGGCGAATTTCGCATCCGCTGGAGCTGGTGCTTTGGTTGACACTTTTGAAGGATTTGTATGTTCTTCATTTATACGTCTTTGGGCTCGAAGCTTTATTTAATATGAATATTTCCACCTTTTGAGACTGCAAGAAAGATGGGGAATGAACAAGTTCGTGTTTTTAATCTATCAGGTGATGGATTTGAAGATGCAGCTGAAGCAGCTTGAACAACTAGAGAGGAAGCTGAAGAAGGAGATGGGGAGCAAGAAGGCGAAGGGGATAATCAAGGAGGGTGTTTACCTGATTAGCATCGGAAGCAATGATTACGGGGTGGCTCTCCTTTATAATCCTGCTCTGTTTCAGTCCCTTTCCATGGAAGAATACGTGGGGATGGTGATTGGAAACATCACCACTGTGCTCCAGGTGCGAAACCACAAGATTTCCAATATACACCGAGAAAGTATTTTCTAGTTTCACTTCAAAAGTAGATTTTATGACCTTGTGATTTCTTGCGATTTCTGGCACATTCGGACTCGATTCGACAGCTCATGCACAAAAGCCAATGTATATTGACAAATTCAAAAGTGACACGATTTCAAAGCACATGATCTTTAAGCATGCTCAATAGAGACATATTTCGGGAAAAGTGCCAAAAAAGTCCTAAATCTTTTGCATTAGTGCCAATTTAGTCCTAAACCTTTTTTTGGTGCCAATTCAGTCCTAAACCTTTTGCATTTATGCCAATTTAGTCCTAAACCTTTTTTTGGTGCCAATGAAGTCCTAAACCTTTAAATTGGTGCCAATTCTCGATCCTAAACCTTTTGTTTTTGTGCCAATTTAGTCCTTCCGGTCAATTTTGACCGGAATTTGCCGACGTGGACGCCTGCCGGCCGACAGCCGGTCACATGCGCCGACGTGAACAACTTTAATAATATTTTTTTGAATTTTTATTTTTTTTCCTTTTTTTTTCTTTTTTTTCCACTTTCCCCCCCCCCCCCTCCTTCCTCTGGCCGCCGCCAGAGGCCAGAGGCCGGCGAGCTCGACCTCGCCGGCCACTGGTGAGGGCGGCGGCCTCGCCCGGCGAGGGCTCGAGCCTCGCCATGGTCGGGCGAGGCTCGACCTCACCAGATCCGGCGAGGTCGGGCCTCGCCCCGACCATGGCGAGGCTCGAGCCCTCGCCGGAGGCCGCGGCGAGGGCGAGCCTCGCCATGGTCGGGCGAGGCCCGACCTCGCCGGATCTGGCGAGGTCGAGCCTCGCCCAGCGACCTCGCCGCGGCCTGCGGCGAGGCGAGCCTCGCCTTGGTCGGGCGAGGCTCGACCTCGCCAGATCTGGCGAGGTCGGGCCTCGCCCGACCATGGCAAGGCTCGCCCTCGCCGCAGGCCTCCGGCGAGCGCTCGAGCCTCGTCGGACCATGGCGAGGCTCGCCCTCGCCAGGCGAGGCCGCCGCCCTCGCAAGTGGCCGGAGAGGTCGAGCTCGCCAGAGGAAGGAGGGGGGGGACAAAAAAAAAAAGTGGAAAAAAAAAGAAAAAAAAAGGAAAAAAAATAAAAATTCAAAAAAATATTAAAATATTATTAAAGTTGTCCACGTCAGCGCCACGTCGGCGCCGGTGACTGGCCGGCAGGCGTCCACGTCGGCAAATTCCGGTCAAAATTGATCGGAAGGACTAAATTGGCACAAAAATAAAAGGTTTAGGACTGAATTGGCACCAATTTAAAAGGTTTAAGACTTAATTGGCACCAAAAAAAGGTTTAAGACTAAATTGGCACCAATGCAAAAGGTTTAGGATTGAATTGGCACCAAAAAAAGGTTTAGGACTAAATTGGCACTAATGCAAAAGGTTTAGGACTTTTTTGGCACTTTTCCCGACATATTTCAATGGCACGACTAAACATGAGTGCTTAATCCAAACTGACAAGTGAGTATGAGATGCCGGCTCTTAAGTAAATGTAATTCTTTCTCACACTCTTTACCATATGCCATGATTTGATACCCAATTAAGGTCATTATATCACTTAGATAATTGTTTTTTATATAGTTCCGTGTGTAGCGCAAGCATAGAATTGTGCAAGTATTTCGGTGTCTTTTTATTCGACAGTAAGTTGATATTCAAATGTATCTCGACTAGTTCATCTCTCTGAGAGGTCTTAAAGGTGCACTCCACTGTATACATACACAATATAGTGTGTTTGCAAGGTAACCTTCTTGTTCTGGCCTTGCAATAATTAGGCTTGCTAAACATCTGCTAATAGTTATAGCATTTCAAGGGGATAATTTGGCTTTCTGATTTTTGCTTTCAGGGAATTTATAAAGTAGGAGGAAGAAAATTTGCAATGATTGGAATCGGGAAAATTGGGTGTGTGCCAGGCTTGAGACTATTAACCAGAAATGGTGCTTGCTCAGACGAAGCCAACAAGCTCGCAAAGCTTCACAACGTTGCTCTTGCTGCAATTCTGGCAAAACTGGAGACTCAACTACAAGGATTCGAGTACTCGTACTTCGACTACTACACTTCAGGCAGTGAGAGAATCCAATACCCATCAAAATATGGTAAATTATTTATGCTGTGGGAACTTAACTTAAGCATCATTTCTTCTATGCCACTCGTGGATTTGTGCCTTTTACATCGCTCGTGTACTGAATAAAAGTCCTTATTTTTTATATGTGAATTGATTCAGGTTTTAAGGAAGCGAAAACCGCGTGCTGTGGTTTGGGTCCTTATAGGGGTAATTCAACCTGTGGAGGCCAGAGAGGAGTGAAGGAATATTCATTATGCCGTCATCCTGAGAAGTACATGTTCTTTGATGCCTACCATGCAAGCGAGAGGGCTAATCGGCAATTTGCGCACTTGATGTGGAATGGAAGTCCGAGTGTAATTAGACCTCGCAACCTGAAAGCATTATTCAAGCATGAAGGTGCTTGAATCTTTTTGTTTTCCATGAAATCATAGGTAAATAATCACATCCCACTCAGAAGTCATATTACGAATAACTGAGGGATGATGTTGGATCGATTGTACGGTGGCACTTCTGTTAAAGAATGGGTATGTTCAAATGAGTCTCAGTATTGTTCAAACATTGACAAACTTGAATTCTTCGCGTTTGGTCGTCCGAATTTGGATTGGGATAGGATAGGATAAAATAGGATTAAAACTCCTCTCAATATCCTCCGGATTGTAAAAAATCCTATCATATGTTTGGTATAACCTGGATTGAAATTTTTTTAAAATCTTTAAAAATCTACTAAATATCTCTCTGTGATCATCCTCATACTTCCTCCACTCTTCACGCTTTCGTTGTTTCGCTAATGACCGGAGGAAGCTCCTCTCTCCTAAGCTGTGACATTTCTGTAGTCCCGCGTTCTTATTCCCGATAACACTCATACACACGGTGGCGACCCCTCAAAATCGTCAAGTTAGTCTTGAACAAACTTGACCTTGTGATGCTCTGTTTTGGCACAACCCATCATTGCCAATGCAATAGAGCGCGAGGATTGTGTATATATGCAATTGAGACGTGTACTCGTAGGCATGAAAAATCCAAACTAGAATCAAAACCTTAATCACTAGTCGGAGCGAAGCAGAGTGAATTTCAGGGATTTTTCAAAGCTTTCTTGTCTCCGTTTGGTGGTGGGTGATTCGTGAATGTGAACAGAGCATAAACAAGTCGAAGAAGAAGAGGGAGAGGGCAAAAGTTACAGGGATAGCAGAATATTTTGCGGATATTATGAAATTTAGTTTTTTTGTAAAAAAAATCCATATTTACGATTCTATCCAGATCTATCCCACCCCCTAGGTAGGATATTTTTATCAGAACTATATCCGGTCATATCCGGATTTCACGTCACTCCAAATACTGGATAGGATAAAAGTTATCCTATCCGGAATTTTATCCGATCCACCAAACATAGCTTAAATGTTTTGGGAAAAGTTCGAATAAATGAGAATCATTATCACTGTGGTTGTGTGCTTTTAAATACAATTTAAGGGCCCGCAGCATAGTGAATGTTCTTAAGATGAGGTCAAACGGGAAAGAACTGAAAGTAAGAAAAAGAAGAGGGAAGACGGTCGATTTCATTATGTAGCCCATAAATTATGGGCCAGATTGATTATCCATTCATTCCTACGAGATGGACCGAGCCCAGGCCTTCTAATGTATTCAAGAAAGTTTATGGGCTCTCCCAGAAAGGTTATATCATAAGATAAGTAGTAAGTCTATTTAAGATCGACCTGATTAGTACACTAATCAACAAGACAAACTGTTATAGAATGGGATAATGACACAAACAGTCCCTAAACTTTGCCCTAATGTGCAATTTGATCCATAAACTTTTAATTTGTTTAATGTAGTCCCTGAACTTTAGGTTAATATTTAATGTGGTCCCTGAACTTTTGGTGCATGTTGAATTCAATCTCTGAACTATATAAAAATGTTTAATGCAATCCCTAAACTTGAATTAATGAAAAGGACTGTATTGAACATTTTCATATAGTTCAGGGACTGAATTGAACATGTAACAAAAGTTCAGGGATGACATTAAACAAATTAAAAGTTCATGGACCACATTGCACATCGGATTAAAGTTGATAGACCACATTGAACAAATTAAAACTTTAGGGACTAAATTGCACATTGAACCAAAGTTCAATGACTGTTTGTATCATTTTCCCTTATAGGATATTGAATGCGTGACACATTTAAGATACTGATCTTGTGGACTAGTTTTAGGTAGCTTGGCGTTGCTCTTCTGAAAATGGTGGGCCGTCTAGTCCTCTTCGAATTAGTACCTCACATCTGTGACCTACTTAATATATCGATCATTCTTTTTTTTTTCGAGGCCTAATTCCCTAAAGAACCCAAATTTTAGGTTTTTGCCCCAATTCTACCCTAAATTTTTGTTTTGTCTAAAAAAATCTCCAACTTTCATTATAGTCCCAAATTTGCCCATATTAACCCTCCGATCAAAATTATTGTTAGTCATCTAACGTGGCATTCCCACGTCAACTGTAAATCCACATTGTCTGCATACGCTGATTTTTCGTCACTTTTCATCACCTTCATATTTTTTTTCTTCTTCTCGATTCCTTGCAACCTCCAAGTGCTTGAGCTCAAATTTAGGTCGCATGACCTCGAATTTGAGTCGTGCAACCTTAGATGCCTAAATCGCAGGTTTCAATCTCCATTAATGGAGGTCGCCCATAGGGCACAGAGCGGAGGAAACGATCCGTGCCCTTGCAGTGACGGTGGTTGTAGAGAAAGCTTGGGTTCGTTTTGGCTACGCCCAGGCACGAAATGGGTCAACAAAGCTTCGGGAATGGCTGAGCAAAGGCGGTGGCCAATAAAAATGGCTTTTGAAGCTTGAAAAACCAGAATAATTAATAGGGGTCTCAGCTGAAATTAATGGTCAGAGATGATTCCAATGACCGTCAACCGTCGCGGACATGTTGTTGAAGGTCGTGGCTCGGCGTCTGATAACTCTATAAAAATAGAGTTATTTTATCTACTCTAGGCAATAAATAATGCAATATTTGTTAGAATATATTTGGATTTCCTTTTATTTACTTAATTTTTCCTTGTTTATGCAGAATATTGAGATATGGAGAAAATAATGAAAATATGACAAAAAGAAGGAAAAGAATATGCGACCCAAAGAAGAGTTAGAAGGTGGATATCACATTGAGAATTCTGCGATTTATTCCCTAATTTTATGCGAAAAAGAAGCAATTGCCTTGTGAGAGGAGTCTTGGATGTTATCATATAAATAGGATAACTTGGGGGAACATGGAGTTTTTCTTTTTTAGATCGTTTTTGTTTTCAGTGTTCTGAGAGTTTTTCAAGTATTTTGAAAAGAAGACAAAAGTGGTGACAGAATTCTTGTTCTTTGATTCAAGATGTTTGGTTTAATATCTATTGTCGTTTCTTCTTCTATTATGTTCTAATTTTCTTTGTTAGAGCTACGATATAGCCTAACCATGATAATATGAATTTCATGCTTTTTATGCTTTGCAAGTAATTTCATTCATGTGAGTTATATATTATTGTGCTTAATGCGTTTAGGTGATTGGCCACCACTTGAATGATCTGATGTGCATATTTGAGACTGAGAAGTAATAATATGCAATTGCTCCTTATAATAAATAACCATGAATTAAATGTGGATAGAAATATACCATGTTATTTGTGTAGCTTTCGGTGATAAGGTGGTCCAAAAGATTCATTGTAAACCGAGAATATTCACAGATTTTAATGCGCTTATGTTTATTTAAATTCACATAGAAATATAGTGAATTGATAAACTGAGTAGGTTTGCTAAACCTAAGGATAGGATAGTAAATAGACTAGGTAATTCCGCTATCACATGTTTGATATTGTTCTTGTATGCATAATGATCCGAAATTCATATCTAATGGTTATGGTGAAATCGGATGCTCTGACATATTTTACCTGATTGATTATCTGCCTTTAGTTTATAAAATTTCGTTTTTAAAAATTGTCAATTTTTATTTGTTCTTAATTATATTTTGATCTGTTAGATAAATTTTAGAATTAGTCTATTTTTAATATTTAATTGGTTTATTATCATCAATCTCTGTGGGACGATACTCTTCTCATCATTGTATTACTTGTTCAACACGTTCGTTGACACGTGCAGAATTTTACGAACAGCATCAGAGGTCTAGGTGGTGATGGATGATCACCAATGAAGCTGTGACCAAGTGAGTCCGTGCGAAGAGGACGATGAAGAGTGACAAGGCTTTAATCTCAACTAGCTTGGGACATTCCAATAGGAAAAAGTGTGCATGATCCGGGTGAGCGGTTCCCCGACCTCAGAAGTGGACCGCCTTAGCACTACAATGAGGACCGGTTCCAAAAATTGGAACCGAGAACCGCCAATCGGTTCCATGGACCCGCCCGAGAACCGGACCGCCGGTCCGGTCCGGTTCTCCCGGGCGGGTCCATGGAACCGGTCTCAACAAGTTTTCCTAGACAAATAAAAAAAAAATCTGTGGACCAACATCGGATCAACAGAACAAAAGAAAAAGAACATAACTTTTCATACAATTCCTACACTATGATCGATTATATTAACCACGTCATCCATAAATCAAGTGGTTACTCATTAATTATTGAGAAAAATGACCAAGGTATCCCAACTACACAAGAGCTTCAGACATGATAACAAAATTTCTTCTTTTTTTAAATTTTTTTTGGTCAGATTTTTTTAATTAAAAATTAAAAAATTAAAATATATTATTATTATATTACCGGTCCGGTCCGGGTGGGCGGGTGGGCGGTTCCACACCGGGAACCGGGAACCGGCCCAAACAGTACCGGTTCCAAAAAATTGGAACCAGGAACCGGACCGGTTCCCTTGGGAACCACCGGTTCCGGTCCGGTTCCGGGCGGTTCCGGGCGGTCCGGGCGGGTCCCGGTTCTTTTGCACACCCCTAATTCCAATACCCACAATTCTTTAAGCTTCTTTGAGCTTCCTGTAATGATTAACCTCTGAAGGAGGTCACACTTAGTCACTATCAATAGGAGTTCATGTTCTTGAAGCTGAGATTGAGAAATTTGTAGCTTTAGCAAGTTTTTCAAGTTGGAAATGATTGACCTAGGTATTGTTGAGTTGAAATTGACAAGTTGTGGCTCCGGAAGCTGCGTGATAGATTGCAAGCAAGTTCCTATAAAATCGCCGACCCAGATTTGAGCTCTGAGCTCGACCACCTCTGTTAATGGACGTTACAAGGAACAAAGAAGAAAAAAAGCAGATAAGGATGATGAACAGTGACGAAAAATCCACTCAAGTAGACTACGTAAATGTTGGGGTGTGGTTCGTATTCCTCGTTAAGGGGCAGCACTCCCGCGAGAGGGCTTTATAGTTTGAGTTGATATTTTATTGATAGTTTAGATTGAAGCCCATAAATAACTATTATTACGTATGGATATTCTCTTTCTTTTATTTAGTGATTTGTTACTACCGCATCAGTTGCGGAGGTGGTATGTATTTTTTTACTCAAATCCAATCGCAAATGGACACGTGTCTGCTGATATGGAATAAAAGTAAAACATTTGCATCTGTTCACCCATGGAAGCTTCCCCTCCGTCGTGCTCTTGGTGGCCTCCATCTTCCTCCGTCGTCGCTCGTGACCGGCTCTGTCGTCCCTTGCAATCAGCTCGTGGTTGGCCCCGTCGACGGCCGAGCCACTCCTTTATCATCATGGCGGCTCGCAGTGGTTTTCCGTCCAGATCTGGACTAGAGTCGTGCCTCCAGATTTGGGATCCCGAAGGCCAAGGACAGAGCTCAAATATCAAGAAAAAAAACAGAGGAAGCCATCTTCTTGCAGTTGTCCCTTGTGGTCGGCCATGGCGACGAGCGAGGTCAAGATCTCGAAGGCATGGACAGAGCTCAAATATCGAGATTTGTCGTTCCTTGCCGTCGGCTTGTGGTCGGCCATGGATGAACGACAGAGACGATGCCTGAACGCGTTCGACCATGGATGAACGATGCCGACGAAGACCATGGACGAGCACCGACGATTTCGGCCATGGACGGCCAGATCTTGAGATCTGGAGAACGACGAGATGGAGAAAACAGAGGGAGCTGGCCATGCCCGCTTGGACGCATCGGTGGTCAGCTTGGTCATGGCGCCAGCGACTCTGCTGGTGGTGACGGCGTGGGAGGAGTGGAGGTCGGTCGGCTATGGACATAGGAGGAAGAAGAGATAGAGAGAGCTAAGAGGTGAAGAGATTTTTAAATTTTTTACTTAGATTCCACGTCAGCTATTGACATGGATTGATGGACACGTGTCAATATATTAGTGGATATACGTGAAAGTACGCCACATATAATGCTGATGTGGTGGTTACGAATTACTAAATATTTTCCCGTATCAAACACACGTACCTGGCATAACTTGTCAAACAATCAAAATCTAAAGAAATTATCTCGAACTGCCAAACCTCTTGCTCTTAGTTAAATATGTAGATATAGATATTTAGATATAGAAATAGATCAATGGACCCATCAATGGTCTAATAATATGATCCAAGCATAATGTCTGGATAAGTAGGGAAGGGATTATAAATTTGATAATGAGTTGTTTCGACTGAAACTTCTGTGTAGATGTGTTGAAGTTGCTGGTGGACCGCAAAATTGAAAATAAAAAAAGGCGAAGTACGGATCTAGGAGTTGTCCAGACGTATTTCACCATTTTATAAATGGGTAGTGAAAGTCAGAATGCAAATTATGCAAGCAAAAATGTTTAAATGCCCCCCAAAAGTTTGACAATGCCAATTTATGACGTCCTGCGTTTATCCAATAATGGAAAGAGCTATCACGAGCCTTCTTCTTCACAAGTTACTCATTTAAGTCGTACAAAAATCCCAAGAGTCGCCGCATCGTCCGACCCAAGATCGCCATGTCGACTCCGAATATCCACGTCCTTTTCTTCGCCATCTTCGCGAGCCTCCTCTCCTCGACATGCTGCGACATCGATCGGCCCCAGCACGACGTCGCGCTGTTCGTCTTCGGCGACTCCCTCAACGACGCGGGAACCAATAACTACATAAACACCACCGCGTCTTTCAGGGCAAACTTCCCTCCGTATGGCGAGACTTTCTTCCACTATCCGACCGGCAGATTCACCGACGGTCGCCTTATTGCTGATTTTATTGGTATGACTTCTCCATATTCTTGGTTTTTCTTCCCCCATGACTAATTGATTGCATAATCAAAATCTTTTTGGGTGATTCAGCTGAATATGCGAAGCTGCCACTGATTCCACCATATCTCCAGCTGGAGAACAACGAATTTGTGGGAGGGGCGAACTTTGCGTCTGGTGGAGCTGGTGTTCTACCTGATACTTACCAAGGATCTGTATGTCGAGCCTCCTCCTTCTATTTTTCTCTGATGCTTTTTCATATAACCCTTTTGGGTCGTCTTCCTTACTTTTGCTTCTTTAGGTGGTGGATCTCGGGACTCAGCTGAAGCAGTTTGTGAAACTGGTGAAGGGCCTGAGGAAGAAGCTGGGGGATGAGAAGGCGAAGAGAATAGTTTCAGAGGGCGTTTACATGATCAGCATCGGAGGCAACGATTACTTGACCCCTGTGCTCAACAATCCCACTCTGTTTCAGTCCATTTCCATGGAGGATTACGTGGGGATGGTGGTTGGCAACATTAGCACTGTGCTTGAGGTAAACATATATCTATTGATTCGGGTCCGTTTCTCGAGCAATACTTTGCATCATTCCAGTGCACATGAGCACATTTGATTTCATCTCACGTGGGGCTCATATGATTGGCATTTTATATCATATCACCGTTCTGGTGTATATGATGCCAAATAATTTATCTTATCTGGACCCATATGATTTGACAACTTAGAGATTGGATCCATGTGCGTCCCTAGCAGAGATGATAAATTCTTTGTAGGAGTTTATTTACTCGTAAGGTGTTCTAATTTTACTTAAAAGATGGGATTTTTATTGGATCCACAATTGGTAAGATTCAATTTTGGGTTATAGACACGCAGAAGAACTTAATTAAGAAGCTAACTTCAAATGCAAATATCATTCATCCAACAACGATGGATGTGTTAGGATATTATTACACTGACGTTATATTAGAGAACTATAGACAAATTTGGGTTAGCTGCTGTGCTCGTGAACCTTAGTCAACTTTATCCGTTTTGTCAATTTGATTCGCTGGCCCTATTATCTGCATAAACAAGTCCCACCGGGTTACCATTATTGAATGGATTTTGTTGACCAACGCATCTTCTTCTTTATAGTTTAGTGGGGGCCTGATTTTTTGTTTGATTCTGAGCAATTCCTTTGAAAATAGTTTTCCAGAACTAAAGTCGAATTAAGCAAACAAGCTTTCCACACTCAAGACACATAATATCCAATTTTCATTTTCGGTGACTTTATTCATTCTCTTGAAGAGTCGATCTTTCCGTCGTGACGAATAGGTATTCAATTGACGAGTGCTTCAAGGACACTTACTAAATAGACATAGAAGAAAACTTAACGATTTTCACTACAATAATTTTCCCCGTGTTTGTTGTAGTTATTGTTTTGAAAATTGAATTGTTATATATTAAGTAAACTTAACAAGCGCCTCAAGTTCTCTCATTTAATATAATCCTTCTAATAATGCACCCAAAAGAAAATTTTATTTCACTCTACGTTGAAGAGTTTTGAAGAGTGCCATGCCTTTTTTTGGCAGTGTGCAAGTAGTTGGCTTCATCATTTGTATTTTGCTCTTGTATGCCCCACATTGTATGTAAGCCTATGAATTAATATTTCTAAGTAGTTGGCAACAAATGGATCTTCGATTTTTCTTTTCTATTTTTTGCAGGGAATATATAAAGTTGGAGCAAGAAAATTTGGATTTTTTGCAATGCCACCACTTGGGTGCCTCCCGGCCGTCCGACTGGTCGGCGGAAACGGTTCTTGTTCGAGACCAGCCACCGAGCTAGTGAAGCTTCACAACGTGGCTCTTCCGGCGGCTCTCGCCAAGCTAGAGTCTCAGTTGCAAGGATTCAAGTACTCCCTCTTCGACTTGTACACTTCCTTGAATAAACGAATCCAATACCCATCAAAATATGGTCAGTCATTGGAATTATTGTTATGCCTTAAATTTGTTTTCTTGATTCTTAAGCACATTCTGGCGAGGAAGGATGTGGATTTCGCTAACCTCGCGAAATTAACTTCCAGGTTTCAAGGACGGGAAGACAGCATGCTGCGGCTCGGGTCCATATGGGGGGAATTATAGCTGCGGAGGCATGAGAGGGGTAAGAGAGTATTCATTGTGCCCTAATCCTGGGCAATACCTGTTCTTCGATTCCTACCATCCAAGCGAGAGGGCTTACCGGCAATTTGCGCAATTGATGTGGAATGGAAGTTCGCGCACTACCAAGCCTTATAACCTGGAAGCATTGTTTAAACACGGCAACATTTGAGTTTTTTCTTTTTTCAAAGTCTTGGGCAAACAATGGGAATCAAGCTTCATCTCATGAATAAATGAGGCATATTAGTGCGGTTTGATTTTGTGATTGCAATACTGTTGTAATAATGCGAACAATGGGAATCAAACTTCATTTCATGAACAAATGAGGCATGTTATTACGGTTTGATTATATGAGGATCAAATCAAAGCATATATCACATCAATGATCTATTCCATTGCCAGGATATTTAGAAGCCCGCCGGAAAATCCTACAAGTTTCCAATACTGATTTCGTTAAGGTTTTTGGTATGTGTGTGCGGTCTTGCAAATTACACGCAGTTTGTAGGGTTTTATTCGTTGTGCCCTAATCCTGGACAATACCTGTCCAACATTCCAGTATCTATCTGTAAAGCCATTGAACAGAAGGTTGCGTCCTTCTGGTGGAGAAATAGTGAATCTAAGTCAGGGCAGCATAGGAGGGGATAGGAGGAGCTAAAGAAAAGAGAAGACAGAGGTGGGCTCGGCTCTAGAGATCTTATCACATTCAACAACGCAATGTTGGGCAAACAAGTTTGGAGATTATCATGGAATTCATCAGCATTATAGAGCCAATTATTGAAGGAATATATTTTCCGCATGTCGACTCTTTGTAGGCACCAGGCAGGAATAGGGGTGCAGGCCTTCGTGCGGATGGCAAAGTTTGATGGTAAGTAGAGAAGGCATTTCTAATGAAGTGAGATGGTCCGCAGGAAAGGGGCAAGACACTGAAATTCGGGAGGATCGATGGCTGAAATAGGAGTGATTGTAGGACCAGGAAACCCCAAAGAGTAGCAAAGGTAATTAACAAAGAGGAGAACCAGTGGAAATCACAAATCCTACGCAACTTATTTGATGAGATTTTGACCGCTCCTTTGGAAAATAGCACAGAGAAAGACAAGCAGGTTTAGGTGCACAGTAAATCTGGGGATTATACAGGAAAACGTGGCTATAATCAACTATGCGCAGCAGCAAACCAGCAGAGTGTAAACCAAGCCTTATCATCCTACCAAACCCCCTAGATCTCTACGGTAAAATAGCTGGAATCTAAGAACATACCCGAAATCAAAATTTTTCTCTAGAATCTTTGCCAGAATGCATTGCCTTCAAAAGAGAACTTGTTCAAGAGAAAGATAATACCTGAGCCACTTTGTCCTCTGCCAAAAAATATACTGAATCCAGGGAGCATCTTCTTTTCATGTGTTGCTAGGCTCGTGCAGTGTGGGTCGCGTCGGAATTAAATCTCCAAGACACATTTCAAGGTGTTAATAGAATTGAAGATTGGGTGATTAACTGTGAAAAGGCAAAGCCAGACTCACCGAAGCTAGAAATCGTTGCCAGAGTGCTCTGGAATATCTGGAGAAGTAGAAATAACTTCGTGTTTCGTCAGCAACGAGTAGATTCGAGACAAATAGTAGCGGAAGCCATAGCCATGAACAAAAATTATTGGAGATGGAACCCGGGTGCCGAATAGCAAGCAAAGAAGAAGCAGAACTCACAAGTTGCTTGTTTCTAGATACTTTTTGCAGATATTATTATAAATGATGTTTATGGGAGCTAAATATGTCTTTTAATCATTTATCTCTATAGCCTTTTGGGTCTATATGCCAATATAGTCCTGGTCACAAACTCTCCTTTTGTCATTGCTTCATTGACTTTCATTTTATCGGCTGTATCAAGCACACCGACGTCGCATAATTTGCCAAACTATCAAAGCCTAAAGAAACCATCTCGAACGGTCACACCTCTCAGCTCTTAAGCTTAATTTACCTAGTTCGGGGCCCACATCGCACAAATAAAAATTTAGGGACAATATTGTATATTGAATTAAAATTTACGGATCATTCGTGTTGTTGTTACTCCGATATGAAATGTCATATCTGGATTATTGTTTTAATTAACCGTTCAATGTGGTTTCATCTGATTCGTTCATGAGATTACAAAGGTGCTTATGGCTGGTTATGAGGAGGCAGTTGGTTTGTCAATTCTCACAGGTCACATTGTGTCAAATCATGTCAAATTCAAGCCTATGGAAGAGCACGTAAATGTAACTTGGGTGGCAATTTTCCTGGACACGATTATGAAAGAACTCGACATTTTTGTCATTATTGCGCCTTTTCTTCATTTCGTCAATTCTATTTTCGGAGCATGGAGATTCCGACTTCCCATCTATTAAAATAAGTTCCGCATTGGCTAAATACATAATTTTTCTAGGTATTTGGTGTCTCCTTTTTCTTATCGACTTAACATGTCGAAACGAGAATTCATTATACTGTTAGAAATTGTCCATAATCCTAAGTACGTAAGGACTCATTCCGTATATCTTATAACGCTCGGAACAAATAATATATAATATATATATATATATAGAGAGAGAGAGAGAGAGAGAGAGAGGCAATAAGTATGGTAACATTTATGGGCGTCTTTGCAATTTTGCCGTTTGAATTCTACAGACCAACAAAATCATGATTCATCGATGGAACTTGCCAAATTCTTACTGTCGAACTCAATCAGCGACCCCAAAAACACCCGACATAATAAGATATCCAGGCCGTCGCTAGGGCCTATTTATATATATCGAGAAATAAGCACAAGGAGCTCCAACTAAGTACAAGTACACCATAAACAAATGCACTTTTTCTAAGGAACTACACATGAGTGGCCCAATTGATTAAAGTCACAAAAGAGAAAAAGCAACAGTAAAGTACTCCCATTAAAGAAGGTGGCAAATAGTAATACACTCATTACGAATTTACGATTACATTATTTATTATTATTTTTTTAATTTCACTCCCTTTTATTTATTTATATATTTTTTGCTATATTTTAAAAAATCTAATAAATATCCCTCACTCTTCCTCTCATTGCCGCTCCCCACAGTCCTCCTGTCAAAACTCTCATTGCCGACCTCACGTAACTTGCTCAAGTATTGCCAATGAGGTTGCAAAGCTTCACAACATAGCTCTCATTTCAATTCTCAAAAAGCTGGAGACTCGGGTACGAGGATTCAAGTACTCCTGCTTTGACTTCTCCAATTCAACCCGGGATAGAATCCGAAACCCATCGAAATATGGTCAGTAATGCAAGTCTTTATAACCTTGATTATGCTTACGTATTTATATAGACAGTGAAAAGTCATAGGATCTATTCTTCTACAAATAATTTCAGGCTTCGAGAAGGTGAAAAGGGCATGTTGTGGATCGGGCTCGTACAGGGCAAACCCCAATTTCGGAGGCAAGAGAGGAGTGAAAGAATATTCATTGTGCTCTTTCACATAATGCCGCGTCAAGGAATCCAGATCATCATGACCCTACGTTCCGGCTTCCAAAGGCCGTCTCGAGAAATTATTGTTCTTCGATAACCATCTGATTGAAAGGGCCAATCAACAGCTTGCCGATCCATGTGGAATGGAAGTTCAAGTGTAATCGGGCCTTATAACATAGAAAAATTGTTCAAAGTTGGGCAAATTTGAACTTTTTCTTGGTCCCTTGAGTAGATAAAGGTAATTGAGCGTTGACAATTAAATTCATTTGACCAATTTATCCCTTGATTCTATGCTTTTAGATTAATTTTGAGGGACAAAACACAGGAATGATTTACAATGAAATGTCAATTATCTCTCTCACCGTAATGAACACTTAAGAAAAAAGATTGAAGATTGTGGGGGCACTGTAACATTAATCGATTTCATTATGCAGCCCACTAAGTTCATCGTCGAGATGGAAAGAGTATGGGCCCCTCTTAACCTCTTAACCAAAGGCTTCCCTTGAATTCTTGGTATCCGGTTAAAAAGTAACTTCACCAAAGGAAATGAGTTGTCACTCCTATAAGGGCCTCCGCGGCATGTCCGTTTGATATACAGGGACGGCGTGCTCCATGGATGCATTCTTTATTTTAATGAGACGGTGCTCGCACGCCTTGCGCCGCCAATTTCCATGTATCTTTGTCTTCTCTAGGGAGAGGGAATATCTTCTTGAATTTTTACATCCCAATGATCCCGAGATCCGGACAATAACTGAGTGAAGCTTTTCAAGGTCATGCTTAGGTTCAATGATCTCACATTGTGGGCTTACGAGTTATTGCATTGATTGAATAACTCTCATACAACCTTCAATAGAACGAAGCAATTTAAGCCCGTTAGCCTCAAGTTAGTCGTGATCAGAAGCATACCAAATCGAGCTAGAGAGGGTTTCGTAGGGGGAGCAGCCTTCGGAGATACGAGATGGTTTTACATACTTTGAACTCCGATGTCTAGATATAGGCTGTTGTGCCAGCAAATAAGTCCCGCTTCGACCTTAAAATAACGGGACACTCTTTATAATGTTAGCTCGTGAGTGAGCCGCGATCAGAGCGAGGCTCAGGGCGAGGCCGCCACCAGATGATGTTAGCCGGTAGTGCGAACCATGTGAGCACGTGATTTGTCAACGTGGGCCTCTGGATAAGTACTAGAAAGCGACAATAAATTGGTTGGAGACTTGTCTCCTTCGGCGAAAGCCTTCATGCGAAAAAAAGAATACATTGTCGGACCCCGACTTTGTCTAGACGAATCTCCCACGTTCCTCCAATGGATCTCTCAAGTTCATGAGTCCCGTTCAATGCGGGGACAAAAGACTTTGTAACAGATACTTTTATCACCATATTTTTCCATACATATGTACCAACCTAAAGAGGACGATCATCATCCAACACAGGTCATCATGTCGACTCCGACTCTCCACATCATTCTCTTCGCTATTCTCGTAAGCCTCTTCGTCTCGACTCGCTGCGATCATCAATCTCGGAAAGATGTCGCTTTGTTCATCTTCGGTGACTCCATTAATGACGCAGGGACCAACAACTACATAAACACCACTGCACGTTTCAGAGCAAATTTTCCTCCTTATGGCGAGACATTTTTCTGCTATCCCACTGGCAGATTCTCCGACGGTCGTCTCATCGTCGATTTTATTGGTAACTTCTTTTTTGCCGGGTAACTTGTACACAGATTCTATTTATTTCCTCATAAGTTACTGCTTAATTTATCTGTTGTTCTATTTTGTTTTTGTTAATTTTCTTTGGTTATCCAGCTGAATATGCAAATCTGCCGCTGATTCCACCATATCTCCAAATGAAAGATGGTGAATTCATGGGAGGTGCGAATTTCGCATCCGCCGGAGCTGGTGCTTTGGTTGACACTTACAAAGGATTTGTATGTCTCTTATTTATATATTTATTTGGCTCGAAGCTTTAATTAACACGAATATTTCCACTTTTTGAGACTGCAAGGAAGATGAGAAATGAATAAGTTCGCGCTGTTGACTTATCAGGTGGTGGATTTGAAGATGCAGCTGAAGCAGCTTCAACAACTAGAGAAGAAGCTGAGGAAGGACATGGGGAGCGAGAGGGCGAAGAGGATAATCAAGGAGGGTGTTTACTTGATTAGCATCGGAAGCAATGATTGCTTTCTCTTCTTTAATCCTGCTCTGTTTCAGTCCATTTCCATGGAAGATTACGTGGGGATGGTGATCGGAAACATCACCACTGTGCTCAAGGTACGAAACCACAAGATTTCCAACATCCACCTGTTTTAATATTTTCTAAAAGTTTAAATTTATAGAAGAGAGTGTGATTTAATATTTTAAATATTCTAACAACGTCCATTTTCGAGAGAGTATTATCTAATTTCATGTAAAAGTAGGTCTTATGAGCCTCGTGATTTCTGGCAATTTCTGGCTTAAATGAACACGATTCGACAGCTCTATTTACAAAAGCCAATGTGTATACATAAACTCGAAAATGAAATGAATTCGAATTATATGATCTTTAAGCATGCTCAATAAAGATATGTTGCATTGACACGACTAAACATGAGTGCTTAATCTAGATTGACAAGTGAGTACGAAAGCTGACCCTTAAGCACATTCTCAATGTAATTCTTTCTCGTTCTCTTGTCCATATGCCATGATTTGATATCCAACTAAGATCTATTATATCATTTAGTTGATTGTCCTCTATATTGCTCCGCGTGCAGTACAAACATAGAATTGTGCAAATATTTCGGTTTCTTTTCATTCGACGGTAAGTTGGTATTTGAGCGTATCTCGACTTGTTCATCTCTTCGGGAGATCTCAAAGGCACATTCCGCTTACCCCCTATATAGTGTGTGTTTGCAAGGGAACTGTCTTGCTCTGGCCTTGCAATAATTAGGCTTGCTAAACATCTGGTAATCGTTGTGGCATTTCAAGGGGATGATTTGGCTTTCTGATTTTTCTTTTCAGGGAATATATGAAGTAGGAGGAAGAAAATTTGCAATGATTGGAATAGGGCAACTTGGGTGTGTGCCAAGCAAGAGAGCATTGACCAGAAATGGTGCTTGCGCAGGCGAAGCCAACAAGATCGCAAAGCTTCACAACGTTGCTCTTACTTCAATTCTGGCAAAACTGGAGACTCAACTCCAAGGATTCGAGTACTCCTACTTCGACTTCTACACTTCAGGCAGTGAGAGAATCCAATACCCATCAAAATATGGTAAGTTATCTATGCTGTGATGCTATGGCACTAAACTAAAGCGTCATTGCTTCTATACCACTTGTGGATTTGTGCCTTTTTCATCGCTCGTGTACAGAATAGAAGTCCTTATCTTAAAAATGTGAAATCGATTCAGGTTTTAAGGAAGCGAAAACCGCGTGTTGTGGTCCGGGTCTTTATAAGGCTAATTCGACCTGTGGAGGCCAGAGAGGAGTGAAGGAATACTCATTATGCCGTCATCCTGAGAAGTACGTGTTCTTTGATTCCGGCCATCCAAGTGACAAGGCTAACCGACAATATGCGCAGTTGATGTGGAATGGGAGTATGAGTGTAGTTAGACCTCGCAACCTGAAAGCATTGTTCAAAGCATGAGGGCGCTTGATTCTCTCTCTTTTTTCCCTGAAATCGTGGGTAAATAATCACATCCCGCTTAAACATCATATTATGAATAACGAGAGATGATGTTGGATTGATTGTATAGTTGCACTTCTGTTAAAGAATGAGGATGTGCAAATGAGCCCTAGTATTGCTCAAACTTCGACGCACTTGAATTCCTTGAATGTTTTGGGAAAAGTTCGAATAAACGAGATTCAATATCGCTTTGGTTCTATGCTTTTAACTACGATTTTAGGGCCCGCGGCACAATGTTCTTAAGATGAGGTCAAACGTGAAAGAACTGAAAGTAAGAAAAGGAAGAGGGAAGAGAGTTAATCACATTATACAGCCCATTAAGTTATGGGCCGCATTGGTTGTCCATTCATTCCTACGAGATGGACCGAGTCTAGGCCCACCAATTGTATATTAGAAAGGATAACATCATAAGAGAAATAATAAGTATATTAAGATTGACCTACAAAATTAGTACACTGACCGATCAGACAGACTGTTATTGGGTATGTGTGACCCCGTCGAGATATTGATCTAGTGGACTAGGTAGGTTGTTTAGCATTGCACTTCTGAAAATGGTGGGCTTTCTAGTCCTCTTCAAATTAGTACCTTACATCTATGACCCACTTAATGCATCGATCGCTCTTTTGTTAGTGCTTCATTGGCTGTTTTTTGTTCATCATTGGCTGTATTATATACACGTACCTCGCATAACTTGCCGAACGATCAAAATCTAAAGAAACTATCTCAAATAGTCAAACCTCTTGCCCTTAGTTTAATGTATGTAGATATAGATATTTAGATATAGAAATATATCAATGGACCCATCAAAACAATACGCCAAAAGACAAATCGTGAGGCTCGGTATGGGACGGGTGAAAGCGGACAATACCTCAGTGAGTTAATCAACGGATGTGATAGTCCCAAATCACTTTTTCTCTCTTCTTCTCGTGTATCTTTGTCTTATCTAGGGAGAGGGAATACCTTAGGGAAGTTTTACATCCCCGATGATCCCGAGATTTGGATAAGGATTGAGATGAAGCCTTTCAAGGACATGCACAGCTCCGATGATCTCACATTTTAGGCTTACGAGTTATTGCATTGATTGAATAACTCTCATGCAACCTCCAATGGAACAAAGCATTTTAGGCTCGTTAGCCTGAAGTTAGTCGTGATCAGAAGCACACTAAATCGCGCTTGAGAGGGTTTCGTAGGGGGAGCAGCCTTCGGAGATACATCTGAACTCCAATGTCTAGATATAGGCTGTTATGCCAGCAGATAAGTCCCGCTTCGGCCTTAATCTAACAGGACACTTTTTATGATGTTGGCGCGTGAGTGAGCCGCGATCAGAGCGAGGCCCAGGTTGAGGCTGCCTCCAGATGGTGTTAGCCGGTAGTGTGAATCATGTAAGCATGTGATTTGTCAGCGTGGGCCTCTGGATAAGTACTAGAAAGCGACAATAAATTGGTTGGAGACTTGTCTCCTGACGAAAGCCTTCTTGCGAATAAAAGTAAGAACACATGGTCGGACTCCGACTTGTCCAGACGTATCTCCCACGTTTCTCCAATTTCTCTCCCAAGATCAAATGTCCTGTTCAATGCATGGACTGAAGACTTTGTAACAAATACTTTTATCACCATATTTGTCCATATATATGTGCCAACCTAACATGATGCAACACGGATAATCATGTCGACTCCCACTGTCCACATCATTCTCTTCGCTGTTTTTGCAAGCCTCTTCGTCTCAACTCGCTGCGACCATCAATCTCAGAAAGATGCCGCTCTGTTCATCTTCGGCGACTCCATTAACGACGCAGGGACCAACAACTACATAAACACCACTGCAGGTTTCAGAGCAAATTTTCCTCCTTACGGCGAGACATTTTTCCGCTATCCCACTGGAAGATTCTCCGACGGTCGTCTCATCGTCGATTTTATCGGTAACTTCATTTTGGCCGGGTGTAACTTGTACACAGATTCTATTTATTTCCTCATAAGTTACTGCTTAATTTATTTGTTGTTCTATTTTGTTTTTCTTTTTCTTTTGGTTATGCAGCTGAATATGCAAATCTGCCGCTGATTCCACCATATCTCCAAATGAAAGATGGTGAATTCATGGGAGGGGCGAATTTCGCATCCGGTGGAGCTGGTGCTTTGGTTGACACTTACAAGGGATATGTATGTTTCTTAGTCATCTATTTCTTTAATTTTTTTTTCTCGAAGCTTTGATTAACATGAATATTTCCACTTTTTGAGACTGCAAGAAAGATGGGAAATGAATAAGTTCGTGTTGTTGACTTATCAGGTGGTGGATTTGAAGATGCAGCTGAAGCAGCTTGAACAACTAGAGATGAAGCTGAGGAAGGAGATGGGGAGCGAGAAGGCGAAGAGGATAATCAAGGAGGGTGTCTACTTGATTAGCATCGGAACCAATGATTACTCTCTCTTTCTTAATCCTGCTCTGTTTCGGTCCATTTCCATGGAAGAGTACGTGGGGATGGTGATCGGAAACATCACCACTGTGCTCAAGGTGCGAAACCACAAGAATTCCATTGCCCACCGTTTTAATATTTTACTAAAGCCAATATGTATACACAAACTCAAAAATGAAACGAATTCGAATTACATGATCTTTAAGCGTGCTCAATAGAGATATATTGCATTGACACGACTAAACATGAGTGCTTAATCCGAATTGACAAGTGAGTATGAAATCCGACCCTTAAGTACATTCTAAGTGTAATTCTTTCTCATTCTCTTGTCCATGTGCCATGATTTCATATCCAACTAAGATCTATTATATCATTTAGTTGATTGTTCTTTATATAGCTCCGTGTGCAGCACATGGATAGAATTGTGCAAATATTTTGGTGTCTTTTTATTGGACGGTAAGTTGGTATCTTAGTGTATCTCGACCTGTTCATCTCTTCGAGAGATCTCAAAGGCGCACTCCGCTGTACACATACCCTACATAGTGTGTGTTTGCAAGGGAACTTTCTTGCTCTGGCCTCGCAATAATTAGGCTTGCTAAACATCTGGAAATTGTTATGGCATTTCAAGGGGATGATTTGGCTTTCTGATTTTTCTTTTCAGGGAATATATGAAGTAGGAGGAAGAAAATTTGCAATGATTGGGATAGGGAAATTTGGGTGTGCGCCAAGCAGGAGAGCATTGACCAGAAATGGTGCTTGCTCAGGCGAAGCCAACAAGATCGCAAAGCTTCACAACGTTGCTCTTACTTCAATTCTTGCAAAACTGGAGACACAACTACATGGATTCCAGTACTCCTACTTCGACTACTACACTTCAGGCAGTGAGAGAATCCAATACCCATCAAAATACGGTAAGTTATCTATGCTGTGATGCTGTGGGCACTAAACTTAAGCGTCGTTGCTTCTATACCACTCGTGGATTTGTGCCTTCTACATCGCTCATGTACTGAATGGAAGTCCTTATTTTCAACATGTGAAATCGATTCAGGTTTTAAGGAAGCGAAAACCGCGTGCTGTGGTTCGGGTCCTTATAGGGGTAATTTTACCTGTGGAGGCCAGAGAGGAGTGAAGGAATACTCACTATGTCGTCATCCTGAAGAGCACGTGTTCTTTGATTCTGGCCATTCAAGTGAGAGGGCTAACCGACAATATGCGCGGTTGATGTGGAAGGGGAGTCTGAGTGTAATCAGACCTCGCAATCTGAAAGCATTGTTCAAGCATGAGGGCGCTTGATTCTCTCTCTTTTTTCCCTGAAATCGTGGGTAAATAATCACATCTCACTTGAACATCATATTATGAATAACGAGGGATGATGTTGGATTGATTGTATAATTGCACTTTTGTTAAAGAACGAGGATGTTCAAATGAGCCCTAGTATTGCTCAAACGTCAACGCACTTGAATTCCTTAAATGTTTTGGTAAAAGTTCGAATAAATCAGGTTCAATATCGCTTTGTTTCTATGCTTTTAACTACGATTTTAGGGCCCGCGGCACAGTATTCTTAAGATGAGGTCAAACGTGAAAGAACTGAAAGTAAGAAAAAGAAGAGGGAAGAGAGTTAATCACATTATGCAGCCCATTAAGTTATAGGCCGCATTGGTTATCCATTCATTCCTACGAGATGGACCGAGCTTAGGCCTACCAATGTATTTTAGAAAGGATAACATTATAAAAGAAATAAGAAGTATATTAAGATTGATCTACAAAATTAGTATGCTAATCTATCTGATAGACTGGTATTGGGTATTGAATGTGTGACCCATTCAAGATATCGATCTCGTGGACTAGGTTTAGGTTGCTTGCCATGGCTCTTTTGAAAATGGTGGGCTTTCTGGTTCTCTTCGAATTAGTACCTTACATATGTGACCTACTACTTAATGCATCGATCCCTCTTTCTGTTGGTGCTTGCTTGGCTGTTTATTGTTCATCATTGGCTGTATTATGTACACGTATCTCACATAACTTGCCGAATGATCAAAATCTAAAGAAACTATCTCGAACTGTCAAACCTCTTGCTCTTAGTTTAATGTATGTAGAACTAGATATTTAGATAGAGAAATTGATCAATGGACCCAATGGTCTAATAATATGATCCAAGCATAATCTCTGAAATTGTTCCGGGCCTTACAATTTGGAAAGCTGCTCTGGGGCGGGAGTCTGGATGTAGTGGGCCTCACAATTTGGAAACTCTGTTCTTATTGAAGCCTTTTGTGATCTGTCAAATGAACTGAATGACTGAATAAATTGGTGTTACACCAACTTTGTGTAAGAGTATGGATCAGCCATTGACTGTATCTAAAAAGTTCAGGTGTCCTCCCATAATGAGGAAGTGTAAATTGTTTCAGCTCACGGACTCAACCAACATGCACCCTAATGTGAATTTGCCAGGCCTATATACATCGCTCCTCGCACTTGGGTCATCCCAATTAATCCGTGAGGCGCCATCTTATGCTAGCATTCTTACGACTGAGTATATGTCCACGTTTTGTGGACCAAACACCACAAATAAATGCTCTTCAAGTCTGATTTTGCGAGAAATGAGAAATTTGAAGACTTGCTTCTTAAAATTTTGAAACTTTTCCAGGAAGAATGTTGCAGATACATGCGTAGATAACAATAAAGAAAAGCAGCCTCCTCTCTGCATCCTCTGTTCGTTACAGTATCATCACTCCAGCGCACGAGCTGTTAATATTCTGAACCGAATCTGATAATCGAGTCAAAAAAACTCGGCTCTCCCCCATTTTTAATTCACTTTGCGCACGCTGAAAGTATCCTGACCAACACCATTCCCCGTCCGAACTTATGAAGAGCAACTCTTCAACATGACCATCCAACTCTACAATGATCAAGAACTGATAGCGATTGCAACTCGAGTTGATTACTCCATGTACTACTACTAGGCACTCAGAGTTGCATCTTGGAGGAGCAGCAAATCCGATAGCAAAGGAGGAATTACGAAACGCCGCTCGAAGAAGTTGAATACGGTAAAAGCACTCGGTCAAGCCTGGGTTTGATTAGCACACGTTTGCTCTCTAAAATGCCCAAAGACCGGAATGGTGTGATAGAGTACTGCAATGACTCAATTTGACAACTTGTTGCTCAAGAGTTTAACCACGAGGCTATTTTAGTGGAACTTCAAATCTAGTCACTAAATTTTGATATATGATCGCTTGATGCACTGAAGTTTCAATAGTTTTTCCAACCTTTTTTATCGTAATTCAACCAGTTGTCCGGGGAATATGCTAACATGAAGCCCACATGGCGATGACACGGCATCCTGAAAAATGGCCACATGTCCGCCACGTCAGCAATACGTGTAAATAATTGGACTTCTCCCCTGGTTTTTTCTAGGGCAGCCAACCCGTTATGTGCCATCATGCCGGTGTCCTTTGTTTACTTTTTTTTGGATCATTATTAGGGGTGAGCACCAATTGAGGGCAGATCCTGGAACCAGTTCGAACTGATAGTGTGCGGTCTGGTTCGGTCCGGTTTTTGCAAGAAATGGTCCAATCCTAGGTCCCAAAAATTAGGAACCACCACTTTGCAATTTGGTTCCAGGGTCAGAATGCTAAACAGGATAGAATCCAAGTTCCAGGGGTTGGACCGGTCTAACCTTGGAACCGCTCACCCTCTGCTCGTTACTAGAACGATTTGTGTTTAGTGAAAATGTTTCCGTACTTGTTGATTTCGAGCGTGTCATGTTCATATGGTATCGAACTCGGATTTTTCTCGACAAAGTTCAATCGTGTTTGAGTCAATGTCTTTTTGTGGATGTCAAGAATTTTTTATTTTTTATTTGGTCAAAGAAATACTTGCTTCATTCATTGCTTTAAGTGATACCACTACTACATGAAAAAGGGGCCTCAGAACATATTAGATCCCATAGGATTTTCGGGGGATTAGAAGTCCAATAACTAGAGAGCTCATTTCGTCCGTGGGACTTAGAAACCCAATCCGCTATTTGATTTGCTTCTTTTCGACAGTGGGCTAATTGTAAGCTTTTGAAGTGATGTCAAGAATTGACAGAGATGATTTGCCGTGGCCTTCTTTTGCTCCAAACGATGAGGATAAGAGAGAAAAACACACGATTGACGAGATTACAGAAAGACTTCAACATAACAAGTCCTATTCACATGAATAGCAGAGCCTTGCTCTTTTGGTGTGCTTCGTATGCTAAATGCTCCTCCTCCAAAATCAATGCTTTCCCTGGTACGTCACTGGTGGCGTCATATTCCCCAAAACATCGTGGGTCACTCCAAATTAGTCAAGAATCCTGGTCGGCCGTTGTCTTCTCGTCGGTGAATTCCGACCAGAGGGAACTGAAGAGGCCAAACGTTGATCGCCATTCTTAGAAGAGTCCAACTCCACGTGACTGTTCATATGAAATGTCGGATTCCGTGAACATATATAATATATATATAATAAGAATACTTATAGTTTAGGCAATTAAAAATGATGGATTCCACGCGAATTCGATTTATACATATAGATTAGGTTTTATAGGATGCGCTTTCTTTTCACACGGGGAAGTCCAAGCCAAGTCATCTCCGCATGTTTTGCGGCGAAGTAAAAAAGAAAGCCATGCACGTGTTTTATGGCATGCGCACGTGATCACGTCACTCGATTGTCACAATTATCTTTTTCCGATTCCTCGCTTCAAATTGAAGAGGGCGAATCTTAAGATCGGTGGTCCCCTGTGCTTGCCCCTTTTTCTCTGGAAAATTGCAATTTTGCGGACACCGTCCACAAGTAAAGTCAATCAATTACTCTCCAAAAAAAAAAAGGGAGGTATTTCGCATTAGGGTTTTTTTCCCTTACCTTTATATCAAATGATAAGAACAATAACTAATGTGTAAAAACCCTAATGCGCATTAGGGAAGTATGCAACCAAGGCATTCTGTCAGTAGACTCGAACTTTATTCTTACAACGATCAATTCAATCAAACATTCGCCGTTGACACTTTAAACGTCGGAGCCTGAGTTTAGAAAAACCAACCAATGAATAACGTCCAAAATGTGGAAAACAAGAGGCTGTGACTTTGAAATAGGCGAGACTCATGTACTCAGTGGTCGTAATAACAAAAGCCCCTTTTTTGGTGACGTATTCCTAAAAACCCTCCATGAATTCCCTTATCCGGAAGAGGAGGAGTTTCGAACTCCTCGCCTCCCCCATTCAACGGGCCTAGTACCGGGGCAAAATGGGGTGAAATTAGTATTTCTCGCTTTATTGGGGGGGCGAAAATGATAGTGAAAAAAGGAAAGAGCCTTGTATAAACACAGGACCCAAAACGGACAAGGACCAAGAACCGTGAAGTGATTAGAGCGAAACTCGGACGCACTCGCTCAGCTCGCCAGCTGCTGGCCATCCCTCGCCCGCAGACATGGCGAGGCGGAGCTGCTCCTGCGTTTTCTATGCTGCACCGTTCTTGTGGGCACTCCTCCTCAGGCCAGCCATTGGCTATGCCAAGAAGCACAACACTCTGTTCGTGTTCGGTGACTCCCTCTTCGACCCCGGCAACAACCAGTACGTGAACGCCACTCCCGGCGGCGGCGACGTGGCCACTTCCCCGCCTTATGGAGAGACCTACTTCAAGCACGCCACCGGCCGACTGTCCGACGGTCGCCTCGTCCCCGATTTCATCGGTACAGGAAACGAACACTTCTCACCAGACCGAACGTTCGCTTTTAGTTCTTCTCGGGGGGTGCTATGTCCAGTCCATTTAAGAAATACCAAATTTTTTTCTCCGATTAAAACGACACAGCACACGGGACAGTATCATAGGCCATAGGTAGTAGGCGTTGGAGTTGGCGAATACTTCGGGACCACTTGTTTCACCATGCAGATGCACGCCCACGTGAGCTTAGGGAAGCGAAGTGTTGTCCAACGACATGTGACCCATGCGTGCGGAATACGGGGTTCGGGCGCGCCCACGGAATCCCATTGCCGGTCGCCAGCGGGGGTTCGAGGCGCGCCAGCCGCGGGGTTCCATTGCCGGTCAGTGGACATTGCCACCTCGCCGGTGGCGGGCGGGCTCGGGGCGGCGCCGCCCGAACCTCAACGGGTTTGGGGGCCCGTATAGTACGAGATTAAGAGATTTCATATAGGTTTAGGTTTGGGCCCATTTGGGGCATATATATATTTTGCTCGTTTTTCGGATCATTGTAACGAGTTGAGTGGGCAGAACCGAAAAACATAGTGAAATCTCTTTGCGGACGTAACCCTAATCGAGGGTGAACTGGTAAATTCGTGCATCGTCTATTTTCTCATTTTTACGTGTGATCGTTGCTGTCTCGGTTCTCGATACGTCCCTTCAATTGGTATCGGGCGGAGTTGTTCGAGGAATTAGGGTTTATTCGAGATGTCGGGAGGATCACGAATTGAGATAGAAAAATTCGGCCGGAACGGTTTGATCTGTGGAAGATGAAGATGGAGGATCTTCTCTGTGATCGAGAACTTTGGTCGGCAATCGAAACGGAAAGGCTGTTCTTTGCACAACACTGGTGTCGTGATAGGCAAGGAAGCGGTGAAGGAAACGGATTCAACTTCCAAACCGCGGATCCAAAGGAGATTGAAGCTGGAATCGGATTGATCGGAGAGCAAAGGGTTTGATTCGGCTTTGTCTCGCACTCGATTCGACAAACGTGATGGGGAACCTACGGCCCGGGGACCTATGGCGGCTAGATCGGTATCAAAGTAAGTCGTTAGTTAATAAGCTATTTTTGAGGAAAAAGCTGTATAATCTTCGGATGCATGAGGGCGACTCGTTTTACGCACATCTGTATAACTTTAACACATTGATTAGTCAACTCGTATCAATCGGTGTTAAGTTCCAAGATGATGATAAGGCAATAACACTTGCTCCATTCCTTCTAGGATTCATGGGATAACTGATTGTGGTGATCGGTGGTGGGGATAAGGAATTATCGTATGAAAGTGTGTGTTACGCTTTGTTATCGGAGGAGACACGAAGAAAGGGATCAGAAATTCCGGTAAAGAGGCATTGGCGGCTAGGGGAAGGCCAACGAGAGAGACTCGAATCCGAGAGGACCCGGATCCAAATCTCGTGGGCGATCGAAGAGTAGGGAGAGGAGGGTACGAGTCTTTGGAAATGTCAAGAGTGGGGCCATGTGAAGCGGAATTTGTAAAAACAAGCCGGTTTTAAGAAAGAAGCTGAATCATCCTCGGGTAAAACAGGTCGATGCGGGAGATATGTATTTGGGCTGCTGCGTGTATGGCGCAATCGGACAAGGATATATGGTTGATCGATACGGTGCTTCATACCACATGACGCCTCATAGACACCGGTTTTGTGAATATGAGCAATATAATGGTGGGGATGTCATGCTCGGAGATGATCTGCAGTTCAAATTGTCGGGCGTGGCGGGGTAAAGGCGAGGATGAGTAATGGCACGGTGAAGACTATTCCGGACGTGATGCACATACCCTTGATGAGTAGAAATTTGTTATCGGTCGGTACGATGGGCGATTCGGGGGTTATTTTTAGCGTGATAAGGATTCGTGCAAGATGACTCGAGGTTCTATTGTGATTGCACGAGGAGTCCGTTACGGGACATTATACAAGCTGCTCGGGAAACAAGTGAGTTGGTAGTGGGTTCGTTTAAGAGGCCAAGGAAGATGGACATGATACGTCCATGTTGTGGCATCGAGAGGTTAGGGCATATCGGAGAAAAGGGGTCTACCTTAGCTTCAAGTCGATGGTAGAAGGAATTCCAAAATGCTCTATGGGTTTCGGGTTACGTGAACACTGTCTCCATGGAAAACGAGGCAGAGTTAGCTTCCAACACACTTGGTACAAGAGCAACGCGAGGTTCTCGAGGCGATTCACGCGATGTCTTTGGACCTACTTCGACTCCATCTATTGGAGGATCCAGTACTATGTATCGTTCATAGATGATTTTTCGAGATATAGTTGGATTTATTTTATTAAAAGTAAATCGAGATGTATTCGAGAAATTTCGAAATTTAAGGTTTTGGTTGAAAACCAATTGGGCGAGGAAAATCAAGGTCCTTCGTACGGATAACGGAGGTGAATTACATTCGGATAAGTTCGAGCAATTTTGTGTGGATAATGGTATTGCAAGGCGAAGACGACTCCATATACGCCTCAACGAATGGGGTAGCCGAAAGATTAAATCGGTCACTCATAGAAAAGGCAAGATGCATGCTTGAGTTGGGCGGGTTTGGGGACGGAATTTTGGGCGAAGCGTAGCCACAGCCCGATTATTTGAAGAACCGTCACCGACCTCATCGGTGAAGGATCGTACACCATATGAGGCGGTGTTTGGGAAGAAGCCGAATCTGTCCCATGTTCGGGTGTTCGGGTGTGACGCATATGTTCATGTACCCAAGGAGAAGCGGGGCAAGCTTGACAACAAGTCCGAGAAGAACATATTTGTCGGATACAAGGAAGGGGTCAAAGGCTATAAGCTGTGGAATCCAGAATCAAAGACCATTGTATATAGCAGGGATGTTGTCTTTCGTGAATCACAACCCCAGGTTGGCACACGAAATGTGATGAGCCCAAGAAAGTGGTAGTGCTTGAAGAAAGTCCTAAAGCTGAAACTGTGGAGATGGTTCCACAAGGCACGCTAGTAGAGTCGATTCGAATCGGAGCAAGGGGACTCGGTTAATGAAGTCGAGGATGCGATTCGGATGAAGACCGGATACGAATAGCATGCCGGCTCTCGGGAGATCGACGCGGAAAGAAAGGTACCACTTCGATACTCACTTAGTGCTTTAAGTACGTTTCATGCTTTGAGCATTACGGAGATGATCCTAGTTACGCAAAAGGGCGAGATCTATGGATGATGCGAATCGGTGGGAGCTCGCAATGATAGATGAGATGCGATCGCTTGATAAAAATGAAACATGGAGCTTGTGTAAATTGCCTAAGGATAGAAAGCCAATTGGGTGTAAATGGGTGTTCAAGTGAAAGTGAAACCGGATGGGGCCGTAGAAAGTACAAGGCTAGGCTTGTAGCCAAGGGGTACTCTCGGATTGAGGGAGTTGACTATGACGAGATTTTCTCTCCGTGGCGAAGTTGACCTCGATACGGTTTGTTCTGTCTATAGCAGTGCATATGATCTTGAGGTAGAACAGATGGATGTAAAGACGGCATTCCTTCATGGGAACTTGGAGGAGGAGATATATATGAGGCAACGGAAGGCTTTGAAGTAAGAGGAAAGGAGAATTTGGTGTGCAAATTGAAAAAGTCTTTATATGGGCTGAAGCAGTCACCGAGGATGTGGTACGAAGTTTGACACGTACATGCTCCCGGCTTAATTTTGTGCGTTCAAATTCGACCATTGCGTTTATGTGAAGAGAACGGGCGATCGGTTTGTCATTCTCACGCTATATGTGGATGATATGTTGTTGATCGGGAATAATGTGAAGATGGTGAATTACGTGAAGAGTTTGCTGGCCAAAAAGTTCGAAATGAAAGACTTGGGGCCCCAAATTTTATTTTGGGCATGCGATTAGGAGGGACCGTGAGAAACGGAAGGCGTGGCTAGGGCGGGAGAAATACATAAAAGAAATATTGAAGAAATTCAATATGATAGACCGCAAGCCTGTTGGTACCCCTATACCTTTAGGGACCAAGCTATCTCGGAACAATGTCCAAAAACGGATGAAGAAGGTGAAGAGATGGCCCGAATTCCAAACGCGAGTGCGGTGGGTAGCTTGATGTATGCTATGGTGTGCACGCGTCCGGATATAGCCCAAGCGGGGAATCTTGAGTCGATATATGTCTAACCCGGGTAGAGAACACTGGAATGCGATCAAAAGAGTTTTCAGGTATCTTCGTGGAACTTTGAATTTTTCTTTATGTTTTGAAGGTACGGGAATGGAAACATGTTTGATATCGTAGGCCATGTAGATGCTGATTGGGGTGGAGATATTGATAGTAGACGGTCCACTAGCGGATATGTTTTCACATTGTTTGGTGCTTGCATTGAGTTGGATGAGCAGGAGGCAAAGCGTGGTAGCGCTTTCTTCTACCGAGGGAGTATATGGCTTTTACTCATGCTTTGGAAAAGAGGCCGTATGGTTACGGCGGTTGTGCTTGGAGCTCGGTTTTGAGCAAGGTGCCATAGAGGTGAGATGTGATAATCAAGGGGCTATTTATTTAGCTAAGAATCCAGCATTTCACTCACGCACAAAGCACATTGATATACAATATCATTTCATCCGAGAAAAGGTAGAGAAGAAAGAGGTTCGGCTTGTAAAGGTTGACACGGTAGAAAATAGTTCGACTTCCTTACTAAAGCCGTCACGGGTGCGAAGTTTGAATGGTGCTCTACTGCGATTGGATTGAAGAAGAATGATATTGGAAAGGCCCTCATTTGCGCGAAGTATCCACCAAGTGGGAGAATGTTGGAGTTGGCGAATACTTGGGACCCTTGTTTCTCACACCGGGTACGCCCACGTGAGTTTAGGGAAGCGAAGTGTTGTCCAACGACATGTGACCCATGCGTGCGGAATCGCGGGGTTCGGGGCGGCGCCCGCTAGGTGCCCATTTGCCGGTCGGCAGGCGGGGGTTCGAGGCGGCGCCCACAGACGGGGTTCAAGGTGGCCCGTATAGTGCGAGATTAAGAGATTTCATATAGGTTTAGGTTTTTGGCCCATTTGGGGCATATATATATATTTTGCTCGTTTTTCAGATCATTGTAACGAGTTGAGTGGCTGTAAACCGAAAAAACATAGTGAAATCTCTTTGCAGGACGTAACCCTAATCGAGGGTGAACCTGTAAATTCGTGCATCGTCTATTTTCTCTGTTTTCTGCGTGATCGTTCTGTCTCGGTTCTCGATACGTCCCTTCAGTAGCAACGTCGATCAGAATTGGTGTGCTTTCGTGAAAGCAGAATGTTACTTCGTATGACTATGTATCTACAATTTATTCTGTTGTCTTGTATGTGCAGCTGAGTTTGCTAAGCTGCCCATTCTTCCGCCGTATTTGCAACCGGGTACCCAAAATTTGACTGACGGGGCTAACTTCGCATCCAGCGGAGGCGCTGTTCTGCCCAGCGATCATCCGGGACCGGTGAGTAAACTGTAATGCAGCTTTACTATAGTCTTATGTAGCAGAAACATTTGTATGTGCATAGATACTTTATTTACTGCATACTTGGTATTGATCTCGCCTAACTTGAATTTGAATCAGATTGATTTGGGAAAGCAACTGGACTACTTCAAGGAAGCGGTGAAATCACTGAGAGCCAAGTTGGGCGATGCCGGGGCCAAAAGGGTCCTCAGGAGTGCCGTCTATCTGTTCAGCATTGGAGGGAACGACTACTTTCGCCTCTACAGAACTAAACCGAACGTCACTCAATCGTACCGCCGCGTATACATATCGATTGTTGTCGGCAATATCACATCAGCTCTCAAGGTAACCACAACTCGCTGTTTAGGTCCATAGAGCAAAATTAAGAGATGGACAAGCAAATACAAAGAATCAGGGAACTAATTTCTTGCTCTGATTCCATGTAAAACCAAGCGACCAACTGATTGCGCTGACAATTTTAATCTTTCTTTGTACTTAGCATGTTCTAATGGATGTTGTGATCCATCATATGCAGGAAATTTATGGGCTCGGAGGACGAAAAATCGCTTTCCAGAATGCAGGGCCACTGGGCTGTTTGCCAGCCGTGAGAGCCAGGAGCAATGGAACTGGCTGCGCGGAGGAACTGCAAGCCCATGCCAGACTTCACAACCGAGAGCTCGCAATCACCCTCAGGAAGTTGAAGACACAGTTGCCGGGATTGGAGTATTCGATCTTTGATTACTACAACTCGCTCAAAGATCGGATCTTTAACCCTTCCAAATATGGTAGGTGCCAAGACCAATGTTCCATTGCATTATTACATTGCTTACGGCTCAAGACTCTTTTTTGACTCTGAATTTCTTCTCACCCCCTTGTGAAGGCTTCAAGGACGGGCAGGCGGCGTGTTGTGGCTCTGGGCCTTACCGAGGATCAAGCTGCGGGGGGATGCAGAAATACGAGGTGTGCAGTGACCCGAGCGAGTACATTTGGTTCGACGGTGGGCACACGACGGAGGCGGCGAATTACCAGTTGGCACAACTTATTTGGAGCGCAGCAGCGCCCGTCACAGGGCCTTCCAATGTGAGGCAATTCTTCGCGCATTAGTATAAGGATGTCTTGCATGTCACCACGGTCGGTAGACTTGTTGTGCACCTAGAATAGCTTGGATATATATGTCTAATACCGTCTCCGCCTGTTGCGGATGATTTAGAGAACCTTGTGTGATCGATGTTGCTTCTACAGTGGGGTATATGCTTTATGGCTTCCTCTATTTAGCGCTTCTTCTGATACACCTTTTTAAAGCTTTGCCAAGTTTGAGCAGCAATGAGACATACTTCGGGAGCTTCGTTAGTTAGCAGTACATGCCAGGGGACTAAAGAATTCCGATGAAGTTAATCCTGGTTCGAAATCACTGGCAAAAAGAAAAGAAAAAATGTTGCGAAGTTCGAATCTGTTGTTGAATGTAGATGGCATTTCTGCTTCTATATTTTGCTGTGATGAAAGAAAGGGGAGGAAAGGGTGATCAAGAACTAAAGGGTAGGACATGGTAGAGGCTCAATTTAGCAGACAGGTAGCTTGAGTGTACGTACTTTCAAAGTCTTCGAGGCACAAATCATGCTTGCTGGGAAGTGCACGCTCTTATCAACAAGTGCTCCAACCTAAAATCTGATTAAAATCTAATTAAAATTTGGTGACTTGTAAGATCATCAAATGTTCAAATTACATGGACACTTGAAGGGGTAAACTCGAGGCCAATTAGCATAAGCTCAATAAGGAATTTTACCAAATTTACATGGAGGTCCATGTGCATCAGCTCTGTTTTGCAGTCGATAGAGTAGAATCCGGGGGGGCGGCAGCGGCGGCGGCTCCACAACATTAGATGCAACAATCAAAAGTGACGTCGTTCGCGACATTATCTGGATGCGCCAGTCTCTGCCTCGTCGCTGCTTTCATCGCCGTTGCCTCCATATGCCCGTTTTGAGACCATTCTTTGTCAGCAAAATGTCAAAAACTCAATATGGCCCGATAGACTGGCATATGGGATTGATGTACAACCTTTGATTTTGCGGGTCAAACATGATCACAGCATGTGGTTCCCGCAAGGTCACCGATTATGATGCGCATCGGGTCCGGGGTTAACTTCGTTGAAGAAAGGGAGGAAGGATAGTAATCGAGAACTAATGGGTAAGGACATGTACCGGCTTAATTTGGCTGATCTAAACTTTATTCGCCGTTGCAGTGAGATTTGGCTAATTCGTTAATTCGAAGAATAATTAATACCATCGAAGTATCTTGTACATTATCTCTTGCAGGATCTATGATGGGATATTGGTGCAAAAAGGAAAAGCATTGAGTGCCTCGATATCTATAACATCAAAGGGAACGGGCAGCTTTTACAGACACTCCCACGTATTTTGAGTCTCTCTCGTTAGAGATGTTGATCTCTCTCTCTATACTTCTCATGGAATTCATTCAGTGAGTCGCCGAGTCCTACTTTTAGAAGGAGAAGTAGCAGATTGGGCTACTTATTAAAGGAGTTAGCTTTAGCTATTGTGAGGCAACCCCATGGTACAACCATAGAGTGTTTGTGGCAATGGTGGTGGTGGCGATATGTATCACTCGTGCATGTATTTGAGAGAGAGAGAGTGAGAGCACGAGCTAAGGGGGTGAATAGCTGCAAGCGACTGTGTAGTGATTGTCTTGGCAGTGGACAGAATCAAATCCCAATCACAACTATCCAATCTCATGCTTAAAAGGGTTCGTAATACTTTGCTTTATGCTTTTCCCTATGAATTTTCCTGTGCAGGTGAATGCTGTTGAGGCGGTAACCATGTGTATATATTTACAGATACATCATGTTTTGGTAAAATCGAGATATTTTTGGTTATGTGACATAATATGAGTCGGTTTATCGTGTCACTGATGAGTGTGATCATTTAGAGAAGCGAATTTACATCTCAAACCAAATCTAATTAGAATCAGATAACATGTATAAGCTAATGTAATTCAAATGTTCACATGCACATGAAGGGGAGGGGGGGTAAACTTACGGCCTATAAGCACAAAGCTCGATAAGAAATTTACCGAAAGAATGGGACGTCCACCATGCACATCAGCTTTATTTTTGCAGTCAATCTCAATGGGACTATACTAAGATTCCCCTTTCTTTCCCGCCAGAATCAGGTGGGGGCCCCGCGACATTATGACGCGGCATCAAAAGTGACAGTCGTTTGATGACATCTGTCTGGACGCTGCCCCATTCATGGTCGCCTGTCAGCAGTTTCTGCCCCCCTACTGCAGCTGCTTTTATTGCCCCTGGCTTTGCTTCGCTTCCATGCTTTTCGGGACCACTCCGTTCCACGAAAACGCGTGCAACCATTTGATTCACGAGGAAATTTCAAATAACAACTTGAATTTAGACTATTTTCTAAAAAAAAGAATTAAAAATGAATATTATCTCAAATAAGCGACTGAAGATCAATCAATCCATAAAGATCGAGAACTTGCCAACCGATTAAAAATTCTCCTGTCGACAGGCAAGTGATGTTTCGCGCATTGGAATTTCTTCCATCTACCCAGATCCATCCATTGGACCAACTCATTTGCAATCATTGATTTTGTGGCTCCAACGTGGGATCCCCACAAGTCGCTCGCGCGGTGTCGCCGATCTCGATGCACTCCGGGCCCGGGCAATCACCACCCTGCGTGAGCAATCGGGGCTCTCTTCGGGACCAGCAACGTATAGCTCACCGGCCTTTCCCAGATGCAAGGACGAAGCCATCTTTCTCCTTTCTCCCGTTCTCGCCATCAAAAGAAACAGACCCGAGCAGGTACAGACAAGCATCGAGTTGACCCCATCTTCTGCATATTGTGGGAACCATAATTTTTAAAGGTTGGACCGACACGTCCTTGTCCTCGCTAGATTGCGAGGTCGGCTTTGTCGAATAAGTTCTCACCAAGTGGGACACGGACATACTCACGTTGTTTCTATCCTCCAGCTGCGAAATTACTTTTTAGACCATGCCCTCATCTATAAATGCCACTTGGTCCTAAATTCGTATCATCAGCTGGTTCTCCTTTTGGTGCTGTAGAGTGTAGAGTGACTCCCTGCCTTTAGCATTCGCCACACAAATGACCATGCTTCACATGGACAGTTTCGGCTCACTCTTCCTCACATTGTCCTTCTGCGCAATCCTCCTGCTTCCGCTGAGCTGCCGCGCCGAGCTGCCGGAGAACCACGTGGCGTTCTTCATCTTCGGGGACTCGCTCTTGGATTCGGGGAACAACATTTACCTAAACTTCAGTGGCACTCTTAACTTTCCTTATGGAGAGACCTTCTTCAAGCACCCAACGGGACGAGTCTGCGACGGGAGGATCGTTCCCGACTTCATATGTAAGAGTTGCTCCTGCTAATATATTTCCCGTTTTCCCCCCTCAGCTCTATTTCGCCACATGACTATTCCTGGTGAAGCTGTCAGAAGAAAGATAACGTTGGCTTGTTCTTACAATGCGAATGTAAATTATGTGATCCTTTTTCTTTTTCCTTGACAACAGCTGAATATGCAAAGCTTCCATACATCAAACCGTACTTGGAGCCTGGGTTCACCGACTACACTAACGGGGTCAATTTCGCATGCGCCGGAGCCGGCGTTCTCCCGGAAACTCATCCCGGAACTGTAAGACGTATACACTTTTCGCCGAGCTAGTCCGGTTCAATGTTAAGCTGTTCGCTTTTTTGTCTTTCTTGATGCAATTAATGTTGGACGAGTCACTTCTCTCTGATGGTTTGTCTAATCGGCTTTGATCAGCTATACTTTAAGCTGCAACTGAACTATTTCGAGGAGGTAGTGAAGGGGTTGAAGCAACAATTAGGTGACGCCGGTGCCCGCAAGTTGCTCTCGAAGGCGGTCTATCTGTTCAGCATCGGAGGGAACGATTACAATGCCATTCAGAACAATCCCGAGGCAACTGCATCTTTCAGGAAAATGTACATGACCATGGTCCTGGGCAATATCACGGAGGGGATCAAAGTACATAACCATCCTCTGCTCACCCAATTTCATTTCTTGAACTTGAAAAGAATTTGGGAGCTAAAAGGAATCTATTTTGTTTGGTGATGTTGCAGCAAGTTTATGCACTTGGAGGGAGGAAATTCGCCTTCCAGAACGTCGGGCCGATCGGGTGCATGCCGGCCACTCGAGCCGCGTCCGGGTCAGAGGGATGCGTGCACGACCCGACCGTGATAGCAAAGATGCACAACATAGCCCTGTCGAGACTGCTGAAGAGAATCAAGCAGGGGCGACCGGGATTCAAATACGCCCTGTTTGATTACTACACTTCCCTCACCATGAGGACTCTATATAGCTCGAAATTCGGTACGTCCCCAACCCCAAGTCCTCTAATTTAAACCCGGTCATCGAAATTCAAGACGGTTGTTGTGGAACACTGATTCGAATCAAAGCATGGTCATCTAGCATCATTCACTTTTGATCATTGAATTGGACAATCTCTTATTTGGTGCAGAAATTTCGCTGATGTTCTTGAAATATCTGTGATGCTTTTGTTTGGTGCAGGGTTCAGGGTTGGGATGAGTGCGTGCTGCGGGAGTGGTCCATTCAACGGGCAATTCTCATGTGGGAAAATGAATGGCACAACAAGTGTTTACAATCTGTGTAGCGACCCGAGTGAGTATGTGTGGTTCGATGCTGCTCATCCGACCGAGATGGCCAACAGGCAACTCGCGTCTCTGCTGTGGGACGGACCCTCTCGCACCGTGGGGCCTTACAATATGAAGATGTTCTTTGAAATGTCATAGTAGCTGTTTCATGTCCTATGTTACATCTACAATTTTCTGAGACCGAGTAATAAAAGGCATAGTTTCTCTGCGGTATTGCCGGTGCGCGATGTCTGCAAACTTGGGTCGATGGATTCTTGCGCCCGTCCCATGAATCTGAGTCGAGGTGAGATATTAGGCAAAGAATTGCCCGGTTATTAAGCGACCGATGCACGTCACGGTCGAGCGACGATGTGGTGTGCCGCGTGCGTCAACCATCAGATATCTTCCCGTAATGTTGGGTTCGTGGTCTCAATGTGCTAGGTCCATGAGTACGTTTCTTATTACCAGAGATGTAGAGTAGACATTCAGAAGTGGAGGCTCCGTGCTTGTGGGGTCACCGTCAACTCAATCGCCAGTCAAAGCTGAACTTCCTCGGTTTTCACTGGACTTCCTTTTCTTGTGTTCTCACCATCACAATCACTTCAAATCGGGAGTGAACATAGAAATTGCAGTTGGTCAATTTCCGTCGTTCCCACCTCCAATCAATTTGTGCAGACTTTGAATACGAGTGAATTTTGATTTAAAAGTTAATACTATCGAAAATCTCACTTTGCCGTCGTGACACTTTTGTTATCAGGTACGAGGTTTTTGTGTACGGTTATTCCACTTGTAATTTGCAATATATCTCTTACCTTACCAAAAAAAAAAACTCAAATTGGCTTCTTCATCCAAACTAATTTTCATCTCACAAAAGATCTCAAACCGATACCTCTGACCCAAATCCAACCTCCAAACTCCCCTCCCCCCAATAGGAACTATAAGATTCATATACTCTGCATTTCTTGTACGTACACAATGTATGAATATGATTTCCAAGGGCTAGAGTAAAGTCCACGTATTGCAACCAAGACATATTACACACGATTTATTTCAACTCTCTTTTTTGGGAAGAGAACAAAAACATTGAACACACCTACTCATGCGGTCCACAATATTGAGCCCAAATTTCATGCGGGCTCACGTTTAGGTGTACTACGCTAGTGAAGACCGTCCGATCTGGTGAGACCCACATGGACTTCGGGTATCCATGAACATATTTTCCCTTTGTTCACTTGTTGATGGAAATGGAATCGTTCACTTCAACTCCGAAATCAAAATGAAAAATACTGATAGCGTCGAGATGAAGCACAAGTGATTAAGAATTCATGGCATAAGCAGAAATGAGATCCTCCTCTAATGAAGACTACGTGTAATGTTTCCCGTAAACCAGACTCCATTAATTCTGATTCTTCTGCAATGGCGCAGGCTTTCCCTCCCCCAAGCACAATCCAGACCCAACATGAAAATGGCGATGGGCAAAGCGAGCTTGAAGCTTCCGGTCAGCAAGAGCGACCAAACGGTGCTCTTTGCTTAAGCAGGCGAAGATTTTGTCATACTCCCTCTTCCTCATACCCTGCATTGCCAGTCGGAATGGCGATCCAACTCCTCGAGAAAAACAGAGATGGTGGGCAGTTTAGGCAATCTCTACGGCGGCGTCGAGAAGCTTAACGATGTGTGCATTGAATGTTCCAAGAAATGAGTATTACTCAATATGGTCTGACAGACTCACTGGCCTTTCCAGATGCAACGAAGCCATCTTTCTTGGGCACATCACGACTGGAGTAAATACAACTGACATGGTGTGTAGAATAAGTTCTGGCCAAGTGGACTCCAACGTGCCTACGTAGTTTCTATCCTCCAACCCAAGATTACGTTTTAGACCATGCCCTGATCTATAAATAGTAAACGCCACTTGGTCCTAGATTCATGTCAACCGTCTCCTTTAGGTGATTTGATTTGACTCTGCCATTAGCATCCGACATTCAAAACAAATATGCTTCGCATGGATAACTTCAGCTCACTCTTCGTCACATTATTCTTCTGCGCAATCCTCCTGCTTCCGCCGAGCTGCCACGGTGCGCTGCCGGAGAACCACGCGGCGTTCTTCATCTTCGGGGACTCGCTCTTGGACTCAGGGAACAACCTTTACCTAAACGACAGTGGCAAGGCTGATTCCTTGCCCTATGGAGAGACCTTCTTCAAGCATCCGACAGGACGACTCTGCGATGGACGCATCGTTCCTGACTTCATATGTAAGAATTGCACCTGCATTCTATTTTGCCGCATGACTAGTGCTAGTGAAGCTTTCAAAAGAAGAAAATGTAGCTTGTTCTTAAAATGCGAAAGCTAATTATGTGATCCTTTCGTTTCCTTGGCACAGCTGAATATGCAAAGCTCCCATACATCAAACCATACTTGGAGCCCGGGTTCACCAACTACACCAATGGGGTCAATTTCGCGTCTGCCGGAGCCGGTGTTCTCCCGGGAACTCATCCCGGAACTGTAAGACATGCTCTTTTCGCGTGCTATTCTGGTTTGATGTAAAGTAGTTCGCTTTTTTGAAGATAAATATTGATCGAGTCAATTATCTCTGATGGATTATCTAATTGGCTTGATCAGCTATACTTTAAGCTGCAACTGAACTGTTTCGAGGATGTAGTGAAGGGGTTGAAGCAACAACTAGGCGATGCTGACGCCCACAATTTGCTCTCGAAGGCGGTCTACCTGTTTAGTATCGGAGGGAACGATTACAATACAATTCCGAACAATACCAAAGCAACTACATCTTTCAGGAAAATGTACATGAGCATGGTCTTGGGCAATTTCACGGCGGGGATCGAAGTATATGACCAGGCTCTACTAACCCAATTCCATTTCTTGAACTTGAACAGAATTTGGGAACTAAAAGGAAGCTATTTTTATGGATGATATTGCAGCAACTGTATGCACATGGAGGGAGGAAATTCGCCTTCCAGAACGTCGGGCCGATTGGGTGCATGCCGGCTGCTCGAGCCTCGTCCGGAGCTGAGGGATGCTTGCACGACCCAACCGTGATAGCAAAGATGCACAACATAGCGCTGTCGAGACTGCTGAAGAGGATCGAACAGGGGCTACCGGGATTCAAATATGCCCTGTTCGATTACTACACTTGCCTCACCATGAGAACTCTATATAGCTCAAAATTTGGTACTATCCAACCCCAAGTCCTCTAATTCAAACCCATCGTCGAAATTCAAGAGAGTTACCGTTTCGAATGACAGCATGGTCATTTAGCTTCCGTCACTTTGATCATTGAATTGGACAATTCATGTGTCTCTTCTTGGTGCAGAAATTTGCTGATGTTCTTGTAATATCTTTGATGCTTTTGTTTGGTGCAGGGTTCAAGGATGGGAAGAGTGCGTGCTGCGGGACTGGCCCATACAATGGACTATTATTCTCATGTGGGAAAAAGAATGGCACAACGAGTGCTTACACTCTGTGTAGCGACCCAAGTGAGTATGTGTGGTTCGATGCTGCTCATCCTACTGAGATGGTCAACAGGCAACTCGCGTCTCTGCTGTGGGATGGACCCTCTCACACTGTGGGGCCTTATAATTTGAAGATGTTCTTTGAAATGCCATAGTAGTCGTTCTGTGTTGTGTGTTACATCCATAAAGTTTTGAGGCTCGAGTAATAAAATGCATAGTTTCTATGGTGTTACCGGTGCGCAATGTCTGCAACCTTGGGCTGACGCATTCTCGTGCCGTCATAAATCTGAGTTGAGGTGCGATATTAGGCAAAGAATCGCCTGGTTATTAGGCAATGGTTACACATCATGGTTGAGTGAAGATGCGGGGTGCCGTGTGTGGCAACCATCAAATATCTTCTCATAGTTTCAGGTTCGTGGTTTTAATGGGCTAGATCCACGAGTAGCGTTCCTATTACAGAAGATACTTCTGATAATTTTGGCGTTGAATGGGAGAAGAATTGAATTGGCAGTTCCACTCGCATTCACCGTTACAGGCGCCGGACCGGTTGGGTCATCGTCAACCACCAGTTAAAGCTGAACTTCCTCTTCTTGTGCTCTCACCATCACAATCTCTTCCAATCGTGAGTGAACATACAATTTACAGTTGACCAATTTCGCGCATTCCGCGTCGAATCAATTAATGCGAACTTTTTAATACCGTTGAGCTTCGATTCTAATGCATGTGCATTCATGTGAAGAACTCCCCTATGACATGCCAGCTTGCTTCTGTGATTTCAGTAATCGATGTAAGTCACGTTTGCATGGATTATTTAATCTACTATTCACAAATCCCGTTTCTGCACATGGGTAACTGCAAGAATAAAACCGATCCGCAATGAAAGATCTAAAGCGGTGTAGCCAACGACAGGTGACTGTTAACCGCTTCTTACTAGCATTTCAAAACTGAACCGGAGATTTGAACTGTTCCCAGCATGGGATCGACTCCAAATTAAATTCACTCGCCAAGTCCTCCAACGCTTGAGATCTGATGTTTCAGTGATCAATCCAGTCCACGGCAGCCGTAACCGATCCAAGAAATTCATGAAACCTGAATCGTACTTAATGTCCTAGGTTCTTCATTATTACGAGATAGATTCGGCTTTAGCTTAATCAAGAAAATTTCATCAAAAAAAAGGTGAGTGTGAACTTTCGCTTTTTTGTCAATGCTCAGCATTCACTTTCCTAGGTGCCCGCGCATTCAATGAATTCTTGCCAATTCTGAGCGCTCAAACCAAAGGCATGGTCGCCTTAAAGCCATTCCCGATCTTTGTAATTTATACATATATCGAGTAGGACCTCACATGCCATAGTTTCTCTGCTACACAGATTTAAACATTTTCACCTACCACAGCACGGCACACGTCTCTCTAGACCATGCTTCCAGTGGTTATTACATTGTTTTCCCTGTGTGCAATCCTCCTCCTTCCGGTCACCTGCCTTGGCCGGTTGCCGGAGAACCATGTGGCTCTCTTTGTCTTTGGGGACTCACTCTTGGATGCCGGGAACAACCTTTATTTGAACACCAGCGTGAAGATGAACTACTTCCCTTATGGAGAGACCTTCTTCAAGCATCCGACTGGAAGAGTTTGTGACGGCCGAATTGTGCCCGACTTCATTGGTAAAGCAATCTCCCAGAAATGAATCTTCTTTCAATGTAACTGAAGTTCAGTATGCTAGAGAAATAAATGTACCTTCTCGACAAGGAGATGTGTTGTGTTTGATTCATCTTTGTTTCAACACAGCCGAATATGCAAAGCTGCCGTTGATCAGACCATACTTGGAGCCCGGGTTCAGTAACTATACCAACGGGGTCAATTTCGCATCGGCTGGAGCAGGCGTCCTCCCAGAGACTCGTCCCGGGACAGTAAGATTCGCAGTTTGAGAGAATTAAGAGAAGGTTCCTTAGTTTGCTAGTCTTCACAGATTTAGCTAAATTTTGATGCTTGAAGCTTAAGTGAAGTTCGTATCTGCTATACTGCTTGGAAAATAACAGTTTGAACCTGACTTATACTACGAAGCTCATAGCATTCATTAACACATCATTAAATGCAATAGATTTATCCTGCTTGATACAAATGTGTAGGTGCTGTCAATTAATAATGTGCCTAAGGGAGTTAGAAGCTAACCATCGAGGATCCATTTGGCATTTCTTTATGTGTCTGTTGCATCATTTTGTACTTGGTAATCGATGATTTAGACAATCTGTTCATTGAGCAACCTCAGCTCTTGAAACTAGAATATCCGCTAAATCACAGTGAGGAAATAAGAATGCTTAATTTGATCAACTGAGTGATAATTCACGATTGAAAAGAACAATGTTTAAATCATTTGGCCATTAGGAAACGACATGGAATTAGAAACTTTCACTCCATGGATTTCTGATTCATTGATGGGAAACAGATACACCTGAAGCTACAACTGAGCTACTTTGAGGAGGTGGTGAAGCGGCTGAGGCAACAACTCGGAGATGAGGATGCTCACAAGTTGCTGTCCGATGCAGTGTACTTGTTCAGCATGGGAGGCAACGACTACATGGTCCTCGATACCAACCCCAAATCATCTGTCCTCACTGCTGCTTACAAGGAGACATTGGTGACAATGGTGCTGGGAAATTTCACAACTGTGATCGAAGTAGGAGCTTTGACTCTTACTAAGTTTTCTTGAAGTACTAGGATGGGCTAACTAATTCGTAACACTCAACTTGTGCTCTTTGTATGAAATGAATGATTAATTCAGGAAGTATATGCACTAGGAGGGAGGAAGTTTGCTTTCCAGAACGTTGGGCCGATCGGATGCATGCCGGCCACCCGAGTATCCTCGGGGATCGACGGCTGCCTTCACAATCCATCCATACTGGCGAAGATGCACAATATCGCCTTGTCGAGGTTGCTGAGGAAGCTGGCATATCAGCGAGCCGGATTCTCATACGCGCTCTTCGACTACTACACCTCCCTCACTATGCGAACTCTGCACAGCTCGAAATTCGGTAACGCCCCCAAAATTTAACAGGGGGGATCGTCGTCCACCCTTTAAAAATTTTCACTTCATCATTAACGTAGCACATTTTCTTGATCGTGCCATGCCATGTTTAGGTTGGTATTAATTTCTTGCGGCGCTCTTGTTATTTGGTGGTAGGATTCAAGGAAGGGAAGAGCGCCTGCTGTGGGAGCGGGGCGTACAACGGGAACTTCACCTGCGGAGGCAAGAATGGGACGGCGAACTACAATTTGTGCGGCGACCCAAGCGAGTACGTGTGGTTCGATCCTGCTCATCCGACCGAGAGCGCCAATAAGCAACTGGCCAGTCTGCTCTGGAACGGGCCGACCCGTATCGTCAGGCCTTATAACTTGAAGATGTTCTTCGATGCGTCTAATGTACAGGTGAATTGAGCGGTGATATGTTAGGCAACTATAGCCCTGAATAATATGTTTTGTTCTTGATTTGACCCACGTTAACCTCATGCATTGCATGTTAAAACATCAGTAAGTCTTGCTTTACGATGCTAAGCAACTCCTTTGGTTCTAGAAACGCGCCATTTCATGGAATCTTTTAGATAAAATGCACTGTCTTATGTCGTGTTGTAATTGTCTCGCGACGTTCTTTTTTCTTTATACTACCTCGGTTGATGTGCAGCGAGCTCTTACTAATCCTTGACGTGATTTGGTCATGAACGATAAAATTAGAACCTACGTACCGAGGCCCGTCCGGGGGGAAGCTACCTAATTCGCGAAATGAAAACAAGACAGATCATATGTAGTTAGATCTAATTCCCCAGGTGACCAGAAACTATATTCATTTGCTCAACTGTTCTAAGCAATGACTATCACCCATTAGGTGCACATGTTGTGACAACCCGACGTAGCTTCAGAGGTAGAGTGTTTTGACTTCTCATTCTGGTCATAATGTCTCGACAAGATGTACATGGCTCGTACCTTGCTCGTATCCGGCTCAATAAAACAAGGTTATGCTCTGCACCATTAGCTTTGTTTTCCATGAAAGTAGAGCTCCGATTTCTTTCTTGTCGAGACGGAAAGTTCGAGATCAAACAAATTTACCGATTCGATTACACCTCCTCGAACAAGCGCAGAATTCAAACCCCACCGAAAGTTCCTTGTCAAATCCCTTTTGAGGGGTCTGTGTGTCTTTAGGTAGATGAAAACGAAAACAGGGGACTCTGTTTTTGTGAACGGGAAGCGATGATCTATGGTGATTGTCACGTTTCGCCCTCGTGCAATCGCTGTCCATCATGCCAGCACAATGCGAGTGTGTGGCCGGGTAATTTCCGAGACTTTTCTAGGAATTTGATGCCGCTAATTTTTTTGTGGACGTTTCCAAGTGTTCCTCCATGATTGCGTTTATTGAAGACAGGGCATCAGCTTCAGGGGCCAGGGGCGAAAATTCGGTGCACTCTCGGAAAAACAGCGTTTCCTTCTCGTTAAAAGAAAAGGCAAAAGGCCAAAAAAAAAAATGGACGAGTACTTTTTCGCTACGTTATTATTTTGTCTTGTTTCTTATATAAAATGTCATATCATGTCATGTGGTGTCTTTTTCGAAAACGACGCTCGCCCAGCCCCTGGCCGGACCTGTCAATCGTGTCGAGAGAGGCTTTTTGTTCCATTCCGAATTCACTCCTGTAGACACTTCTTGATCATGCTGTCGAAGAATTGTCATAATTTTACCCCAAAAAAAAAAAAAAAAGGGCAGGAGGTTTTTGTCCATGAGAAAAAGCTTGATCCAATCATATGTTCAAGGCCACGTGCAAAATTTAATCGAGAACGAATTTGGTAAGTTTCCTCCAATTACCGATGGGGAAAAATACGATTCGAATTTTCAAAAGGTATATACGGTCGTGCTAAATCGCGAAAAATACGATTCGAATTTTCAGATGGGGGTGTCGCGCGTACGAAATTTTGTATCTGTGGCTCCCCGCGAGTACCGGGGAGAAGCCGAGACGCGCGAGTGGGGGAAACGCTCCCCCGGTTGCTCGAATAATTGCGTGGGGGTGGGTTTGACCTCATGTGAGTCGGGGGTGCTGTGGGGCCCCCCGGGGGGGAAAACTTTTGGACGGCGTTCCGACCGCACGTTTCACGTGGTGCCGACGACGGGGAGGGACACCTCGGCGTCCCTGCAGCGCCACGTCATCCCCCCGCGGGTCCCAGCTAATTTAATGCGCGCGGTGGTTAGTGAAATGACCTCCGTATCCCCAGTGGGATACAGCCCCCCCATCAAACGAGTCAATCCAGCTCCCGTTCCACGTTCGCCAAAGGTGTACGATCCAGTGATTGAGATGGAGAACGCGATGCGTGCAGATAACGGCCCTTGTATGTGCGAGCTCGAGCCTCTTCGACTAATTTTCTTCCGCCATTGGCGCGAGGAATCGGATTTTCGCGCGAAAGTTGGCGTGGAATCGGTCCATAGACTAGATTCTCTTCGAATTACGAAGATGGCGAGCTGGGTCCACGGATCGAATGCGACCGATGAAGGTCAAGCTGGGAGACGACGCGGCGACGAACCCAACCCATGCTCAATTGCTCACCCCAAACATGAGGAAGGGGGAATTGTCGGAATTTGTCTTTGACAACGACAAAACGATTACATCTTACTTGCTGTTGATGCTCAATTGAGATTAATAGAACAAACAATCCATGAACTTTGATTCAGCGTGCAATATTGTCCCCGAATTTTTAATTTGTGCAATGTGGTCTCCGAACTTTGGCGCAAAATATAATGTCGCATTTAGGTTATTAATTTGTTCAATTTGGTTTTTGAACTATTGGTAAATGTTCAATTGATTCCCTAAACTGTATGAAAATGTTTAAAAGTCCAAGGATCATATCGAATATTGGACCAAAGTTCATATACCACATTGAATAAATTAGGCCAAATTCAAGGATCTACATCGAATAAATGAAAAGTTCGGAGATAATAGTACATATCGAATCAAAATTCACGGATCATTCCTGTCATTTTTCACCCCTCGATCAAAGACGTCGCAACGCTTGTGGGGGGGTTGAGGGTGAAGCGGGGCCATCGTAACTGGCCACCTCCTCCTCATTTCGAGGTTTCAAATCCACATGGGTTTGGTGAGCGGGCCAGAGAGACGCCAAGGCTTCTGTGATCTCTATCAAACCTGACCGCGACACGTTTCACAGATCCCAATCTGATCCACCACGACGATGACGAGGACGATGATGATGACTATGACGATGGTGGCGAATCCAAGGTCCCGTTGTAACTTTGGTCTTGTCTGCATCGATTGTGCTCCACACCCTTGTCCCCCGTGAATTAATTTGTCACTTTCTCCTCTCCCCCATTTATGTCTTCCCGACTTCCCCCCTATTTACGTCAAGGAAGGTGACCCCCGATTTAATTGGCATCACCCACGATTGGGACATATAGTTGTTGTGGGTCGGAGCGGGCATCTAGATCCACATAACTTGAACTGGCAGGCAAACCCCGGTATTTCGATCCTGGCCCTCATATGTACGTGAGTCTTATAGGTAGATTCGACCCTGACTGTTCGGTAATTCCCCAACGAGGCTCGACTGGCTCGAACAGCAAAACGAACGAACCCAGGCAAGCGATTTCCTTTTGGGGCCCGAATCGCCAATTTTGACACGTCCAACCCGACTCGTATTGATCCCATCAATCTTATATAAAATAAATTAGTATCCTTAATTTTGGGCAGGCTTTAAATAAAGGGCTGATGGATCCTGCACTAAGCACGACCCTCCCAATTAATTGATTGACTCTAGCCACAGCATACTGCCAGAAACAGTTCTTTCAAGCACATGAGATGATGGACCGAGACAACGAATGTCGCGTTAGAATCGCATTCCCTTTTCCCTAGATGGAATACAATTCAAATTAGGATTTTTTTCTTAACAAATGTCCCGAGAGCACTTGTTAGATAGCCAATTAAAGAAACTCTACGATTTCCAAAGCACCAATCGTTCCCGTGTTATGCACGTTTTAATCGTCTCCATTCAATCGTCCCACATAAAATATGCTTTTCAAATGCGCCCGACCACTCGTTAGTAACACCCTTTTTACACACGTAGCAAAGCGTATACACCTAACTGTCGTTATAAATGTAGGAAAGTCGGACTAGGGAAAAGGCATCCGAAGGTTCCCTAGCGACCACGAAGCGTTCAGACTCTCTGCCACGTTCCCGGGCTTCGTTCGTCTCTCTCGCCTTAATATTATACAAATCGATGACCGACGATGATTGATCCCTCCCCTTGTCTGAACACATGTGGGCTTTTGGTCTCTTTTGAATCCCAAATAAAAAACAGAACAATTCGAGGCAAAAATAAATTAATAATTTACTTTGTTTTTTTTTTTAATGACTTGCGACGATTCGGCTCGACATGTAACCCAACGAACCGTGAAAAGACATTCGGGCCACATAACTTAACCCACCACCTCTCTCGATCGCCATCGACGCCTTCGCATCTCCGCTCATCGTTTTTCACATGCAAAAGAAGGGTATTGATTATTTTTTATGTTTATTTTTGAATTCTTCTTTCTTTTAAGGCAGATATTGAATTAAAAACTTTCAATTATGTCACCATGGCACCAAAAAATCTTAAATTATGCTTATTGTGATATCAATAACCTAATTTTTTGTTGCTATCACTGAAGCTTTTAAACGGGTACGGGTGTGACAAAAGTACTTTCGAGCCATGTGCTTGAAGTCGGATCTGCCTATCATTGCTTAAGTAAGCCGTCGCACCGGTTTTTTAACGTCCGCCTTGGATAGAACGGGAACGGGCGATGGAACATTTTTGTTCTTATAGTTGGTACGAGTTTGGGATATTGGTGATTAGAAAAATAATTTAGGCTATTGGTGTCACAATAACCAGAGTTTTATGATTTTTTGTGGTAGACATATGGGTATATTTGTCAGGCTACTACGAGTTTGGGGTATTGATGACACGATAAAAAAAAGCTCGAGCCGTCGATGTCACATTGGGCAAAATTTAGGGCTTTTGGTGGTAGATGGAGTGTAGTTTTATCACGCTGGTAGAAGTTTAAGGGTTTTGCGTGATAAAAAAAAAAGAGATAAACGCAATAGAAGTCCTAAAATTAGTCACGAAAGTGCAATTGAATCCTAAAACTTTAAAAAATGCCATCAAGTCTTAAAATTTGTCATAAAAGTGCAATCAAGTCCTAAAACTTATTGCAAAAGTGCAATTGACTCCTAAAAATTTTAAAAAGTGCAATCAAAAGAAGAACTTAGCCCGTTCGTTTGGCGGAAAATATTGTGTTTTTGGAAAATATTTTCCCAAATCATTTTCCTAGAAAATGTTTTTCCGAAACACAATTTTTCCGGTGTTTGGTTGAAATATGAAAAAGTTTCGAAAATATATTTTCCGGCGTCGCAACGATCGGCGCCGATTGTGTTCTTTTTCCTTCTTCTTCTCCGTGGTCGCCGCCATGGCCACTGCCGACGTCCGGCGACCACCAAAGGCGAGCTCGAGCCTCACCACAGGCCCGGGCGAGGCCACTGCGAGCTCGGCCGTGATCGGCCAAGCTGAGCCTCGCAAGATCGGCTGTCTCGCTCGAGGTCGCCCGATCGGCGACCTCGGGCGAGGTCGAGCTCGCCCAGTCGCCGTCGCCCGAGTCCTCGCAGTCGCCGATCAGCGATCGGGTGAGGTCGAGCCTCGCCCGAGGTCGAGCCTCGCCCAAGTCGCCGGACGTTGGCGAACCTCGCCCGAGGTCATCGGCGAGGCTCGGGCGAGGCCGAGCTCGCCGTCGATCGGCCGCCGACTAGCCGAGGTAGAAGAAGTAGAAGCAACAAAAAAAAATGAAAATAGGAAGAAGTTTGAAGCAAAGCAGAGTTTAGGACTTTCGGAAAATGACTTCGAGCTCCTGGAAGCAGTCATTTTCCTCAAAACAATGAAGGATTTGGGGGTGGGAAGGAAAATGTTTTCCGTGGGGAAAACATTTTCCGCCCCCAAACACCGGAAAACGCGAAAAATATTTTCCGGAAAAATATTTTTCGGGGCACGAACACAGCCTTAATTGGACTAACTTAATAAGTTTTAGAACTTGATTGCACTTTTTGAAAATTTTAGGACTCAACTGCACTTTGTGACAAGTTTTAGGACTTAATTGCACTTTTTGAAAGTTTTAGGATTCAATTGCACTTTGATGACAAGTTTTAGGACTTTCAATCCACTAATCCAAAAAAAAAAAAAAACAAAAGTTTCAAGGTGCTTCGGGGCTCAGGCATTGTATAGGGTTATTTATGGTATTTTCCCTGCTATTTGTTATTAGGTTTTTTTTTTTGGGTTGAGCACTTTTTGTGATTAGTTACTGCCACTTGGATCACATTTTTAATCGTTGATGATTGAAAAAAAAGGCAAGTGCTTAAAAGGATAAGACCACTTTTTCGCTCTTTCATGAAGGAACACCCGCACAAACACGTGGAAGTGGAGTTTAGCGAAAGCACTCTCACATGCTCAATAATAAATAGTCCTTAATTAGCAAGTTAAGTATGATTGTACCGATCGTAGTTAATTAATTCGATTTTTTAAACCCTCCACGGTTCCTTCGGAAATGGTAAGGTTTTTGGCGCAAGAAGAAGGGGCTGACCTGTATTATCATGACTTGGTTATAAAACATCGATTACTCGATATTAGACCCGTCAAAATGGATCATAAATCCATTACTTAACCCATATATTAGTAGATGGGTCATAAATGGATTAGTTATATTTAGTAAATGGGTCATAAATGGGTAGAAGTTTAATATTAGTGTTAAATAGATCATAAATGGGTTAGTTATATTTAGTAAATGGGTCATAAATGGATAGAAGTTTAATATTAGTGTTAAATGGTTGTAAATAGGTCATAAATTAGTTTATAACTGATTTAAACTCAACTCGTCTCTCTCGCCCTTACTCAATCTTGCGGTCACTCACTTCGCACTCTGATCTCAATTTGAGTATGAATTTTCCTAGATTTAATTAAATATAAAAGTGTTTTAGCAATATGGGTCTGATCGGGTACGGGTTGGGTATGGATCGGGTCGAGTATGGGTCAAGAAAATTGCATTGCGCATAAATTGGTCATAAACGGGTTAATGGGTCAATTTGGGTTGGACTATTTATGACTCGACCTAAATTCGACTCGACCGACCCATTTTACAGGTTTACTCAATATCTGTGCGAAAGGACAAAAACAAAAGACCTCTCAAAAGGCAAGATTTTATTTGATTTGATTTTTATGAATAACTCTTGGCAATGGGGGCCGCGAAAAATCGGGAAAAAAATGACAAATCAATTGTACATATCGTGTCGTATTTTGAAACGATGTGACGTTTCAAAAATTCACAGCGTCTGCGAACGTACCGTTGTTGTTTTCCTCTTAACTCCCGGTGCTCGGACCTCCCGATCGGAAGAGATTAACGTCTCCATCTGCGAAATCAAGCGAGCACCCACGTATCTAGGAAATGAACCCAGCGTTAGCGCGCGCGGAAGCATGTCTAGAAAATGACGACGCGCCGCTAATCGAAAGGACGGAACCCACGAAAGCAATCGGGGGAGACGTATCGAAATTAAGCTTTAGCTAATTCATTAAGATGGTAACGACTTCCTGTGCACACATTAGTAATTCAAATAATTAGCAACACGTACGCCGGTGATGCAAGCCATGGCTTAACTAGTATTTCTTTTCTTCGGGCCGGAAAAAAAACCATTCATCTATATTACATATACATATACATATGCTCAGGAGTTGACTGGATACGCCTCGAAAAGTTTGATACGGCGCTTTACGATGTTCCGTAATTACGACGGCCCAAGCAAAAAGCAACCCCGCGCGTTCATACCGTGCGTGTAAGAAGATGGCGCTTATTGACCTTCGGCTCGTCGTTGACCGGGGGCAGTTTGACTGACCCCCGGGAAATTTATTTTTTTCGAAATTACCGGAGGTCCCGTGGCAATAATTTACAAGAGGTCAAAAAGGGGCGCGATAATGATGACAATAATTGAGACCCGATTCCCGTACGTAGCTCGCTCCACGTAAAAAGGGAAAAAAAAACATTTAAAATACTCGAAATAATTCGCGGGGGGCAGTTCGCCACCAGCCATTGCTCCTCTGTTATTTATTTAATTTTTAAAAAATTTCATTTTCGTTTTAATTTGATTTAATTTTTTTTTCAAAAAACTATCGTGTGGACACAGCCGCCGGAGCGATCTCTCTCTTCTCTTCTCTTCTCCAAAACCTTCGCTCGCGCTCTCAATCTGCATCGGCGCTGGCGTGTTCCGGAGCTTCTCTTCGCTCCCTCCCTCCCCTCGTTCGTCTTCCGAAGCTTTCTTTTTTTTTTGGGCTACGCGCCTTCCCTCTGCGCGAGCGCTTGTTCGCGGCGCGCTTCGTGTCGGTGTCCGGGAGGGGCCCCACCCGGTCGGTGCCGCGCGTACGGATTCGGGGCGGCGGCGGCGGGGGGCGAGCTGGCTGGCGGTGGTTGCCGAGTTTGACATGTGCGGCTGAGTTCCGGCCGAGCTGTTGAACAGAGGAGAGGAGAGGAGAGGAGGAGGAGGAGGAGGAAGGGACGAGATTCGGCGACGCGGGAGGCGGCTGCGGCGAGGGTGCATGGCGGCGGCGGAACGGCGGTGCCGGATCGACGAGGAGGACGGCGGCGGCGGCGCCGCCGCCTACCGCTTGCAGAAATTCAGGCTCTACGAGACTCGCTCGGTATGTGAGCATGAGCATTTGCCCGGAAAGTTTTTTTTTTTTTTTAACCTTTGGCCGCGTTGCGAGCGTCTGCCAACTTTGCCACTTCGGCTGCTACCGTGTCTGCTTCTCATGGATGAATTGAGTTCGTGTTTTCGGATTTTCCAGATCGGTTTTAGGAATGCTGCTCTCCGGTGCAGTGCGCTTTTTTTTTTTTCCCGCTCCATTCGGATGTGATTTGAGTTTTTTTGTTCTTTTTTTGCTGATTGCGATTTGCTAGTTTAAGTTCATTCGGCGAATATGAATCGAAAAATCCTCCCTTTTTGTGCGTCAAGAGCTTTTACAGATCGTTTTGTAGTTTGGGATTTGTGGTTTGACCTGTTGATTTGCTATGATTGATCCACCTCACCTTCGTTCTGTTGGTTTACTGGGTCTCTTGTTCCTTCTTGGACTTCCATACAGTGAGGAGCACTGTGAAAGGGGGACTGTTTAGTTTCGTTTCGTCTTTGGATGGTCGCGTGAGATGAGATTTGTCTTGCTGGTGATGCAGAATCATGTCCTCTCACTGTTTGTTTAAACAGCGGGGAAAGTTCGTTAGTTGTGGTAATCGAAGATTTCGGGAGTCGAGACGGGCAAGATTACTTTGTGGTTGCGCTATGATCGGATCTCTCGGAATGTACTTCCTTGATCGAGGATTAGATATACGTCTGCTTAAATTTGTCCTCGCCGATACCGCTTTTCAGAAAACATTGCAGTCCAGATTTCACATTGCTGCAAATCGTCTATCTATTAAAATTTAACTAAGCTGTGGCGTGTTTCTTACTGTATGACATTGCACTATAAGTCTGTAACTCTGATCAAAGTTATGGTAGTTATTGGGGAGACCATGCCCCAGACCACTAGACATTTCTAAAGATGGAGGAGGCCAGAGGAGCGCATGTATGTGAATATCCAGATGATTTTGTCATGCTTTCGTAGTGCCGTGAACAGATCCAAAGCACTTCACTGTTTTTTTCTTTTTTTCGCTTCCGATTAATTTTTGTTATCTGGCATTTGAAATCTGATGACGTAGTTGCCTTACCTGTATGTCTCCATCTCTTTTATAGGTCGTTAGATAGGCTTATATGTTAATTTTTATCCCCCTACGTGCGACAGAATTTCTACATGATTGGAAGGGACAAAAACAGGACTTTTTGGAGAGTGTTGAAAATTGATCGATCAGAACCTTCCGAGCTAAACATTCTTGAGGATCCTACCACATATACGGAGTATGAGTGTTGTGACCTGCTAAAACGGATACATGAAGGAAACGTTGCTAGTGGTGGCCTTAAGTTTGTGACTGCATGCTATGGAATTATTGGTACGTTGTACCCAAACTTAATCCTCGAGCAACTCATTTTAGTATGAAACTCACGGTGTTTCTTTATTGTCTAGGGTTCATCAAGTTCTTGGGGCCCTTTTACATGCTGATTATTACAAAGAGAAGGAAGATTGGTGATATTTGTGGCCATGCTATATATTCAATCAGCAAGAGCGACATGATTCCAATCCCAAACTCTCAAGTGCAGACAAATATGGCTTTTTCTAAGATTGAAAACAGGTCTTTTGTCCATCCTGAGAGTAAATGTAATATACCTCGGTACTGTTAGGAAGATATATATATGAGATTAGCATTTGGATGGTCATTTCACCCCTGTACTTTGAAGATTGATTTAGTGGTCAAATGTTCTAAGTTCTTTTCAGCTTTATTGCGATCGTTGGACTTGGAACTTAGAATGAACTGAGATAACTCCCTTTTTTCTTATAACTTGTGTAGCAGTACTACAAGAAGAAAATCTCATTTGTCTGGCGACATTGTATTAGTAATTTAATCAAAGATAGAGGTCTCATAAGATCAAGTTTCTGTTAAAGATGCCTTGGTTCTTCGCTTATGTTCAATACATTGGATGAATAGTTAGTTTGTAGCTGTGGCATAAGGATATCACACTTCATGACTGCATCCTATATAGTGAATGAATTTTCCAGGAGTCATTGCCAGTTTTTTTACCGCAAATGGACAGGGTGAACTGCGTTGCCTCCGTGATCTTGTAATGCATAATGAATGATACAAGATGTCAGCAATAGATTCCTGTCAATTCTTTTTCATTGTTGCGGTTCAAATTATTGGATTACACTTCTACTTTGTGTTCGATCTGTTCTACTGTTCAATGTGTTTAACCAGATGCTTTGCCTTTTGATCGTCCGCATAGATACAAGAAGCTCCTGTGTGTGGTTGATCTTACGAAGAACTTCTTCTTCAGCTACTCATATGATGTTATGCGTAGTCTTCAGAGGAACTTGTGTGATCATGAGTCTGGGCAGACCCTCTATGATAAAATGTTTGTTTGGAATGAATATCTGACACGTGGAATTCGGAATAACCTCAAGAATACTTTGTGGACAGTTGCATTAGTACATGGGTTCTTTAATCAGGTATGGATTGTGAAGTACTTCAATCAGAGTTTTTACTGGATTATTGTTATACAGAATCAAGCGCAAGGGCATAAAAGGATTCATATAGCCGAACTCATTTAATGGGATAAGGCTTTGTTTGACGTTGTTGTTCCATATTATCATTATTTCAGTCTTTAGCTTACTCATCTAACTGTTAATCAATTAAAATGGTTTGAACTGAAGATAGCATCGTGTAGCTAAGTTAAAAAGCAACCTCATGCATTTCCATGATGGTTTGTGCAAAAAGTCATGTGCGTAGCTGAGAGAATGATAGATTGATGTCATGTTCACTGCTGCTGTGTTGTATCAGGTGAAGCTTTCTGTCTTGGGCAAGCAATTCTGGTTCACCCTGATCGCTAGACGCTCACGGCATTATGCTGGCACCAGGTAATAGATTCTCTTTGGTATTCTGAGGATGAATTTATCTGAAAAATAGCCATGTTTGTCCTCACATCTATCTTTATATTCTGTTTTCTTTTCTTTATTACTTTTCATAACAATGAAAATAAGCCAATCTTCCTCTTCATTTGCTCATCCTAAGCCTGATCCTGCTAATTCATCTCTTGTGCAGATACCTCAAAAGAGGGGTCAATGAGAAAGGCAGAGTTGCTAATGATGTTGAGACAGAACAGATTGTGATTGAAGATGCACCTGAAGGATGCCCGGTGCAAATCAGTTCTATTGTGCAAAACCGGGGCTCAATCCCTCTTTTCTGGTCACAAGAAACTTCACGATTGAATCTTAAACCTGATATAACACGTGCGGCTTGTGAAGATATGAATTCTGTTTTTTGTTTGGTTCCCCATAGCTTTACCAATATCTTACCATCTAACTCCGTCATTTTTTTTTCCTTATCCAGTATCAAAGAGGGATCCCAATTATGCAGCCACGAAACTTCACTTCGAAAATCTGGTCAAAAGATATGGAAATCCGATAATTATACTAAACTTGATCAAGGTTTGCATCTCTCCTAGTTCCATGTTTGGAAAAGCAATATAACAGCATTTACCACAACATTTCTAAAGTTTTATTTAAAGTTAACTTCCTGTCTCTTCTTCCCGCTTCTCTTGTTACGTTTTGACAGACACATGAAAACAAGCCTCGAGAAACTATACTTCGTGCAGAATTTGCAAATGCTATCAGATGTATCAACAAAACCTTATCTGAAGAGAATCGTTTGCGGTTTTTGCATTGGGATCTGCACAAGCACTTCAGAAGGTGATAGGTCTTTCCTTTTCCTGTTTATGGGATGTGATGTTATGCTGAAATGATGGTTGAAACATTGTTCTTGTCCCGGTTCGCAGCAAGGCTACCAACGTATTGGAACTTCTCACCAAAGTGGCTGTCTACGCAGTAAACTTGACTGGCATTTTTTATTGTAAAGTGTCTTCTATTTCAAGGATAGAGGGATCACTGATTTCATCTTACTTTGGGTAAGTGTTATCGGAGAAGCCGCTTGTTCTCAAGTGCGATACTTCATCCTCATTTGCTTGAGCCAAACTATAGATTGACTTTTGAATTCGGGTGAATTAGGTAGTTGGATCTTGTCGGATCTTATTCTGATCTCGATACTATTTGCTACTCGTTCTCTGCTGGCAATTTACTGACTTATAAAATGCTACAGGAATAGTGATAGTTCTGACTGCAGTTCTCTGAATTTCTCCAACAATGGTGATGATGCTGATAGCTTGGAAACAGAAATCAGCAGCAGCAGCAGTTGCTCAAAATTGAAGTTGTCAGTGTTTCAGAAGGGGGTTTTAAGGACCAATTGTATAGACTGTCTAGATCGCACAAATGTTGCCCAATATGCATATGGTTTAGTTGCTCTGGGAAGGCAGCTGCACTCAATAGGATATATAGAATCTGAAAACATTGAGTTAGATGATCCCTTGGCAGAGGATTTGATGAGGATTTACGAGACAATGGGTGACACACTTGCCCTGCAATATGGAGGTTCTGCTGCACATAACAAGGTCATTTTTCTCCCCTTCTCCATGCTCTTATGTCTCCTCGATACTCAGAAAGAATCAATATCGGTGCTTGCGCTACAAACCAAAAAAGAAAAGAAAAGAGAAGGATATCATGAGAGGTTAACGGCAGAAGTAAAGGAAATACATGGTCAATAATGGTGAACACTCTAGCTACATGGTCAATAATAGTGAACACTCTAGCAATATATGGTCCGGACACGTATTTCTCTTGAAGCCAAAAAAAGTCATTGGATCTACGAGAGACTTTAAAATGAGAGATTCTGTCGACTTTGTTGCTATCATTGACTATCTTTCTAGTGATGATTAGAGTGTGCAGTGCAAGAGGTTTGGAAACCAAGGTTTCTAAACATTCATAAAACTTAGTAATGCGTGACTTTGTGTGCTAAAACCATGCAACGATAAAACCTTATGATGTTCTTTCTGGGGTATGCTTAGATTTTAGTTGGGCGTCTCTCTTGTTTGTAACATTTATACACCCAAATTTCATTTTGCTTCTATGCTCCCAAGAAGTAGAAACTAGTAATCGACTTCCACCTCTTTTGCGTGAAGCATTTAATGACAGGAATGAGCAGTACACATGTCAATGTGCTTGGGTGGCCTTCAATATAGGAACCGCTTAAAACTTAATATTTCTTTCTCGTTTCTTTTGGAAATATGTGCTTGAACCAATGTAATGTTCGTGTGCATACCAAACACATGAATGCTGCTTATACAATGCAAAAAGTCATCACTATGAGGAGCAGTATTTTCTGATCAATTTAATATCCAGTTGAAGACACAAATATGTTAACATTGTGTTTGAATGACATAAGTTGATTTCTGTGCTTGCTTTTGAAATCTTAGTGGTGGAAACGAGTTGGTTTTGAATTGGAAGTTGCTGAGTTGTGAGATGGATTCATTTTGGTTTGATATGCCAAAACCATGCCCAGAGTGTTATGTCAGATTTTGTGGCATAGAAAATTCATTGCCACTTTGTTTTTGTTATACTCTAATCTGGACTCTGGATGCTAATTGGTGCTACAGTTCGGTTCATCCTTATTCTTTTGGTGCTACAGTTCTGTTCATCCTTTTTCTTTTGCTCTGCAATGGCCTTTACCCTCAACACCTTGATTTTCATTTTTATGATCTTAAACAGATATTTTCTGAGAGAAGAGGTCAGTGGAAAGCAGCTACGCAGTCCCAGGAGTTTCTTAGAACTCTTCAACGGTATTACAGCAACGCGTATGTAGATGCCGAAAAACAGGATGCCATCAATGTGTATGTAGACTCGCTTTTCGTCAGCGATTATTTAAAGTAGAATTGAGAGAATCTTTTTGTGTCGTTTTTTCTCACCATAGCTTAGGATAATGCATTTACTTAATTATACACGTCTTGACAATTATTGCAGGTTTTTGGGATATTTTCAACCTCAACAAGGGAAGCCTGCTTTGTGGGAGCTGGATTCAGATCAGCATCACACTGTTGGAAGGCACAGTGCTAACTGTACTCAAGAGACTCCTAGGTACAAAAAGGTTATTTTTCCTTATTTTTGAGTTATTAAAGTTCATCGTGTCAGATTTTAGGAGCTTATGATTGACCATATGTTGTCTATAAGTGGCAAATATCTGATCGGAATAAGCATTGTGGAGTCCCTCACAGTTAGAGGCATTGCTTCCCAGGACCCATACTACTTTATTTGTAAATATCAGAGAATTTGGGGATAATTCACGTACAGCATGCTGCTTTGAGAAAAATGACACGCACATGCTTGGTTCTCCCTTCTGGTGCAATGTCTGGAAACAATTACATAGAAGAAGACTTGACTCCAAAAATAAACTGCTATGTTTTTTGTAGGTCATTTATCAAAAGATCACTCTCTGATGGTAATATTCTCCTGGAAACCAACACTCCGATAGTGACCAAAAGTTCAGTTCAGAATCAGCCACTATCTGAGATTGCAGAGGGGACTAGAAAAGGTCTTTCAGAGTCGACGTTCAACATTTCGGCTTGTGAAAGTAACCTATCTGATGAAAGGTATGGTCGCTTGACATTTCACACCATCCTCATTTCTTTTTAGGGTTCTCCCGCATGGTCCTGTTATTTAATTTTTTCTGGGTTGAAGACAGAATATATGGGGAAGAAAATTTCTTTCTGACAATATCCTAGGTTTTTAATTTCTTATTGCCTCATCTTTATACCGGATACAAACAAGCCAAACTCACACAGTTAAAGAAGGAGATATAGGCTAATTGCTAAACCCGTCTGAGGCTAAGCCAACTCATTTTAATATATAAAAGAGAAGAACTATTATATATGGAGTATTGTTTTCTTCATTGTGTAGATCTTTAACATTTTTATAAAGGGAAGGCACTATGTGGAGATGAGTGGCTGCAATTGCACCCACTGAAGTTTTGTTTCCTCACGCTTTTTCTTAAGAGAAACTTATTTTGCACATCTCATCTTAAACCTTTGACCCCACTAGACTTGTTAACTCACTAAGTTTGACCCCAGGATATTCATATATTATTGTTTGAACTCTTAAGCTTTCTTGCAAAGATTACAACTAAAGGGAAGAACTCGCGGTAAGAGAAGGAGCACAATACAAAGTACTAGAGAAAAAACTAAACTTTACGTTTCCATCATTTCTAATTAATTCCTATGATATTATTTTTCCTAAGTATATGCACTTGTTTTAAACTAGTTGTTCTCAATTACGTCAAATGAAATAAACTTGAAGCATTAATAACAAAGTAGGTGAAAATTTCAATCCAAAAAAGAAATGCATGTACAACAATTGTAAAAGGTGAATATCATACCTTTTCAATTATTTCGACTGTTCACTTGTAGTAAGAAATTATTTTTCTTTTGAAGCTTTTCAATGCATTAATGCACGCCAGGAACGATGAAAAATTAACTATAACTTGTTTCTTTCTCATTATTATATATAGGGAAAATGCGTCCCCCTGATGTGGGGTCCGTTTCTTAAGCTTCTTCCGAATTTGACTTTGTTCCAAAAATCCCCTAAACATTCTCATTTTGACTCAATAACTCCTCTGAAGTGGCGCCAGCTTCTGGAAGTTCGCCCAGACTTGATTTTGTTCCAAAATACCCCAAAACTTGATCACTTTGACCCAATAACCCTTTGAGCTCATTTGTGTTGAAATTAATGGCCGACCAATGAACACGTGTTTGTCACGGGCACCTTTCGCCACTTTCCAAGAGGATTTTACTACGAAAAAAAAAACACATTTCTCCCATGTCATGCACATCAAAAACATTACAAGAACCCCCGCATCTGCCCCAACTTTATAGATCAGAAAGAAAAGGTTATGGTTTCTCGAGCATAGATTGAAAATTTTAAGATGGAGAATCACTACAGATGTGGGATTACTGAGGCCACAAAATCCTGTTTTAGATGTACTAATGATGAGCATTGGCACCTCTAGTGTCGATTTTCATGGATCTGGATAGCACTATAAAACCAAATGGTAAATGAGATGACTGTCCCTCTTCTCATTTTTTCAGTTTCCTCCTTAAGATTCATCTTACTTGATCAGTTTCTCTCAGATGTCCGTCTTAAAAACTGAACCAGACTTATCAATTGGAGTGACTTAATTTGTTTGCTTATGTCTTTGACTTAATTAGTGCTTCTTGCAATTTTTTGCAGATGTACACCTTCTATGGATGCTATACAACTTTTTAAGGACGTAAAAGAGGATGACTGTCCTGCAAGTAATTACATTTGCCTTGATAAACATGAGAATGCATGCAACTGTTCGAATTTTCTGGACGTGGATTGGCTTTCTTCATCAGGAAATTCTTTTGAGGAAGAAATATATGAAAGGTACCTTCTGGAGTGTACTTACTTTCTACTTTGGAATATCTCTGGTGAAAGCGAAACATTAAAGTGGAGTCAATTCGATGATGTTTTTGATTTTGCCAAAAATAACAGATGTTAGCCATTCTCTTTGAGGCATTCCTTTTTTGGATAGCGTGGCAAAACCGAACCTTCAACTCAAGTACTCCCCGTGGAGACCCACAAAGTACCACGTTCATGTGCATCATATAAGAATCCACTATATTGTGGCGGACCTGGCTTTAAAGATTATCTTGAGTGGGAGACATTCACGCAAACACACACACACACATATATATAGACATGTAAAATGTTAAGATTCATGACAGAATTTGGAGACGAGAAGAGTATATGGGTGCAATTTTCACATTGAAAGCTGCTTCTTTCTTTATAGTATTTTCATGGAAACCAACCACTTTTAGTTAATGATATTCACATGGAAACCATTTTGAGGGATAATGACTTCCTTCCTCAAGACGCCTGTTATACTAAGTATAAGTCAAAAAATTGTGTTATAGTGCTTCACAACAACCCAAATTACCTAAAGAATAGAAATTACAATAAGGACCAACTTTTGGAGCCACACTATTCTTATATCAAGCACGAAAGAAGCTCCAAATAACGGATGTTAGCCATTCTCTTTGTGGTATTCTTTATTTTGTTACCATTTACTTGTAAATAAAGAAAATAGAGACGAACTTGCCTATTGTGAAAAAGGAATTTACAGATCTAGAAGGGGATTGGTTATTCAGACTAGTGACTAGAAAAACAAATGAATGGATGAATACCATGAATGGGTCTGTAAAAAAAAACAATTAAAGGGGCTGTACTCAAGCAAGACTAGATTTCACACAAAAAAAAAAAAGAGACGGAAGAAGCAGCAGAAGAAGAAAGGCAAGAAAGGAGAGGCACTCTACTCATCAGGGTAGGAGTAGGAGGAAAATAAGCAGTGGGGCTTGATCATTTTTTCCTTAGAGTTTTTAGCCATTTGTCATCTTCATGTCCTTCCTTTTCCTTTACGCCTTCCAAAGTTTGTGTTAGGGAAATATGTAAATTTCTTAAATTGTTTATTAGTTGCCAAGCTCATATTTGCTTCTCTTTTAAATGGATACAGGTCATCCATCACTGGCCTGCCACAGGATAATGATGTCAATGGACAAAAATCAGCTTCAACCACATCCGGAAGCAAGTCTTTATCTGGAAGGAAGGTTGATAGTTTTTGCTTATTGCTGCTAAGTTTAAAATTCTAGAACTTTCCTTGACAGGTATTAATTGTCATGCGTTGCTTGAGTGCATGAAATGAAGGAATTGTTCTCGCCAGTTCTCAATGCAAATGCTTTAGGCCTTTGCTTCCTTTTCTTTTTCTTCTTTTTCTTCAACCCTTTATCTGTTGATTAGTAATGAAGTTGGCAGACATCAATGAGTGATCCATCTGATCACTTATCCCAGCGCAATCCCATTTTCTTATCATGACCAGAAGTTGTGACTTGGCTTGCATATGCTACTACTAAAAGTGAATGTCCTCATGGAATTTGTTTGTCGTGTGTGTGTGTGTGATCTTGCTTGTTTCCGACAATCCCTCACAGCCTGATGAAACATACACAAACTTTATACCGGGGGTAGTTTTCGCTGAGGGAGGTAGCTACTGTACCTCCCTGAACTTGGTACAAATTGGGATATACATACTTGACTGGGATGGCGTATGATTTACGACCTTCCATCCACTGAACAGTTTTTGTCCATTTTTGGCCTATTATCAACGGATGGCATCTTCTGACCTTGTATAGTAGATACTTTTGCGTGCTACCTCATTAGTTATTAATCAGGTGCTCTTTCCAATGGTCTGATAGTGTGACGCCTCGATCGAACTTTGAATTTGCACTTGCTCTTGTTTAGATCCCTGGATAATGTCAGTCTACCTTGGCACATTTATCAGATTATCACTTGTTCATTGAAAGTAGACGTTTCCTTGCGAACTTATTTGCACCAAATCTCATTTTCGCTTTGTCTTTTCTAAAAAGATTCTTCCCCTCTCTGCCTCTGCTTGTAGGAAAAGAAACATGCCGGAACTCGCACAGATTGTGGCAAGGCTCTAGCCGAATATTCCGATGACTTTGTCCGTTGGGTTACTGATGGGGAAATGCTGTCCCTTTGATCCCCGCTTTTTTACAAACTTGACATTTACCATATTCATCTGATTCAGACCCGTCCGAAGGACCGGGTTTCTAACGCAAGCAATAAAGCGGCGCCAATCCTTCTCGAGAAGAAAAAGACGTCGCCTCATGTAAATACCATGCAGCATTAGTTAGATTTTTCGGTCGTCTGCAGGAAATAAATGTCGCCATCCTCACGTAGCTTCTTTTCTGCCCATTCTTGTACATAGTGCTGTCTATTATTTTGGAATTTGGAGCTTCAGCTGAAAGTTGTACCTAGAGACTTGTAGGATCATTTTTGTAGTGTAGTAGGCCACTCATCTATTTCTCCCAAGGTGCTGAAGTGATGTAAGATGCTTTCCTGAAAATTTTGCACATTGGACAGTGAAGGTATACAAATTCTTGTCTATATTTCTCATTGGCTCTTCTTCCCTTTCCGATGGTGATTCTCTTTTTGGGGGTAAAAGTCGTCATCTCTTTGCATCTTCAGCGTTCGATTACCCAGCGTGGGTCTACTCCTTCTGTTTTTTTATCAGTTAGTACTTGGATTTAATTGAAAGTCAAGTCAGAAGCAGTTTGGACCCAAAAAATAGTCACATGCATTGAAGAGAACAAGAATTAATTAATGTTAAACGATGAAATTAAACGTTATGCATTGGCCAGGGGCCCACGAGGACGTCCGCTACTTTCGAGACGTTCTCTTCTAAAAGTTTGCTTTTGCACTTCCGCTAACAAAGAAATGCAAAGTTAAACTCTGTTATGTTTCTATTTTCTTGGTTTTGCAAATTCCTTCACCTAAAGCACAGATAAAAAGCCGCGAAAATAACTATCATAGATAAGAAACCAGTTGAACCAAATACAGCATATCACTTGACCGGATAACAAAAACTAATAGCAAAATCTCTCTAAAGAAAACTCATCTATAGAACTATGCTCCAACAAGTCCCAAACCCGAAAGATAAAGAACTAAATAAGTTGCCTGCAGACACAGCCAAAATTTACTCCCAACCAGCATCGTTTGACGGAGCCACTGCCGGAACAACTGCCGGAACAACTGCCGCACTGGGTGGTGGCGCAGCTGCAATTTCCCACCCGTCAGCTGCCACAGGTGCTGTTAAAAAGAAATTAAAAAAAGTCAGTGTCGATTACAAACCAAAAATGGATATTAATTACGGGAAATTATACTGATAAGTACCTGACTCCGTCCAGCCAGTTGGTTGGATTGCAGGCATGGGCGGGGCAGCTGCTTCACTGGCCCATTGAGAATCGGGGATTTGAGAAGTCCATTGGTCAGGCATAGCTTGTCCAGCAGCGTAATCAGTGATCCCATAATCACCTGCAACAACAGCTTCATCCTCCTCCTGTTGCTTCGCTTCCTCAGGTTCTCTGTAGAAGAACAGATCCACCTACACCCAAGTAACAAGAGCAAGCTTATTATTTTATTTGAATGATAAACCGCCTTAAAGCTTCTCTCAGGTCAAATTACATATTAAAAGCATGGCATTGTCTGTCAAACTGTTATTCTCTACTAAGTTAGGATGTGAAACGTAAACTCATTCACATGAGCAATGGGCTAGTAAACTTACCATAACATCCCACTTATGGCCAGGTGTAATGGTACCGCGCATCTGCAAAACCATCCTTGCCAACAGCCAGAACAGACATCCAATGCTGTGCTTTCCCTTGTTATTCGCCGGGATCCCAATATCAACATACCGCATTGGAGAGTCAGTGTCACAGAAAGCGATTGTCGGAATATTCCCAAGAGCAGATTCTTTAATAGGCTGCAGGTGTAACAAAGACAATTCATGAATGTGAAACATCGCAAATGTAAGAAGGATATACAGCCATGGCATTTAGGTAAAATAATAAGTGCAAAGTCTAAACTATCAAACCATATCATAAGAAGACAAATCACCTGGTGGTCAGTTCTTGGATCAGTGAGGATGAGAAGACGCGGCTCGCTGAAAGACGTTTGGAGCTGGTTAGTGAATGTACCTGGCGTGTGCCTTCCAGCAATGGCGTGAGTATTGGTATACTGGGCAAACTTGAGAACAGCCCTCTGACCATAGGGTCTAGCAGACTGAACAATGATGTCCTGAGGATTTTCAATGGCAACAATAACCCTAGCTGCCAACTGGAGTTTCTCCCATGTTTTTCCAAGATTAATAATGTAAATACCTGCAAATCAGAGCATTTGTGCATCAGCATGAAACAGAGAAAGCCAGATGAGGTAACTATCACCTTGTGCTCAATATCTTTGCCACACGAAAAAAAAAACAAACCAATTCTCGGAACTAATAGAATGACTGTCCAAGTATCCGATGTTCGCACATTTTGAGAAGATATGAAAACTCTATCTGTGATTAATTATCTATTCAAAAAGACTCGGACCCGAGCCTCAACAGGGGTATCAAGGCCTGAAAATCAATACCAGGAACAAATTAAGTAGAACTGCTTCCGCGGGAAGCATAAAGGATCAAATAGCAGAATCCAACACAGAACTATCACAACCACTAAGAAGATCATAACCATAGAATCACTACAAATCAATATACCACTCTCCATTCAGGCTGAAAGACATGATCAGCCAAATACTCCGGTCAACCTAAATCCATTTCCTCAAATTCAAGCATATTACCAGACAACTCCAATCAAATATATACGCATATATAGTGAACATACTACTAAAGTCCTTCCAAATCAACAAATTCACCTTACACCAACTCAACATCTGAACCCAACTTCCAACAAAGAAAACCGTCTGAATTCCCATAACCTAACCTATTGATACAAGTTCTAAAACACATTCGTTGAACTGTTCCGGCACATTCCCTCGCCCCTTAAAAAAAATCAGAACTTTACGAATTTAACGCAGACCCGACTCGCGAATCCTTCAAATGGAAAGGAAGGCAGATCTGGGGAAGGCATTTAAGCGACGAGGGACGAACCGTCGTTGCGGCGCTTGAAGACGTAGCGCTCCATCTGGAAGTCGCAGTTCTTGGTGCCGAGGTGGACCTCGGCGGCCAACATCATCTGGATGTCGGTCTCCTTCTGCGACAGCTGCCTCGCCGGCGCTGCGGCGGTGGTCGTTCCCGTCGCCATGCTGTCCCGCTTCGCTCTCTGTCTCTGTCGCCGGAGCAAGCACGGGGGTAGGAGGAGTTCGCTGCGAACGCTTCTGACGACGAAGGGGAAGAGGAGAAGAGTGAGGGGTTTGGGGCGTGCGTTTTATACGACAGTGCCAGAGAAAACCCTAGCTCCTTTCTTGACGGTTTTGTCCCTCGTGTTTTGGCCAACACATTGAAAATTCTGAAAATTCACTAATAACACGTATGGTTCTTAAGCTTTTAATTTGTTCAATATGGTCCTTAAAAATTTTAACTCAATGCGTAATATCGTTTCTAAACTTTTAAATTGTTCAATGTGATCCTTGAACTTTTAATACATGTTCAATAAAGACCTTGGATTGTATGAGAATGATTAATTTTGTCCTGAATTTGAATTAATAAAGAGACAACATCGAACATTTTCATATAGTTCATGGACTAAATTGAACATGTACCAAAATTTCAAGCAAATTTTTGAACAAATTAAAAGTTCATGGGCCACATTGCACATTAAGGAAAAGTTCAGAAACCACATTAAATAAATTAAAAATTTAGAGACCATATTATACATCGGGCCAAAATTCAGGTATTCCAAAATTCAACTAGAACTTGTAAATTGTTTGATCTCCTATAATTATTTCAAGATTATTCAAAAGAAAAAGTTATCTTGAACGTGATATTAGGAGTGAGCGGTAACCTGGAACATGGAACCTACCCTCAGATACAGGTTCCTTATTTTTTGAAACCTGGAACCTATTTATCGGAACATGGAACCTACCTTGTTACAGGTTCCAAAGTAAATTCTAGGGTCTAACATGTTCTTTTTTATTTATTTATTTCATTTTTAGTTAAATAAAACGAAAATTAACACAACAATATTGAACAAACTTGTCATTCACCAAAGAGAATACAAAAGACTAGTTTTTTTTGGCATTATGGTTCAAATAAATATAATTAAAATGAAAAGTTATTGTGTGAATCGACACTAGAGGTGAGTGGTTTCATGTTTTGGATGGAACCTATCCATGAAAATTGATTTCTCATTTTTTAGAATCTGAAACCTACCTTATCATAGGTTTCAAGTCGGTTCTACGATCTACCCAGATTTCACCTGTATTATTAATTGAACAATTGCAATGAATCATCACCTTTAATGACCACAATTTGCTGTTATGATCCACTAACCACAACTTATATTTAGACATACGAAGAATATGAAACATTAACAAGTTATAAAATGAAAGTTCAGACTAGTGATTCTAGATTATACATTCAACATCTAATGCTATGAAACATAACAGGATCACGCAAAGACATAGATAAAAAAAATATAAAAAAACTTATTTAGGTTTCAGGTTCCAGGTTCCAGGTTCCACCTACCTAGAACCTGGAATCTACTCGTCGAAACAGGTTCTCCAATTTTTAGAACTTGAAACCTATTCTACATATCTTGGAACTTGAAACCTACAGGTTTCCACCGGTCAGGTTATCAGGTTTCAGGGTAAAACCTAAAACCATGCTCAACCCTACGTGGTATCATTAAGATAAAAGCTATCTTAAAGGTGTCATTCTTTTTTTGATTCAAAGCTCATCTTATAAGTGATAAATTTATCCACTTACCAAATCGTATAAATCATGATGTATTATTGCATTGAGTTTTCTCCTTTTTATTTTTCCTTTAATTATATAAAGGGGATCATGACATGGGTGGTTCAAATTTTTTTTTAATGCTCGATATGATCCTTTAATATTTTTAGGGCTAACTCTTGAATTTTAAAAATTTGCCCAATGTCGCTATTACATTAAGTGTACTACCACATCGCATGCACTATTTTGACGTAAACTGTCACGTCGACGTTTATCAAGCCAAAATAATGATGTGAATTGCCTCGTCGTTTTTTCAAGTTAGCAAATCTTTTTTTTCCATTCTTTTAATTTCCCCCTACCTTTTCAGCCTAGATAATGAGAGAGATATGATGTGGAAGCCACGTATACACCAGCATGGGAAGTCTAACAAGTTAATAGAAATTACAGTCATATAGACTAACGATGTTAGAATTTGTAATAAAATGGCTATATTGAGTGGATTTTTCAAAGTTTATTGATTAGATTGAACTGATAAAGAAAATTCACATACCATATGGAACAATCCTTATCATTATTCCTTTTACAAATTTCTGATGTTGAATGACACGTCTCACAACCCACACCTCAATAAAGTAACTATCTATTTTCATGCAATGTATAACTCTATCAATCCATAACGAATGAAGTGTCTAGTCCTAATTGTTAGGATTATGCACACAACACAATAAAATAGAAAGTAAGGATGAAAAGAAAAATCGAGACACAAGGTTTTATCCTTGTTCACTCTTAAATAGGACCACATCTAGCAAATGATTCCACTATAATTAGCACTTCTAATATCTCTGTTACAATTATCAATTACAAGAGAAAGAGATTATATATAGGCAACAATTATTCACGGGTTTAATACGGACCTAAACTATAAAAATCCTCTGGCGGCTCAGGGGCTTTGCCCTCATGACTCCCACCCGCTCCCGTATCTTCCTGTTAATGGGGAGTATAAACCACACCATAATACTAATGTCATTAAAAAATTTGATCTACATATACATGAGAGAGATGTACCTTCGAATAATGGTGTCCAAAATGTCCTACTCAAGATAAGACATCACAATTTAAAATAAAAAGATGAAGAGAACAGTAACCGAAATTGAGAATTAGCGGTTCGAGTACAAAGAGCTTCCTCGTGCAAATAAAGAAGATAACTACAATCGGGCAAAAATGATGATCGGCCTCCTTATGAAAATTGAGATACCGGCCAGTCTAGAATCATAGTACAAGAAAAGCCGTCGTAGTGGAGCTCATGCAAAGCTATGACCTTCAAAGAGCATTCAAATCGGTACATCATTGTAATAAATCAGCCGGCCATTCATGGTACATTAATGAAGATCCGAATGCTTTGCCCTTCTTGAAGTCTACTTTCGAATCTTTTAACCCATTTTTTTCCTTCTTTGAATGCAAGGTTTCTTGTGAAACTAGGGGAAAAGCTGTTTTCCACTCTGTTTTACGGAATCCTGATGATTTTACTCGAGTCAATGAGTCGAATGAATGATGCTGTGCAGCGGTGAAATTATGCTTGTAGATTAGTGAACGCTAGGAAAATTGTCAAAAAGTTCTAAACCTATCAGTACGGCCAATTCATCCTAAACCTTTTAAGTTTGCCAATTCAGGTCCTAAACCTTTTAATTCTTGTCAATTCGGTCCTTCCGGCCAATTTTGGCCGGCCGGCTTGCTGCTGCCGGCCATGCGCCCCCCGACATGATAATTTTTTTTCAATTTTTAATCTTTTTTCTGATTTCTTCCTCTGGCGGTCCGGTGACCGGTCCGAGGGAGGGCCGACGAGGTCGACCTCGCCCAGCCAGAGGCGAGGCCGACCTCGCCGTCGCTGGTTCGACCTCGCCGTCACGACCCGGGCGACGGCGAGGTCGGCCTCCGCACGCCTTTGGGCCTCGCCTCGCCAGGAGCGCGAGGCCGACCTCGCCGTCGCGACCCACGGCGAGGTCGGCCTCGCCTCGCCCGAGCGAGGCCCGAGCCTCGCCGACGCCTGGGTCGCGACGGCGAGGTTGAGCCTCGCCGGATCTCGGCGAGGCTCGACCTCGCCGTCACGACCCAGGTGTCGGCGAGGTCGGCCTCCCCTCTGGGGCGAGGCCGGCGAGGTCGACCTCGCGGCCCTCCCCTTGGCATCGCCGGACCGCTAGAGGAAGAAATCAAAAAAAAAAAAAAGATTAAAAAGATTAAAAAATTGAAAAAACATAATAAAAAATGCCACGTCCGGGCGTTGGCCAGGCTGCCGGCCGCCGGCGGCCACATCAGCCCCGGCCGGCCAAAATTGATCGGAAGGACGAATTGACAAGAATTAAAAAGGTTTAGGACCTGAATTAAAGCAAACTTAAAGGTTTAGGACTGAATTACCACTGATACAAGTTTAGGACTTTTGACAATTTTCCCAGTGAACGCATGCACGATTCAAACACATAATAGCGCAGCTCATGCATGCTAAGACCTTCAACGAGTTCGAAATGCCGTTGCAGACAAAACAGTTTAAGGAACACATGCACGATCTAACAACTTCGGATGTTGCGAGAATTGGACAACTTCATACTGAGTTTGGATAGGACCTCAACGTAAGTTTGGAGCACGACGGATTTGAGGACTTACAACCTAACATTGCTCACAAGATGGTCGCACAGCGTGCGTCGCCACGGAACAATCCCAAGCTACGAAGTTCATTTATCTACAAGGCTATCACAAAACAAAGTACCGAACTATGAACTGGCAAAAGAAGGAAGGAGCCAGCGGTCGTCCTCAATTTATGGTAACCTCCACCATCTTGGGCTTGGGCGCAGGCAGCTTCTCCACCGTGACGGTCAGCACTCCGTTCTCACACTTGGCGCTGATGGCCGATGGGTTGGCATTGTCGGGCAACTGGAACTTCCGGGTCAGGTTCCGCGGCGCCCTCCTCTCCAACCTCACGTACTTGCAGCCCTCGTCCTCCTCCGTGTCCCTGCGCTTCCTCTTCCCGTTGCTCCTTATCACCAGCGACTTCTGATCGTCTTCCACGGTCACCTACGTTACACGCGGTGCGATTCAATCACCATGGCCGGAAATTAAGAAGGCGCAAAACTAGGGCAAACTTGCGGAAAAATGACGCTTGAAATTGTGATTGACTCATAGGACAAGCACACGTATCCTATGTTATACTTGGTCAATTTTACACAGCCACATGTTCAATGTTCTTTCTTTCGAAGACCCATCTGCCATCTGCTTCCTATATCCCAGCACTAACCAATCCAAATGTAGCGTAAGTCAGTCACAATTCAGTATATGAGCTCGACTGCAGTGTTGGGCATGATCTGAGCTTGACTTGAATACTAAGAACTCATGCTCGACTTGAGCTCAATCGGTCTCGCTAGCTGCTTTAGTAAGTACTTAGAACTTGCGGACAAATAATTACTTGAACTTCTCAAACTGAGATGAATCGTGCCGATCAGTGGATTGTATTTGAGTAGCTTACTTGACTGGTTTACACCCTCAACTCTTACCTACCCAATTAGAACAACGTAAACTGTAATAAAGTTCTAACAAGTAATGAGGCACGATGACCAAACGAGGACAGACCCAACTTCGCATTTCAAATCGATTACAGCGAAAAACTTGGGCCCGACCTAGGGGACCGAAATATCTGACGAAATCTCCATACCACGCTGCATATCTAAAAAAGCTAGAACAGCAACAACTGCGTCGAACTGGGAGGCAACGGACAAAACATTCTTGGGATTTGACCGAGCAAGAACAGGGGATGGGCGACGAAGAGTACCTGAATGTCAGACTTGGGGAGGCCGGGGACGTCGAAATAGAACACGTACTCCTTCGAGGTCTCCAGAATATCGGCAGGGATGCCGGCCGCGCCCTTGCACTCGCCGGCGGCGGCGGCGGCCTCGTGCGGACGAGACGAGAGCAAGAGCTTCTCGACGCTGTCCGCCGGGAAATTCAACAGGTGGCTCACCAAGTGGTCGCCGCCGTCCAACACGACCCGGCTCATCGTTCGATACTCGTCAGCTAATCCACACGCGACCCGAGAAGACAAGCAAGGGCGAATTCAAGCTTATGCTCCGCGACAGAACGATTCAGCTCAGTGCAGAGAATATGGGAAGGTGACAAGAGAATGGAGGGGGATAAATGGAGAGAAAGTGAGAGAGAAGCGGAAAGTTCGAGAGAGGTCGAGCGGTGCGGGGGATGACCGGAAAAAGCTGGAAAGGTCGTCGGCCACGTGTGCGGCGAGAGGGATGTCGTGGAACGATCACTTTGCTTCTTGAGCTCCGACGTGGCAACCCCTCCATGCGTCGATGGCGGACAAATTATTGAAGCCTGGTTCGGACGATGGGTCCTGCGCGTCTCCCCCCCCGCTTCCTTCCTCCTCCGTTGCCATCTCTCTCTCCCAGATACTTTGATTTGATTTTGTAGTGGGCCCACTTGCTCTCTATTTACGAGAGAGTTATCGCATTAAAAATCCGTATCAGCCCCAACATCCACTCCATCATATCCATCCATGTCAATAACTTCATCCTTTGAAATCTCAGCTCTTCGTTTCTTTCGACGGATAACAATGAAAAACCTTCCTCTCTCCCTCCTTTATGTGTTGTCTTTACATCTTCCTTTCAATTTTTGATATTAATTCTTTTCTCAACAATGAATTTCTTTCTTTAAATATCTCTTAAAAGAGCCGGTAGGGGCAAACTTTTAAGTAAATGCAATATTTCTATTGGCCATTAAGAAATAAGATACGATAAAGATTTTCCAAAATCAAAACAACAAAATCCCGTGCGAGTTTAAGGCCATCAACCGTCCTTCACCAACCTCCACGTACAATATTGAACATCTTCACCGACCTTCACCCACCCCCATGCGTCACAGTTGCTGAGCTCAATAGCTTCATCTCTATTTAAGCATCTTCGACCTCCCACATCTCTACATCCTTACGTCTCTCTCTATATTAACAAAACCCAAATATGGCTACCTCAAATAGATTTGCTACGCTGATCTTCTTCTTCCTTATACTCGCAGTTGCCATGGCAGTTGCTTGGAGTCGGCCATCATCCAACTCCATCTAAGTCCAACTTCACCGAAACTCGACTCGATTTCTTTTACTATGGACATTCATCCCATCTAAGCCCGACTTCACCGATCCTCGATCCGGATTTTTTTTACTATGAGCATTCACCCTGGGCTAGGCGCAACTTGCGTCGCTAGACTAGGGCATTCACCTCCTCACTTCCGTTTGGGTCGAGGAGGTATTATCTAACTGTACTACTACCTTCTCAAACCAAATTCAGCGGCGACGCTCACGTGGCTACTCCAACGCCGACAAGTCGCCGAAAGGCTCACTGGACGCTCCCATCATCCCCCTCCTCGCCACCATCAACCGCCACCCTTCCTTCTACACCACCAGCTCCCGCAGTGGCCGCATCTCTATCCTCTCCCAACCTTCCCGCCACCCCTCCGCTAAGAACAAGAAGGCTCGCGGCCGGACTTGGCTCCACATCTCCCACGACCCCGCCGATCCCGACTCCGTGCTGTCTTTGCTCTTCCCGGCCGAGCCGAGCCGGTGTTTCAGTTCGAGCCGCTCATCTTGGCAGTCGAGTGCAGGGACTTGAGCTCGGCGCAGCTGCTGGTGTCCACTGCCATCGCCTGCGGGTTCCGGGAGTCGGGGATCACAAGCAAGAGGTTGATTGTCGCCATCCGGTGTTCGATTCGGATGGAAGTGCCGCTGGGAGATGGGCGGGAGATCGTGGTGCCATGCGAGTACGTGAAGTTCCTCGCCGGAGTGGCGAACGAGAAGATGGAGGCAAATAGGAGGAGGACCGAGAAGTTTCATCACGCGTTGCGGAGGACTTGGAGTTCGGAGGGCGAAGTGAATGGTGCTGGTGATGAGAAGACCGAGAGTTAAATAATCCAGCGCATGTTGCACCGCTGGATCTGGTTTGAGGAAGCAACAGTACAGTTAAATAATACCTCATCAATCCAAACCCTGAGGAGGTGAATGCCCTAGTTTAGGTGCTGCATGAAAATCATTCTGGTTCTGTCCGAACGATTTTTGCTTCCAACCGCTTTTGAATGTAAACCTCGCTTCGGAATTCATTTTTCTATTTCCTGATGTTTGCTTCAAAACTCGATTCAAACCAGAAATGAGAACCAAAAAAAGTTGATTTTTCATTTCTGGAACAAAAGTGATAACCATTTATGAGGAATTCATTTTCTTCAACACACATATTCATATGGAAGTCACGATCTTTGAGGTGAGAAAAAAAGCAAAAATCAAAAATTTCAAAACTTAACAATGGTTTAGAATATGTGCTACCCACTTTCAATGAAATTTAAATTTTTTAGTGCATCAAAAAATAAATAAAAATAAATGGCTTAGAAAACCTATGCCACCCACTTTAATAGAAAATTTAATTTTTTAGTTGCCAAAAAAAAAAATTCTAAAATTTAAAAACTTCACGTAATATCTTAAATACAGTGGCCCACCCATTTGAGCGAAATTTTATTTTTTAGGTGCCAAAAAAAAAAAAAAAAAAAATCAAAAATTTCAAAACTTCACGAATGGCTTAGAATACTTGCGCCATCCACTTTGAGTGAAATTTAAATTTTTAGGTGCCGAAAAAAAATAAAAAAATAAAAATTTCAAAACTTCACGAATAGCTTAAAATACCCTGCCCACCCACTTTGAAATGAAATTTAAAATTTTTTTATATGCCAAAAAAATAAAAATAAGCAAAAAGTAAAAATTTCAAAACTTTACGAATGGCTTAAAATACCATGTGGCCACCCACTTTGAGCGAAATTTTATTTTTTTAGGTGCTAAAAAAATAAAAAAAAAAAAAGAAAAATTTCAAAACTTCACAAAATGGCTTTAAATACCGCGCCATCCACTTTGAAATAAATTTAAATTTTTTAGGTGCCGAAAAAAAAAAAAAATAAAAATAAAAAACTTCATATAATTCTTAGAATACCTGTACACCCACTTTGAGTGAAATTTAATTTTTTAGGTGTCGAAAAAAAAATAAAAATAAGCAAAAAGAAAATTTTCAAAACTTCACAGAGTGGCTTAGAATACATGTGGCCATCCACTTTGAGTGAAATTTAATTTTCTTTAGGAACCAAAAAAATAAAAAATACCATTTGGGCATTTAAAAAATTAAATTTTACTCAAAGCAAAGTATGGCTAGTATTGTAAGTCATTCAGTGAGTTTTGAAATTTTTGATTTTTATGTTTTTTTCACCTAAAAAATTTAAATTTCACTCAAAGTGGATGGCCACATGTATTCTAAGTCATTCTGTGAAGTTTTGAAATTTTTGATTTTTTGCTTTTTTTTTCACCTCCAAAAATTAAAATTTCACTCAAAGTGGGTGGCCATAGGTATTCTAAGCCATTCTGCAAAGTTTTGAAATTTTTGAGTTTTTGAATTTTTTGGGCACCTTAAAAATTTAAATTTATTCAAAGTGGATGGCGCACATGATTCTAGCCATTTTTGTGAAGTTTTGAAATTTTTGATTTCTTGATTTTTTTGAAAAATTCAACAAATTTCCTATTTTCCAAAAATCTAAAATTTTTTTATTTTCTCGACATTTTGATGATTTTTTCTGGAATTTTTCAATTTTTTGGGATTTTCTGAATTTTTTAAAGATTTTTATGAATTTTCGGATTTTTTATTATTTTTATTCCATTTCTAAAAAAATGGAATTTTGTTCCCGAAATAGAATTTTTCTGTTGTTTATCAAACTGGTTTTTATTTCGAAATAGAAATTTTGTGCTTATATCAACGGGTTTCTGTTCAGAAATAGAAATTTTTGTTATTATCAAACGGGTTTTTTTTTCTTAAAACTCATCCAGAACCAGAATAGAAAAATCTATTTCTGGTTCAGGAACTCATTCCGGAACAGAATGGTTATCATTCGCTACCTTAGCGGCGCAAGTTGCACCTAGTCCGGGGATGAAAGCCCATAATAAAAAAAATCTGAGTCCAGCTTCGGTGAATTCGGGCTTAGACGGGGGAATGTCCGTAGTAACAGAAATCGGGTCGAGCTTCGATAAAGTCGAACTTAGATGGGGGTTGGACAATGGCCGACCCCAAGCAGCTGCCGCCGCATCTGCAAGTATAAAGAAGAGTAAGAGCAGCGTAGCGAATCTATTAACAGTAGCCATATTTGGGTTTTGTTAATACGGAGAGAGGGATGTAGGGATGTTGTTTTGATTCTGGAAAATCTTTATCTTATCTTATTTCTTGATGGACAATGGAAATATTGTATTTACTTAAAAGTTTGCCCCTACTAGCTCTTATAGGAGAGATTTAAGGAAAGAAATCCATTGTTAAGGAAAGAATTATATCAAAAATCGAAAGGAAGATACTTGAGTGCTTTTTAGCAAATGCCCGAGTCCCATTCCTTTTCAACGTTTTGCAGGCATCCAAAGGACGCGGAATGTGCGATTTCCTAAACGATGTCGCGTTGTGGTATCCAATTTTTATTTCTTATTTTTATTTTATATTTAAATCATTTCCTAAAACAATGAAGAAATACGTGATATTTTTATTACCGTTTACCTTTTCGGTTTTTATAAATATTACAATAGTTCCATTTAATGATCACTATAATAGATTATTTCCTAAAAAGTCTCAACATCTGTCCCACCTCCTGTTCATAATATGGAAACTTGGAGAAAGGTTAATTAACAAAAAAAAAACTTAGAAAGAAAATTAAATAGTTGCCTGTACGTAGTTCTCTGTCTCTGGCTTTCTAAGGAGAAAAAACCATAGTATAGACTTTTTATTTCTCTCGTTTTCATAAATCGCTTAACTATTGGACGGTGAACTAGGCCTTAAATATTTAACTGCCGAAGCTTAGCTTGTTCGATGAACATGCAGAGTTCCTTCTCCATACATAGAAAATGCAGAAATAACCAAGCATCTGTTGAGCAGGAGCATTTGGGTTCAGCAGTTTGGAAGAGTTCTTCTAACAACCTCTAGTTCATTAAAGCCCATTTCGTATAATTTCTCTCCAGGAACATACGAATATTTGCAGCTGTGAACTGAATAAGTTTGTGAGCTTTGCTTTAATATATGATCAATTAAGCTACTTCGGCAGTCCTCGCTCTACATTGCAGGAAATCTGATGATGTAGATAATTGCTCGATAGACACCTTGTGCATCCAATGCATCAAACATCTCGAGCAATGACAAGCCGCAGAGCATTGACATGCAAATCAGCTCGAGCACGAAATAAGGCATATCTAAGCAAAATCGAGACGCGACTTCAAGGCCTGAGGGCTAGTTTCCAGATGTGCGTACGCAAAACGTAAGGCCTACAGCTCAAAAGCGTCTCGACATAATTTCATCCAGATTGTGGTCTGCCCATAAAGATAAAATCTAAAAGCACCAGAACAAAACTTAGGAATAAGAACATCTCCAGCCATCCTCGAGACATAAACAAAGTACTGTACGCGAGAAAACAAACTGAGAGACCCTGCGAAACAGTATCAAGAGCTTACATTTTCGTCATCTTCAATGTCATAGGCTCCAATGTCGTAAAGAAACCTCTTGTTCACATCGGATAGAACTGGAAACAATAGAGTCAGACGGGTGATCGTTAAAGCCTTCGGTATAAATATAAGAAGCTACACACTGAGATGTTCTATCGAACCAAGATTGAATAAAACAGGGGAAACGTCAGAACCAAACTTTTGCAATATTTTCCATTTCCAGAGTCACAGGACGAACTTATAAACAAGTTGTCTTCCAGAATTACCATGTATTGCCCTGTCATCACCATAAAGAAGTTTTAATTAAAATGCAATTGCTCGTACCGGAGTAGGCCTGTTGAATTTCCTGGAATTTTGCCTTGGCCTCTTCGGCGAACTCTGAAGTTCCCGACGCAGAACAACGATCCGGGTGCCACCTCTAAACCAACCGGAAACAAAGACAGTCTTAACACGCACGTCCCACACATTAAAAGGAAATGCTTCGCGCATCCCTTCTTGAAAAACGGCATAAATAAACACATTGACCACAAATCCGGAACCAAGAAATCCTAAGAAGATACTGTCACATGTCACCGATCAAAGTCTAGAATTTCAAATTTAATTACAGGTTCTCTTGTTCACTAACCACTATATACACGATTGACTTGCATCTCCCAATCAGAAATATAACACAACACATGTGAAAACACACACACAAAAAAAAAACCAGTGTCTCACACGTGATGAAATCAGTAACAATTGCAGAAGATGGTCGGTAACCGAAAAGGTGTGGCAGTGCTAACCAGGGCCAGTTTCTTGTATGCATTCCCGACCTCGGGAGCTGTGCACTCATCCTTCAGCCCCAAAACTGCGTACGAGTCTTCGTTCTTCTCGTTACCATTCGCCATTCTTGAGTTCCCCAAAACCAATCGGCAGACGGATACCCTTTCTTTACGAATTAACGATCCAAAGAAAAAAAATTTTGGTGTCGGCGAATTGGACTATGGAGCCAACCCAACATATAAAAGGGTATAAAATTTTGAACTTCGGAGGACGTGTTTCGAGGAATCCTGCACTGAAGCTTTCGCATTGTTTTCCATCTAACGGAAGGAAAGGGAAGAAGAGGGAAAAAGGTTGAAAAGAGAGGGAGCTCCCTCTCCATGAACACACAAGAACACTCGAGAAGCCGGCCATTTTTAACGTGTCTCCATTCGCAACTTGTTTCTTCTTCCCCTGTATTTGCCTCGCGTGGCACCATACCTGGATGGTTCCCATGCACATATCATGTACAATCACAGTCCCTTCATTTTTGGAGTATTTATGCCCACCTCGCGTGGGATCCATAGGATTAACGGCATGAATTGATTCAATTCAAAAGAGATGTCGATGCTTTTCCTTAACGATGAAAGCGATTAACTAAATTGAAGATGAAGCACGGATTCCTTCGCTATTCCATTTGTCCAAAGTCCTAGTCCCTACTCTCTCTTTTTCGCTTGGCAAAAAGAGCAAACAAGAGCGACCGGCGTGGACAATCCCTGTCTAAGCTCTATTTGTCATATGAGTACCACACCTGCGATTGAGATGTTCGATTTAAGTTGTAACTCTCCACTCGATTTAAGTGAGCTTGTTACCACCGCACCACTGGATGCAAGTTGGGATGAAGCCGGATTTACCCTACACGTAGTGCACAGGCCGGATCTATGTCATTGACGAATCAAGACTTTCTAAGATCAAGAAGCGACCGGAGAATTCAAACTTGTGACCAAGAGAGCTCCATATCACTGGTGAGTATGTCCTATCTAACTTGGCCAACCAAAAGAGAAGGGGCAAACTGGACAATATCTCGAAAAGGTTTTCTTTCTTTCTTTTTGTCTCTGATTGTGTAATTAACTTAATTTGCTTCTAGGATCAACCAAGAGTCATACCCATTGAGCATTTCTTCTTTCGTATGAACAACTTACACTAATATCACGTGGGTTGGATTCGATTTACGAATCACATATTGGCATAGGGTCAATTTGTTGTTTGGGGCTTAAAGGGTACAAGATAACTTTCGAGATCCCTTAAATTTTGACAAAATTAGATGAATTCTATAATGTTCTCAAAATGACATAGAAAAGTCGTTTTGATCCCCTTAAATTTGCACTGTTTTTTCAATCACAATCCATTTGTTCCAACAAATGTCGTCATTTCACTTTTATTCGATTAGCCTAAACAAATAACCGGGAGTTGGAAGCAAACCCGATCAATAGGCGGGCAAAGACGGGTCGGGCAAGTACCACGTGTTGGAAACTTCCTATAATATGGGCTTACATTAATTAATTGATTTTCTATTTTAAATACTCGGGTTAATGGATATTCCAATATATGTGTTGTACCCTTTAGTGATCTTATTGAATTGGGTTTCGGCATCTATAAATAACAGGCCTAGTTGAGCAGCAAAGTGTAGGCAATTGTGTTTAATTGAAGCTCGTGATGGGAGGGACCCAGTTAACGAACTAATGATTAGGGTTTGCTAGGTCCCCTCTCTAGCCTATAAAAGGGTAGGTTATACTTATCGGTCGCTTTATCCCATTGAAAGCTGCTATATCGAAATAGGCCAAAGAGAGGAAGATCGGCATTCCAGTAGATCGTTGAACTATTTCTTTTTTTAGAGAATAACAATGGTTCAAACATGTACGCTTTAATTCCGCTAGGTGTATTATTATTATTATTTTTCTTATGGTGTTCTACATTCATATACGGATCTGATTGTTCTTTAAGAATTAGTGTATATATATTAAGAAATTCTTTACATGTGGTATCAGAGCTTGGTCATATATGATTGTAGAATCCATAAAATTAATAAAAATCGTATTTTTACTCGAATATTCAACCAGTTCTTGATTACTTCCGATTCTAGGGTTCATGTTTTTTTTTGAATGAATCCTAAGATTTCGATTTTCTTTCGATTGAATGTCGCTATCTACATGTTTCTGAACATCTTGGTTGCATAAAGCTGAGATCTGATTATCTAAAATAGCTTCGTTCATGTGTGGCTAATAATTTGTCCTCCTGCGTAAACAGATTGTGGTTTTTGGACCGCTATAAACAACGGAGGGGGTGTTGTTTCGGATCTTGTTAGGTTATTCGATAGATGTTTTCAGCGAATAATTGATATAGCACAAATGGCGCTTAAGATTTACGATCACCAGTAATTAGGGAAATTTCACTTTTTTGAAGTTAAATAGCTCGGATTGTACTCAAATTCGGTCGGGTTGAAGCAAAACGGCCTTCTGAATCAAACTCACTGCCTTTGGCCGCGAACTATGATGGTTTTCGGCATTTCAAGGTCGTTTGGATGGGTTTTCGGGCAATTTTCTGATTTAGGCAATTTCCGGGCATGAATTGATTTGCATTCTCTTAGAATAGATTAGATATGTTATCTTTAGTAATTCTACTCCCTAAAGGAGTCCTCCATGTTATATTAGATGTCCGCCTTGTAATTGCCACGTTATTGTTAAATGCAATACGATCCTTAGAAGCATATGTCGTAAAGTGCTTCATATTGTCTAATGGAATTATGGGCATTGTTTGAATGGAACTTTTGCAGTTCCTTATTGATAAGAATTAGTATATACAATCACCTGCCCAAAGGGGGTTATTGTGTGTATTAATTTGAAAATTGCATGAAGATAAGTACCCATGTTAATAGATGGGGATGTATAACTAGAAAGATTTATCTGCCCAAAGGGGATGATTTTTTTTAATTTTTTTTTTTGAAAGTTATGTGTAATTTCCCTCTATAGTGATATAATGGAGATGTATAATTTAAAGGATTTGTCTGCCCAAAGGGGATGGGTCCTTGACAATTATGTGTAATTCTCCTTCTTGTTGTAATCTTCATGCTATGGAAAATAGTGGTGCATTATATACTTTGCCCAAAGGGGAGTTTATAGTGTGCTAATTATTTTGTTGAATTGTTTATTGCCCATAATTGATCTTATTGCATTGTATGTGGCTCAAACAGTTACTTTTGCTGTAAACAACAATAATGCCACTGTCGAAATGTTAATTGGATCGAACTTCAAGAGATGGAAACAAGACATAGAGTTTGCTCTGGAAATTGTGGATATGGACTTAGCTCTGCGTGAGGATGAACCTACCAAGCCCAATGATCAAAGCACTGCAGATCAAAAGGCTCATTATGCTAAGTGGGAAAAATCCAATCGACTAAGCCTCATTGCTATGAAGAGGTCCATTGCCGAGCATCTCATTAGTGGTTTGCCAGAAATAGCAAATGCGAGAGAGTTTCTTGTAGAAGTAGGAGCAAGATATGCAGTTTCAGACAAAGCTGAGGCTGGGAATTTGCTGAGTGAGTTAACTAGTATGAAATATGATGCTGTTATGGGTGTTAGAGAATTTATATTGAGGATGGTGCATATTCAATCCAAGCTTAAGGCCCATAATATTGTCCTTTCTGAAGTTTATGTTGTGCATCATGCCTTAAATATTATGCTTGCTGATTTCAGTCAGATTAAAACTGCTTATAGCACTCAGAATGAGACTTGGAGTGTTAATGCTTTGATTACTAAATGTGTGGCTGAGGAAGAAAAGTTAAAGAAGGAGAAGAATGAATCTGCCCACTTGATTACTAATGCCAAGTTGAGTTCCTTTAGAGGAAAATGGAAGCCTAAAGGGTCGAATGCTTATGCCCCTAAGAAAGATCAAGGCTTCAAGAAAATTGGCAATAATGGGAAACATGGAGATAAGAATTTTAAATGTTTTCACTGCAAGAAGCAGGGTCACAAGAGAGCTGATTGCCATAAGTTCAAAGCTTGGCTAAAAGCAAAGAAAGAAAGTAGCCAAGGTGAGTTGTTGGTTTGTTCTGAATCAAATATGGTTGATGTTCCTTTGGATTCTTGGTGGATTGATTCTGGTTCTACTGTACATGTGACTACTACCTTACAGGGTCTCACAAATCTAAGGAATCCAAGTCCGAGGGAGTCGAAGCTTAAAGTTGGAAATAATATCGGTGTTGATGTGGAGCATATAGGGACAATAGTTTTGAATTTAGACTCTGGATTTCAGCTAGTTCTGAATAATGTCTTTTATGTTTCTGGATTTAGGAGGAACTTGATATCTCTTTCTTTGCTTGACAAGGCTGGATATTGCCTTTATTTTGCAAATAATAGAGTGGATTTGTTTTATGACTCTAAAATTATTGGGAATTGCATTCTGTTTGATGGATTATATCGATTATCTTTATCTCCCGATAGACCATATTGTTCCTTCAACGTTGAGAATAATGTGGCTAAAAGATCCTTGATCAAGGAGAAATCTTCTTTGCTATGGCACAAACGATTAGGCATATCTCTAAAGAAAGGGTAAATCGACTTATCAAAGCTGATATCCTTCCTCCTCTTGACTCAGATGATGCTAAGATTTGTATTGATTGCGTGAGGGGAAAGTTGACTAAAGTCAAGAAGAAAGGCGCTACTCGCAGTCAAAATCTGTTGGAGATAATTCATACAGATATTAGTGGGCCATATTCAACCACCTTGTGTGGAAATAAGTATTTCATCACCTTTATTGATGATTTCTCCCGTTATTACTATGTTTACTTGATTAGGGAGAAGGCTGATGCTCTTGACATGTTGAAAGTATTTCGCACTGAAGTTGAGAAACAATTAGGAAAGATAATCAAGATTGTAAGATCTGATCGTGGTGGTGAATATTATGGGCGATATACTGAGACTGGACAGCAAATGGGACCATTCGCTAAATATTTATAGGACCGTGGTATCGTCGCTCAGTATATAATGCCTGGGAGCCCTGAACAGAATGGTGTAGCTGAGCGGCGAAACCGCACACTCATGGAGATGAAACGAAGTATGATGAGAAGATCTAATATGCCTGAATACTTATGGGGTGAGGCAATTAAAATAGCAGCTTATATATTGAATCATGTACCCAGTAAATCAGTGCCAAAAACACCTTTTGAGTTATGGACGGAGAGAAAACCAAGCTTGAACCACTTTCGAGTTTGGGGGTGTCCTGCAGAGGTGAAAATTTATGATCCTTCGCTGAAGAAGACTGAACCCAAGACTACTAGGTGTTACTTTATTGGATACCCTAATCATTCTAAGGGGTATAGGTTCTATTGTCCTACTCGTGGCACTAGAATTGTTGAGTCTCAGACTGCTAAATTCTTGG